TCTCCCGCTCCTTCCTATTCCCGCGCGCAGTCCTAGTCCTAGCCGAATCCCGCAATATCGGGGATCAGGCAACGCCGGATCGCACATGAAACCCCTTAGCCTAGTACCCGAACGGCTCGACGAATCAGATCCATCAGCGACGCCGACGCCGCCGCCAGAGCTAAACGACGATCATTCCGTGGCTGTTTGGGGTCTTCAAATTGCCGGACGTATCCGGCAGCTTCGGAACGCGGCTCGGGGTTTGATGCCGAAGCTGTACAGGTTGTCTAGGCTCGTTGACCTGGGTCCTCAGGACTCTCCCAAGCCGCAGGACCAGGTTTGGAAATCGGGGATCGTGCCGGAGTTTCCGAAGCTGTGCACGCACCTGTGGAGGAAGTTTCCGGAACACCCACGGAACCTGCAGCTTGATAAGTTGGACCGAACTGCTCTCGAGGTGTTCGCCAGCTTCGGCTCGCATTTCCAAGCCTCCCTGCAGCCCTGGTACGAGGTACGGACCGAACCACAAAGTACAGTTGGTGCATGGGCGCTCTGATTCCCAGTTGTTTTGCTGGTCTACGTGGCTGCGCATGTGCTGAAAAGGCTGCTTCCATACCTCTTCAGATGACAGCATGCCAAATGACTCTTTCTTCTCCTCTCAAACAACCTGGCAGGTGCTGGTGGACCTGGCTCTCTTCAGAGAACACGCCTTCGTTCTGCTGAACGTTGACTTTTGAGTTGACCCAATATCAGAAGTCAACTCTGTTCTTTTTCCTCACGGCTTGGCAGGTGTTGGTGGACCTGGCTCTCTTCAGGGAACACGCCCTCGTTTTGCTCAACGATCTTGCCACCAGCATTGTCACACTCTCTGTAAGAACAAACCATGGCCATTGGAGTGCTTGGGCCTGGTTTGAACCCTTTGGGCTTCACTGTTGTATGGATCTTGTTGGTGCTCCTCAAGAATCTCTTTCATGTACTCCTTATTCCATTCTCTTCCCTTGTCACTCTTTGGGTTCATTATTTGGGGGGCCATTCCGCCAAATTGGCGGCGCCACTAATGAACGAACCCGCTTGTGCTTCGCACTTTCATGGTTCTTTCTGGGTGACTCAGTACTCGCCCCTCCTGTGTTTTGTGTCGTCCCATTTCAGCCAATGGTGAACCCACTCGTGCTTCACTCCTTCATGGGTCTCTTCTCTGACTTCGTGCGAGTTAATCTCCTCTCGTTAAGGGTGAGAGTAGAATCCTAGTTAATCTCCTCTTTCTATGAATAAGGGTACGTTGCGAGTTAATTTTCTCCAATTAGAAATTTGTAAGCTCATGGCCTTCTCATGGCCCTCTTCCGTTGCTTCACTCTGTGCGTGTGTGTGTGTGTGTGTGTGTGTGTGATCAGGCAGGGAAGAAGATGGTAGTGCAGGTGCACGCACTGACAGTGCATTACACTTCCAATGGCCAAGTGCCAGAGAGCTATGACAGGTATGGTATTTTCAGTATCGCAATCCCAAGGTATGGCAATCCCAAGGTACGGCAATCCCAAGGTATGGTAATCCCATGGTGTGGTAATCCCATGGTATGGCAATCCCAAGGTATGGTAATCCCAAGGTATGGCAATCTCAGGGTATAAGACGCACCCATGCTCGGGCTACAGGAGCATCTCAGACCTTTGTGAGCACATACCGTTCTTCCCTCCCACCTCCTCCCACCTCCCCCCGCTCACCTCTTCCCTCCCATCACTCCCACCCCCCTCCACACTTCCCCCCAGGGTGCTGCAGTATGTGCAGGCATACGACCCCCCACATGCTGGGCGTGCAGGAGGACCTCAAGCCTGTGTAAGCTCATATCGTTCTTCCCTCCCATCTCCTCCCTTCCACCTGCTCCACCCCACCCTCCCTCCCCTTCCCCACCCAGGGTGCTGCAGTGCGTGCAAGCATACGACACCCCCATGCTGGGCCTGCAGGAGGAGTGATCTGAAAAATCCACCCACTCCGTTCCACTTACCCCCTCTCTTCCCCTCTTCCCCCCAGGGTGCTGCAGTATGTGCAGGCATACGACGTTCCCATGCTAGGCCTGCAGGAGGATCTCAGGGCATTGGCTCCCCGGATCTCCAAGGTCAGTTAATCTCGGTCATCCGCTGTTCCCTTCCATGCAAATTCGCCAAGGCCGGTTCACTGAGAGCTAACAGACCGACCACCCTGGGCCCGCACCATGTCTCACAGCTCTTACTCTTGAGGGACCACCCTGGGCCCTCACATAAGTGCGCCATCCCCATCTGCTCCCCTCTCTCCCTCCTCAAACTCTGACTTTTGAGGCGCCTCAAAAGTCGTCCTCTTGAGGGATCACCGTGGGCCCTCACGCTAGTGTGCCATCCCCATCGCCCCCCCTCTCTCCCCTCCCTCCTCAGGCTCTGGACGCCGTTGCTCCCATCATTCTCGCTTGGGAAGACACTCAGAAGCTTCGCACAGACGTGTTTGTGAAGCCGTTCACGTCGTGGCCTGATGTGGCATCCACTCCCCCGCCCTGGGACCTCATGGTGTGTCTGATTTGTATTTAGGCACAGGAGGGTGAAACCTCACCCACCACCCACCATCACCCACCGCCACCCACCACCCACCACCCACCACCCACCACCACCACCACAACCACCACCACCACCACCACAACCACCCCACCCACCACCACCACCACCACCACCACAATCACCCACCACCACCACTATTCACCACCACTCACCAACCACCACCTGCGATCTGCCAACCCCGCCCCTACCTCCCTGTCCGCTCAGAGCGAGGAGTTGGTGAGCGTGGAGGCATACACTGCGTGGGCGCTCTTCGCCCTGCTCACATGCCCCGTGGTCATGGTGACATTCTCCATACCCACCTACCCCCACCACCCCCCACCCATACCCTTTCCCCCCCCTCAGAGCGAGGAGTTGGTGAGCATGGAAGCATACAGTGAGTGGGCGCTCTTCGCCCTGCTCACATGCCCTGTGAAAGTGGTGAAAGGCCTTATGCGTGTGCTTCATTCCCTGCACCCACACCCATCGCACCTGTTCCTCTCAGAGCGAGGAGCTGGTGAGCGTGGAGGCATACAGTGAGTGGGCGCTCTTCGCCCTGCTCACATGCCCTGTGGAGACCGTGAAAGTTTTATTCCTCATTAACCCACCACCCACCACCTGTGGCCTGCCACCCCCGCACCCCTACCCCCCTTTTTGCTCAGAGCGAGGAACTGGTGAGCGTGGAGGCATATAGCGAGTGGGCGCTCTTTGCCCTGCTCACATGCCCTGTGGAGATTGTGAAAGGCACGCGCGATGCTGCAGCTCTTATCCAGGTGAGATGCGATGCGAAGCGATGAGATGAGATGTGGGACGGAGTCAGGTCAGAAATGTATTGATGCACGCATGCTCATCCCTTCACCATGTGCGCATGTAGAGTAGGGGTGCAGCAGTGGGCCATGGGGAGGAAAAAGGGCAGCGCAATCACACTTCCCTTTGCATCCCTTCCATCTCTCTCCTTTCGCCCTTCTACTTCTCCCTTACAAGCCCTGCTTCACTCGCGTGCCATCGTGCCTCTATTCAGGGACGAGGTGCTGTGCGTGCATGCAGAGGTGCAGCAGTGGGCGGTGGGGCGCATGGGGGAGGATAGGAAATCATTTTTCCCTCTATAAATCACCTTTCCCTCTGTGTTATATTCTTCTTTCCTCCCCCGCTACAGACTCTCCTTCACACGCGTGCCATAGTGCCTCTATTCAGAGACGACGTGCTGTGTGTGCATGCAGAGGTGCAACAGTGGGCGGTGGGGCGCATGGGGGAGGGGAAGAAAGCGGCCAAGGCAGCAGCGAGGCACAGAGCACAGGGCGCAGAGGAGGAGTATCAGCGACTGAGGGAGTGCTGTCGACTGCTAGGGTGAGTTGAGTTGTGCCGACTAGTGGGGTATGTGCTGTTTAGGGGATGCCTCTGCTGCTAGGTGGCTTTTGAGGCAGCAGCGAGGCACCAGGCACAGGGAGCAGAGGAGGAGTACCTGTGACTGAGGGAGTGCTGTCGGCTCTTGGGGTGAGTTTGGCTTACAGGATGAGACAGCTTTGCTGCATGTGCACAACGCCCCTTCCCTCCCGCCCTTGTCCCCCTCGTCAACAGTGGCTTAGTGGTCGCTTTGGATAATCCAGCCCTATGTCTCTCGCTCTCTTCCCCTCTGACCACCAGGGACCTGGTGGGTGGTACTGGCATGCACGCGTGTCTGCAGCGAATGGCAGACGCACACAGGAGTAGGCGCTTTCTGCTGGGCCACGAGGGCAGGCGCCTGCTGCCGAGACTGTATCCATGTTCCCACCCTTTGTCTCTGCTCTCTTCCGCCCTGCCCTGCCCCCTGAACAACAGTGACCTAGTCAGTGGTAGTGGCATGCACGCGTGTCTGCAGCGAATGGCAGACGCGCACAGGAGGAAACGCTTCCTGCTGGGCCACGAGGGCAGGCGCCTGCTGCTGAGGCTGGCGGACGAGCCCTCCCTGCTGCCGCCCATGCTGCAGCTGGTGCTGGCCGTGCTCGCCCTGCTGCGAGCTGAGGTGCACTGGGCTATCCTCCACACCTCCTGCCTCGCCCAGTCTGCTCCTGTCACAGTAAGCCTTAGGTGTCCTCAGTCATTCTCTTTGTTGCCACTGTTGCTGCCACCGCTGCTGCTCTGCCTGCTGCTGAGGCTGGCGGACGAGCCCTCGCTGCTGCCGCCCATGCTGCAGCTGGTTGTAGCTGTTCTGGCTCTGCTGCGAGCTGAGGTGCACTGGGCTATCCTCCACACCTCCTGCCTCGCCCAGTCTGCTCCCGTCACTGTGATTTCTAGCAGCCCTGCTGCACTTGCTGCTGCTCTCTCCCGCTGTCCGCTCGCTCGCCCTGCTGTGAGCTCAGATGCACTGTTCCACCTGCTGACAGCCAAGTTCCCTTGCGCCCCATCCCTCCCTCCCTGTAGGGCCCGGAAGCAGACTCAGTGGCAGTGCTGGTCGATACCATGTTCCGCCTCGTCTCGCTCATCCAGACCCACATGCTCGGTACGTGCTGCTGCTGCTGCTGCTGCTGCTGCTGCTGGTAACGGTAACGGTAATGGTAATGGTAATGGTAACGGTAATGGTAATGGTAACGGTAATGGTAACGGTAATGGTAATGGTAACGGTAATGGTAATGGTAATGGTAATAGTAATGGTAATGGTAATGGTAATGGTAACGGTAACGATAATGGTACGGTAATAGTAATGGTAATGGTGATAGTAATGGTAATGGTAACGGTAATGGTAACGGTAATGGTAATGGTAATGGTAACGGTAACGGTAATGGTAATGGTAATGGTAATGGTAACGGTAATGGTAATGGTAATGGTAATGGTAATAGCCTGGACTGGCTGGTGAGTGTTGGTGAATGTTAGTGGATGTTGGTGAGATGTCATCTCACAGTGCTGATTGTTTGAATTCTCTTGTCTGGGGGGTGAGTTGATGTGGCTAACACCTCACCAACATCTCACCCTTGCATGTGAAATTGTTGATTCCATTTAATAGCCCCCCCCACTCCTTCCCCCAAACTTTCCCTTTTCCCCCCTGTTTCCAGCCATCCAGGCGCATGCATCGTGGCAGGTGCAGTGGGGAGCGAGGCGGGTGAGAGATCTGATCGCGTTGCCAGCCGTGCGCCAGCTGGCGATGAGCGCCCAGCTGGAGGCCTTCTTCCGTGACATGTCAGCGTCCATGCTGGCAGCCGCCCGGTTCCTGTGCGATGCTGACGTGGCATGTGCTGGCAGCGGTGGCAGTGGCGGAGGGAGCAGCATGGACTACGAAGAACGGTTGCAGATGGTAAGTTGCTCACATGTCTTTTTTGCTGACGTGGCATTTAGTGGTGGTGGTGGTGGTGCTGCTGCTGCTGCTGCTGCCCCTTCCCCCTGCACGCCCTCCCATCAGACCAGTTGGCTGACATGGCACAGTGGCTGCAGCTGCAACCGCTGCTCGTTCCTTCCTGCCCAACCAATATCCCCTCTCCCATCTCTCCTCTCCCATCTCCCATCTCCCATCTCCCATCTCCCATCTCCCATCTCCCATCTCCCATCTCCCCTCTCCCCTCTCCCATCTCCCCTCTCCCCTCTTCCCATTCCCTCAGCACGCCCTTGCATCAGACCAACTGGCTTGGCACAGCATGAGGAGCGAGTGGATGCAGCTACAGCTGCTGCTCTCATCGCCCTTCACTACCGTGTCAGCGAGAGTGCTGCATCTGGTGTCTGGGGGGGATGACGGACCAACCAGTATCGTCACCGAGTGCAACCGTCTCTACATGTGGTGCAGGTATGCTGTGGTTACGCTCAGGTACGTTACTGTCATTGTATGTTGCTCCCTGAGTGGGTGCAGCTACAGCTGCTGCTCTCATCACCCTTTACTACCGTGTCAGCGAGAGTGCTGCACCTGGTTTCAGGGGGGGACGACGGGCCGACCAGTATCGTCACAGAAACCAACCGCCTGTACAAGTGGAGCAGGTATGTCACTGTGTATGTCAAGGTGTGCTGCTCTCCTTGCCCTTCATCTTTCTGTTAGGTCAGGTACGTTATGACCTCATGTTGAATGAAATTCTCTTTGAGTCAACATAAATACACACCGCTCCCCACCTCTCTCCACCACTCTCCATCTGATCTCCCTCCCACCCCACCACTATCAGGTGCATTGACCAGCTACCAGAGGTGGTGGACGAGCAAGCCTCGTTGCACCTCATGTGCTACTATCGACCACAGATGACCCAGGTTCCACACTAGGCCATCTTATTCAGTTCTAAAAACTCTCGCTCTTAGAACTTGATACCTTTCAAAAGTTCCTTTTTCGACATGACGATTCTTCATTTCTCCTACCTTAAACCCCACTTTCTTCTTATTTATGTTCTTTTCAGTCCCTCAGAGAGTTCAATATGGTATCCATGCTCGCCTCACCTCCGTTTTCATCGTGTTTCCTGGTCCTAATGCCTGCTTCTCAGGTGTTTCGCCAGGTGCTTTTCTCCCCTCACGGCACGCCATCGCATGCCATAGGCTGGCTCATGGTGGCGCAAGCTTTCCTGCACAACCTCCCACTCTCCCTGCCAGATGAGGTGATACGAAACGAAACCCTCTCCTTGCTTATATGGTCCTTCATTAAGTGAGCGTGATAATTACAGCACCCTCGTGGTACACTCGTAGTTACCCCCTCCTTGCTCTCTCTTTAAAACGTCTCAATGCATGCCGACGGCTGGCCCATGGTGGCTCAAGCCTTCATACACACCCTGCCGCAATCCTTGCCAGCTGTGGTGTTACGAACCCCCTCTGTCTTTCTTTACTCAAGGTGCCTTGAGAACAGCTAGGATGGCTCATCATGGTTGGTCATGGCTTAAGCCCTCTGGATCTTCTCCTGTCTCTCCTATGCTGTTTCTCCCCCCAGCGCCCCCCACTCCTGCCAACAGCAGTGCAGTTTGCTGACTCACTGCTCCACGCCATCATGGGGGGAGTGTACTCGCTCCTCTCTGCACTACAGTCAGACCAGGGGTTGACTGGGTTACACATGAAGGTGAGTCCCATGCTGCTACTCCCTGTTACATGCTGCACCCATACATGCTGCACCCACACACACTCCATCCACTCGCTACTACACGTCATCATGGGGGAAGTGGACTCGCTTCTCTCTGCCCTACAGTCGGACCAGAGGCTCACTGGGTTAGACATGAAGGTGAGCATGCGGTGTTGGTTTTACCCATACATGCTTGCATCCATGTTGCTGCACCCGTGCATGGTACACCCATTTTTTAAGCGCCTCAGAAAAAGCTTGCATCCATATTGCTGCACACATGCATGGTACACCCATCCTGCTACTCCATCCACGTGTGCCCCATGTGTGCTCTCCCCATGCAGACACTACCAGCAGCAGCAGCAGTGCTACTCGCGACCACCACTCAAGGCACATCCGCTGGCCACCAGTCACTCACTCATCCCTCTGCAGACCAACAGCACCAGCTGCTGCAGCTGCTCCCAGGCAGTGAGAGTCAGCCGCACAACCGAGCACATATTGCCAGGTAAGATCCTGTGCTTCCATCCGTGCTGTTTCTATTATGATGGCGTGAGCTGGTGTGTCAGCCAGATCTCCCCCTGTTTCTATTATGACGGTGCGAGTTGGTGTTTTCTAAATAAATTTCTCTCTCTCCACACCACGCCCTCTCCACCTTGACCTAATTATCCAACCCTTCGTCCCCTCCCACCAGCATAACCGCATCGCTGCACAAGCTAGTGGGGCTTGTGTCAGCCATTGATAGCCTGCCACCTGTCAGAGTAGCCGACCATGCCTTCGTGCCCCGAGAGGTACGGTCTCTCCCTTTCCAGCCATTTCCCTTGTGTCAGCCATTGACAGCCTGCCACCTGTCAGTGTCGCCAACCACGCCTTTGTTCCCAGAGAGGTAACATTTGTCTTCATGCGTTCTTTCTAGCGCCATACTCAAATCCGTTCAAATTGCCTTTCGAATCCGTTTTTGAGTCGCCCGAGGAAAACCCTTTCCAGACATCTCTCCGCCATTCTTCCAAATGCCACCTGTAAGAGCGTCCCTCAGCCATTGAGCCCCAAGCATCCCCTGCTCCTCTCTCCACTTCCCTCTGTTCCCTATCCCGTATTCCCTATCCCCTCCCTATCCCCTCTCCCTTATCCCTTCAACCCCCCAACAGTACCTGAGAGAGCGCCTCACCCGCCACCTGCACCACTGCCTGCGCTCCGCCATTCTCCCCAACGGCCACCTGCAGCGCCCCTCAACCCCTATCTTCCTTTGCCCTCTTTCCCTCCTTGTCCCTTGCCCCCACCTTAACAGTACCTGCGGGAGCGTCTCACCCGCCACTTGCACCACCGCCTGCGCTCTGCCATTCTCCCCAACGGCCATCTGCAGCGCCCCTCCGCCTTCGAGTGCTCCCTCACGCGCTTCCTCCTCCTCCTCCTGCTCCTGCAGCAGCACTGCTCCCTCGACCTCTCTCGTACCATCCGGGAGGTTCTTCTGGGGGAGGCCTTTCCTAGGAGGGGCGGGGGAAGGGGGGAGGAGATGGAGGAAAGGGATATGGCAGGGAGGGAGGAGGGGCATGGGGAGGAAGTGTTTGAGGAGCAGGTTTTGGGAGGGTGCAGGGACTTGCACCCGCTGTATCGGCCTGACTGGGAGAGGGAGAAGATTGGGGTGATGGGGAGGGGAGGTGGGGGAAAGGGGAAGGGGGGAGAGGGAGGAGCGGGAGTGGGAGGGGGACGAGCGTGGAATGGGGAAAAGGGGAAGAGGGAAGGGATGGAGAGAGGAGGTGAGGAGAGTGGAGGGATGGAGAGAATAGGGGAGGAGAGAGGATGGGAGGAGAGAGGAGGGGTGCATGGCAAGGCAGTGTCAAGCTCACTGGATTCTCGGCTGAGGAAGAGTGGCGGATGGAAAGGACGATGGACGGTAGGCTCCAAACAAGGCAAGGGCATGGGGATCGGTATGGGATCGGACATGGGAACAGGTATGGGAACAGGTATGGGAACAGGTATGGGAACAGGTTCGGAGGAGGGTTGCATAGGAGAGGAGGGACTAGAAGTGAGAGATGGTGGGTGTGGAGTGATAAGAGGACAAGGGGAAGCTTCTGGGCAAATGCAGGAGGAAGGAAGGGAGGGTGGGTTGGGGTGGAATGAAGATGGGGCTGTTGGTGGTGGTGGTGGTGGTGGTGGTGATGGTGAGCTTTGATGGGCCGAGTGCTGCTGTGATTATAGCGCGATGGTACGTTGACAATGTGGTGTGTGACTGTAACGAGGCCGGGGTGCTGTTCTCCCCGCTTGATGCCACCTTTAGAAGCACATCATGGGGAGGAAGTGTAGCATTTTCATCAGCACCAGACGCAGCAGCAGGAGGGGGAGAAGGAGGAGGAGGAAGAGGAGGACGAGCAGGAGAAGGAGCAGGCGCCAGCAGCAGCAGTCCAGTCAAACCCGGAACAGGAAATCTCCCCCCCGGTCATCTCACCCCCCCTGTGGCCTCCTCTCCTGCACTCGTACCAGGAGCAGCAGCAGCAGCTGGTGCGTTCAGCCCCCTCCTGCCCTTCCCCGCCTCCACCAGCCCAAATCCCGCCCTCGCCACCCCTCCCTCTCTCTCCAATCCGTCTCCCTCCCTCTCCTCCTCCACTCCCTCCTCCTCTGCCTCCACCTTTCCATCCTCCTCTGCTGCATCCCCGTTCACTACGGCGTCCCCTCAGACTGGCGTCACTGTGTCTTCAGTCCTTGCCTCCTCCCCCATCTCCCCAATCCTCACCTCGCCCAATTCAGCGCCCGCTGGTGCAGCATCTGCAGCAGGGGCGGGATTAGGAACAGACGCAGGAGGAGGAGCAGGAGGAGCAGGAGGAGCAGGAGGAGGAGGAGCAGGAGGAGCAGCGGGGGAAGTAGGGTTGGGGGCTCGGCCAGTGATTGCTGAGTTAGTGGCGGATGGTGCTGAGCTGGCAGCGTTTGTGAGGCTGTTTGGATTCTACGGAGCGGATGAGCTGGCGGGTCGGGTGGTGCGGCCTGTGCTGATGCGCCTGCTGAGTCGGCTGGAGGCCATTCTGAGGGCCAACCGAGACTCCCTCATGATGCTCGCTTCTAAAATGCACCTCTCTCCTCCTTTACAGGTGAGCTTTGAGCCGACTCAAAAGTCACCTCCCCCCTTGCAGGTGAGTTTTGTTTGAGAATTTTCAGAACTCCCCTCAGTTGCCTTCAGGCTATTCTCAGTTGCCTGGAAGCCATTCTACGGAGTGGATGAGCTGGCAGGGCGGGTGGTGCGACCCGTGCTGCTGTGCCTGCTGAGTCGCCTGGAGGCCATTCTGCGGGCCAACCGCGACTCCCTTATGATGCTCGCCTCCAAGATGCACCTCTCTCCTCCCTTGCAGGTGAGTTCCATAGACTTTGTGCGGCTGTTTGTGTTCTACGGGGCGGATGTGTTTTTCGAAATTTCTCAGAAAACAGGTGAGTGTTTTAGAATCTGTGAGGCCGTTTGGGTTCTACGGGGCAGGTGAGCTGGCAATGTTGGTGCTGCTGGTGGGAATTCTCAAAAGCAACACCAGCGTAGCTGGCGGGGCGGGTGGTGCGGTGCGGCCGGTGCTGCTGCGCCTGCTGAGTCGCCTGGAGGCCATTCTGCGGGCCAACCGAGACTCCCTTATCATGCTCGCCTCCAAGATGCACCTCTCTCCTCCCTTGCAGGTGAGCTTTGTTCGAAAGTGCACCTCTCTCCTCTCCCCTCAGTTGTTTGGAAGCCATTCTACGGCTCCGATTGGCTGACAGGGCGGGTGGTGCGACCTGTTCTGCTGCGCCTGCTGAGTCGCCTGGAAGCCATTCTGCGAGCCAACCGAGACTCCCTTATGATGCTCGCTTCTAAAATGCACCTCTCTCCTCCCTTGCAGGTACCATCAGCTGCTGCTGCTGCCGCCGCTGCTGCTGCTGCTGCCGCTGCTGCTAGTGCTGCCGGTGCTACTGATTCTTCTGCTGATCCTGCTGGTAGCACACCTGGCCCTGGAACAACGGATACAAGCACGCCTGATACAATCCCATCTGGTACAGGCACAGCTGGAGCAGGCAAAGCCGCTACTGGTCCATCTGCTGCTAGCAAAGCCGGTACAAGCACAGGCACAGGCAGCACCACCCGCACGCAGCAGCCAGAGGAGCAGCAGCGAGCAGCAGCAGCAGCAGCCATAGCAGCGCCAGCAGAGGAAGCACTCTCCCTCTGCATCCAAATCGGTCACTGCCTCTCCTTCCTCCACGTCCTCTCCTCTGCCTGCTCCTCCACTCTCCACGACCATATCCCCCTCGTGCTGTCAGTACTGAGAGACACAGCCTCCCACCTCCCTCCTTCCTGCCCCGAGAGTGTGGCAGTAGGGCAGTTGAGGAGGGTTGCTGCGAGGTGCGGGGTGGGAGGAGGGGCAGCGGGAGCAGCGGCAGTGGCGGCGGGAGGGGCGGTGGTTGCGAGTGGGATGGGGGGAGCAGGGGGGATGGCGGGGGTCGGGGGAGGGGGAGGGGAGGAGGAGGTGGGCGGAGGGGGAGGAGGGGCGGATGGGACGTTTGCGGAAGTGCTTGATTTGCTGATGGAGATAGGAGGAGTGGGGGACGGAGCTTGGGCCATGCTCCCATTTCTCTTTGCCATCATGCTGGGAGGAGAGTCTTGGGAAACCTGTGTATACCTCCCAGAAATACAGGGTTTTTCGGATAATACCAACTGTTTGATTCGGGCTATACACGTGCTTCTGGTGGGGTGCGAGCGGGCGGGGGCAGAGAGAAGAGAGCTGAAGCGTGAGCTGCTAGCGCAGCAGCGGATCATGAGAGGATCAAATCGCAACTCGGAGGACTACGCTGATGATGACGAGCCGACCGACCTGGTCCGGCTGGCGGGCGGTGTGGCCGGCATGATGCGGACGTTTGTGCAGCACGCGGCGAGTTTCGTCCTGAATTTCTGGGATAAGGGCCCGCGGGGTGCATGGGCCTCTAGAGTGATATTCTTAGACCAGCTCTGCCTCTTCTCCCCGCATCTGCCACGATCGGTGCTAGAAAAATACCTTCCTTACACTCTCATCCGTGCGGCTTACGATGCGTACCACAACCACCCTCCTCTCCCTCTCCCGCTCCCACTCCCTCTCGCTCCTCCTCCTGCTCAGCCCTCCTCTTCTCCTTTCACAGCCACAGTTCCTGCTGCTTCTCCCACGGGAGCAGGAGATGGGAGGACTCCACTCTCCTCCATCCCCACCTTCTCTCCCCTCTTCCCTCCCCAAACTCGTCCCTCGGGCCCTTTTGCTGCAAGAAAGGTTCGAGACATAATCCAACCCCCATCCCCTCCATCCCCACCATCCCCACCATCACCCCCTATCCTCTCTCCTCCTCCTGGTCCTTCTCGGCAGTCCCCCTTCCCCTCAATTTCCCCCGATCTTACCTTACCTGCTGCTTTGCCGAACCAAGCGCAGTTGTCGGCTACAGGACAGGAATTGCCGGCCAGCTCCGATCCCCAACAGTCACATCTGTCACAGTCACAGCAGCTGCAGTCACAGCTGCAGCTGCGGCTGAGAGCAGCAGAGGGCGGCAGCGGGAAGTTAGATCAGTTCGAGGAGCAGTTAGAGCAGTTGGAGCAGTTGGAGCAGTTGGAGCAGTTGGAGCAGTCGGAGCAGTTAGAGCAGTTGGAGCAGCAGCGACCAGCACATGGATCGTCCACTTTGCTGGAAATGGCGCAGAGCTTCGAAACGCCCCAGCAAAACGCGCCTGCCGCAGTGGCAGAAAGGAGTGGTGGGCATGGAGGGCATGGGGGCCGGGGGGGGCGAACCCCCACTGCCGCTGCTGCAGCTGCTGCGGCTGCCGCTGCTTCTGCCGTCTCCTTTGGCCACAACGCTGTTGGCGCTGGTGGTGCTGGTGGTGCTGGTGAGGGCGAATACTCGGGTGAATATTCAGGTGAATTTTCAGGTGAGGGTGGGTCTCCAAGCCACGCACCTGCCATGCGCTGCCTGCCGTCCACACCTCAATCCCTGGCAAGGAAGCATGGCTTCTCTCATCACTCCCAGCAGCAGCAGCCGCAGCAACAGCAGCAGCAGCAGCAGCAGCAGCAGCACAGCAAGGCGCACTCTCCCTCTGTCTCGTCTCAGGGATACCGGTCTGGTCAGCTTTTTAGTCACACAGGGGCAGAACCAGGAGCAGCAGGAGGAGCAGGGGGAGGAGGAGGAGGAGCAGGAGGAGGAGGAGCAGGAGGAGGAGGAGGAGGAGGAGCAGCAAGACCAGCACCCGCATCACCAGCAGTGGTGGCGGCAGCAGCTGCTGCTGCAGCGTCCGTTTCCCTTCCTCCTGGCCTCGCCGCTTCTGCCCCGCTCACTCTCCCTGCTGCTGCCCACGACCCCCTACCTCTTGCTCCCTCCGCTTCCTCTTCCTCCTCCTCCTCTGCGTATCGTGCCCCCCCTTCCTCCTCTGCTTGGATGCATATGAAGGGTAAGCCCAAGGCGAAGTCAGGGCAACTGGTGTATGGGCTTGCGGGTAAGATGGGGAGAGCAGGAGGGGGAGGAGGAGGGGGAGTGGGAACGGGAGGAGGCATGGGTAAGGGAATGGGGATGGGGATGGGGATGGGGATGGGAGGAGGTGGTGGTGGTATGCGCGGAGGAGTAGGGGCAGGAGGAGGAGGGGGGGGAGGGGGAGTAGGGGTGGGAGGGGGGAGAAGAAGCACCACCCCCACCAGGAGGCAGGTGCGATCTGGGCCGTTGATCTCGGGAGCATCGCATGAGCAGATGGACGTTGGAGATGCTGCGATGGATATGGTCAGGACCACATCTGCTCACCCCCGTGGGACCACTGCTGCTGCTGGTGGTGTCGCTGCCGGTGTTTCTTCTTCTTCTGCTGCTCCTGCTGGTGCTGGTGCTGGTGTTGCTGGTGCTGGTGGTAGTGGTGCTGGTGACGTTGCTGCTGCTGCTGCTAGTGGTGAAGTTGGTGGCACAGGTGAGGCAGATGGTGACTGGGAGTACGGTGCAGATGGGTTTGACCAGTTTGGGGACGGTGATGACTTCTCTCCAGCGGACGTCTTTGCTGAAATCGGCCGTGCTGCTGCTGCCGGCAGTGGCGAGGGCAATGGCAGTGGCAACGCCGGGGACGAAGGAGCCTGGGAGAGGCACAATCGTGGGTCAGCTGGTACAGGAGGAGCAGGACGAGAAGGGTCACATGCCGCTGCTGCTGATGCAGCTGATACTGTTGCAGATGCTGCTGCTGCTCGTCGCATGCCCGCTTCACGGATCAAAGCGGCGGTGCTGTCAGCTCTGGGGTTGACTGGCCTGGGGATGGGGAGAAAGTCAGGAGGGAAGGAGGACCTGCGACCTGCTCCTCCTGCCTTCTCCACTGGTGGTGGCGCTGCTGCTGCTGCTGCTGCTGCTAATGGTGATGCTGCTTCTGTGTATTCAAGTACTAGTGCTGCTGTTGCTGCTGGCAGCAGTGGTGCTGGTGTTGGTGTGCGTAATAGCACGGGCGGGGGCGGTTGGAGGGGGTTCAGTGGGAACCTCAACCCCTTTTCTCCCAGGAGGAGCAACATAGGGGGTCACGACTTGACGGGACAGGGTGGGGGGGTGGGTGGTGAGAGGTGGGGGGAAGCGGGTGGAGAGGCAGGGGTTGGAACAGGGGCAGGAGGGAGGGGCGGTTTTGATTGGACGAGTCTGAATGACTTGCAGCAACAGCTTCGGCAGCAGCTTCAGCAGCACCTGGACGGCCGCCGAACCTCTCTCGGAGGTAAGGGAACAGCTTCGGCAAGTGGAGCTTTGTCGGATGCAGGCTCGGTTGGTACTGCTGCTTCTGGCTTTGGTGCTGGAGGTGGCAGCGGTGTTGCTGGTGCTGCTGGTGCTGGTGTTGCGAGTGCCGAAGCACAGGCACCAGAAATGAGTTCCCGAGGGCAGGCAAGCCCGGCCGTTGCAGCAGCGGCAGTAGCAGCTGCAGCAGGCCTCGTACCCCCATCCCTCCAAGCAGCAGCAAGGCAAGAAGGCGGCGGCATGGTAGCACTGCAACGCGCCAGCAGCAGCAACAGCCGCATGGGAACAACTGCTACTGCTAATTCCACCCATGGGGCAACCCAAGGAAACCATCTCCACTCCTTGGAACCGCGCAAGTATGGAGTCTCGGCGTCAGCCCCTCTGGATCCCAGGCTCGTTGCTGCTGGCGCTGCCCCTGCCTTCCCCGCTGTCCCCCCAGGCTTCCCTTACCTCCCTTCCTCTTCTTCTTCCTCTGCTGCTGCTGCTCGTTCCTCCTCCCCTGCTCCTGCCGCCACTCCTGCTCCTTGTGCTGCAGCATCCCCCCGTCCCTCTGCTCCTGCTGCTGCTGCTGCTATATCTGCACCTCCGCGTGCCTCCGCTCCTTCTGCTGCAACAGCTGCCTCCCCGCGTGCCTCGGGTTTCCCAAGGCGGATAGACGTGGTGGGGGTGGAGAGGTTAGGGTTGCATGAGCTAGATGCCAAGGTGCTAGGACTGAAGAGCCTGAATATCCCCAAGGGGAAGGAGCGGACAGAGGATGAGGTGTTTGATGAGCAAGTTCTCGCTGTAAAGGGGAGTGGGAAGTGAATTTACCCCGGTGCTGGCCTTACTAGAGAGTGAGAAGTGGTGGTGGGGGTGGAGAGGCTGGGGTTGCATGAGCTGGATGCCAAGGTTGGGCTGGAGAGCCTCAACATTTCCAAGGAGAAGGAGCGCACAGAGGATGAGGTGTTTGATGAGCAAGTGAAGGTACCCTAATGGTCGCCTTTGAGAATAGGGAGACAAGGTGCTGGGGCTGAAGAGCCTTAACATCCCCAAGGGGAAGGAGCGTGCGGAGGATGAGGTGTTTGATGAGGAAGTTCCCCTTGTAAAGGGGGGTGGGAAGTGAAGTTCCCCTACTGGTGGCCTTCGTGCATAGGGAGACAAGGTGCTGGGGCTGAAGAGAGCCTACTATCCCCAAGGGGAAGGAAGGACGGCACAGAGGATGAGGTGTTTGACGATCAAGTTCTCGTTGTAAAGGGCGGTGGGAAGTGAATTCACTCCGGTGCTGGCCTTACGGTACTTGGGGCTGGAGAGACTAGGGTTTGCATGAGCTGGGTGTCTAGGTGCCGCTGCGGATGAAGTTCCTCAATGATCGCAAGGAATTGGCGTCCCTTGAAATGGGTTGGAGAGAGTTGGGGTGGCGAATCCATAACCTTTTCTATAATTAAAAACATACAAACAGAAACAGCTTAAGATGTTCTCTAGAAGACAACTTAATACAGTAGGTTGGGCTGGTAATCAATGTTTGGCTTATACCCTATGGGTAGCAACATTGAGCACCAACATTCTCCCTACTATCGCTCCTCTTTCCACCCTCATGCCAAACATACGCCACTATTCCGTGGGGTTCTCTGCTCACTTGTAGGAAAAGCGTGCAGAACACAGCCTGGGAGGGATTGGAGGGAACAGGAAGGAGGGGATACAGAGGGTAAGGGGATGAACACAGGGGTAAGCAGGGGGAAAGGCATGACGGGAAACCAAACACATGATGGGTAACGCAGGGTTAGGGAACACAGGGTAAGCAGCGGGGAAACACATAATGGGAAACACAGGGAACACAGGGTAAGCAGTGGGGAAAAACATGATGGGAAACACAGGGAACGCAGGATAAGTAGTGGGGAAACACATGATGGGAAACACAGGAACACTAGGTAAGCAGTGGGGAAACACACGATGGGAAACACAGGGAAGACTAGGTAAGTAGTGGGGAAACACATGATGGGAAACACAGGGAACACAGGGTAAGCAGTGGGGAAACACCTGAACAGGGATGAAAGTGGGGAGGGCGAGGAATGAGAGGGGAGGGGGCGGGCAATGTGAGGGGGAAGGGCGGGCATTGCGAGGGGGAAGGGCGGGGGGGATATGTGAGGGGGAAGGGCGGGGGGAATGTGAGGCAGAAGGGCGGGCAATGTGAGGGGACGGGCGGGCAATGTGAGGGGGAAGGGCGGGCAATGTGAGGGGGAAGGGCGGGCAATGTGAGGGGGAAGGGCGGGCAATGTGAGGGGGAAGGGCGGGCAATGAGAGGGGGAAGGGCGGGCAATGTGAGGGGGAAGGGCGGGTAATGAGAGGGGGAAGGGCGGGCAATGAGAGGGGGAAGGGCGGGCAATGAGAGGGGGAAGGGCGGGCAATGTGAGGGGGAAGAGCGGGCAATGAGAGCCTTATACTAGTTCACATCACACCCGTCGCGCCTTCTCTCGCTGCTCACTCCGTTCCCCTTCACGCATTCAATCGCTGTCCACTCCCGTACGCGCCGCGCGTCTTCAATCGCTTCCGCTCCCCGTACACGCCTTGCGCCGTTGTAAAACCCCCCTTCCCCCCGCGCCGACCACCGATCTCGCTGCTCACAGACAGTCCGTCACGCGTGACCTGCTTGCGCGCACCTATCAAGGGAATTGTGAGAATCCTAAAAAATCGCTCAAGAAAATCACGTCAGTTGCGCGTGCCTTGCTTGCTCGCGCTTTAATAACTGCTCATACCCGTCCGCGCGCCGCGCGCCGCTATCGCCGCTCAAACGCCGTCTGTTTCTTACCATTCGTTCAAGCTTACTCCCGTCCCCGCCACGCGCCGTTCTCTGTGCCAACATCGACGATTTCTCGCCATTCTTTCTTTTTCAATCTCCCGCTTCCCTCTTCCCTCATCGCGCGTATTTTGACGCTCTGCCGTGCTCGCTTCGACTGAAATTTCGCTTTTTGACGGACGGCATGTGAGAAGCGCGACTGAAAAATCGCCTTATCATCACCATCCATCGTGCCTATAAGATGCTCTCTCCGGTCCACGCGTCGCGTGATTTTTCACTGATCGCCCGCGTCTGTCTGGCTCTTTCCTATCGGTCAAATGAGGCACAAGAGTCGTAACTAAAGCGGTTTGAGAACTACTAATGCTCCAGGTAATTTGGAGTCTTCAGTAATACGGTAAGTATAGTGCCCCATCACCTGAGTTGCCGTGCCAACGGCAACCAAATCCCAATCTCTCTGAATTTTGCGAAACGTCGCTATTGGTTTGATCAGTCGCTAGCCCCCAACCCCAAAACCGGGTAACACCTTTTCGATTTCTGATTGGTTCTGACCCAATCAGTAGTCGCGACCCTTTAGACGACTTCAGCGAACCAGAGCGAAAGCGGTCACTTCACCTGTTGTGCTTCGCGTGAAAGTGGTCGCCCGAGCCGATTTGCATCGCGTGAAAGTGGTTGCCCAACCCAATGTCCTTCGCATAACAGTGGTCCCAGAAGAATGTCCCAAATCACTAACAGAGGGCACTATCCCAGCTGGCAAGTCGTCATCATGGGAAACCTAGAAGGCTTCCCGAAGCGCGACGTCACAGCTGTCCCCACCAAGGTCTGCAAGCCTTGCTCGCTAGGGTGGTATGCAGTAGATACGCTCTTGTACGTCCGCATCCCGACGTTCCAGATCTCTCTAGTATTTTCAACATATTCTCTCTGGTGATCTTTCAATCTCCTTTCTAGTACTAGTGCTTCATATCTCCTGCGGCACCAGCGTTCTAAGCTCTATCTCCTTAACACGTGTTAAGTCAGCCCGCTCACCTCTCTCCCTTCTTCGTGTTAGATCTACCACTCGCGCTCCGCTCTCCCCCTCCTCGTGCAACAACCGGCGCTCAAGCGATGGGTGACAAGATGGAGGATTACGCGGCGGGTCGCATCACCGTGTCAACGGAGGAGATTATCGACATGGCTGCGCTCACCATCATCGCCGAATCTCTTCCTATGTGAGCTTCAGCCGTGCCCCGCGCTCGCATCACTTGCTGCGTGTTGTATGTGTCAGCCCCACGCTCGCATCACTTGCTGCGTATTGCATGTTTCAGCCGTGCCCCGCGCGGGGCGCTCGCATCACTTGCTGCGTTTTGTATGTGTCAGCCCCGCGCTCGCATCACTTGCTGCGTATTGCATGTTTCAGCCATTCCCCGCGCGGGGCGCTCGCATCACTTGCTGCGTATGTGTCAGCCCCGCGCTCGCATCACTTGCTGCGTTTTGTATGTTTCAGCCGTTCCCCGCGCGTGGCGCTCGCATCACTTGCTGCGTATGTGTCAGCCCCACGCTCGCATCACTTGCTGCGTATGTGTCAGCCCCACGCTCGCATCACTTGCTGCGTATTGCATGTTTCAGCCATTCCCCGCGCGGGGCGCTCGCATCACTTGCTGCGTATTGTATGTTTCAGCCGTGCCCCGCGCGGGGCGCTCGCATCACTTGCTGCGTATGTGTCAGCCCCACGCTCGCATCACTTGCTGCGTATGTGTTAGCGTTCCCGTCTCTCGCTGCGCACGCTTCTGCCGCGCATTTGTGTCTCTTGCTGCCCTCGTTTCTGCTGCGTGTTTAGTTTCTGTCACGTGTTTGCTCGCGCCGCGGGTGGGTTCCTTACACATGTTGACTCCTGATTCAATTTGTTCTGTTTTTTTATTCTCTCTCCTTTCTATCTCTATGTTATCTTTCTTCTCCCCACTACCAGTGGAAACTGGGCAACACTTGTGGATCAAACGGTTCCAAGACTATTCGTCGGCTTGAGAAAAAAATATTCTTGGGCAGTTGACGTGCGCTACAGATTCCTTGAGCTTGTAAGTACCAACGCTATACATCAATGGCAGTGTCATTTGCAACACTGGTTTTATTCAATTGCTCAATGCTGAATGCCACCTCTTTAGCTATTCATTCATATTTGTGTTTTCATCGCAAAGTGAGGACTTGAATCCTGAAAGTGCACAGACAAAGCGGTTAGAAATCATCCAATCAAATAGATACAATTGCGTGTCGCGCTATCCCGCGACAGCAATCGAAGGGTCATTCCCTCGTAAGACTGGAATGGAGTTCCTTGTTGGGGTGAATGAGCATGGAGTACATTTTTTTAATGCTGCCATGAATGTGTGCTTGTTCACTGCACCCCTCGAGGTTGTACACTGCACTCCCGAAGGGGTGGTGAGATTGGTATTGAATGTTGGATCGACATTTGAAGTCAGTGGAGGCGAAGACATCCGTCTCGCCTTCATGGCCCGCAAACGTGATGGTGGTGGGGAAGAGAAAGAGGGTGCAGGTGAAGCTTTATGGTTACTGTGTGAGTTAGATGAGAAAAGGGAGTTGGTTTCCTCCCTAAAAAACAGAATGAAGAGCTGGAGCAGCGAAACAAAGAGCTCAGCGACGAATTAGTGGTGAGTTATCTATTACTGTCCTCTTGAAGTTCAGTCTACGTAACAGAATTCTCATTCATCATGAATGCTATTGCAGGAGTTGAAATTGAAGGATTCGTAAGCTGGATTCTGCACAGCACCTCGATCCGTTCGCTTCCTCCCTATTTCATGCACTTGGCCAGGCTTATAAGACGATCTGTTTGGTTGCATGTTGCTGCATGCATTGCCAAAGGACCTGATTAAGCTGAAAATGCTGCACTACTTGAAAGTTGGAGATAGCAGGCACCTCATTGATAGTGAAGCCCGCTTACAGCCCCCTGAATTGATGTATAGCTTGTACATAGAGTGTGTTAGGTGATGATTTTAGTGCTTATGTTCAGGAACCTGCATGTGGAATACTATCCTGTGGCGGTTTCTCTGATCATGTCTCACAGAGAGGGGGTTGGGTTGAGGCTAGTATCGTAGTACTTTTCCTTGTCGTGCGTGGGATTGTCTAAAAAACTCAGGATTCTGCAAATTTAGATCTTCATCGCCTGCTCGCATTTGCTTCTACATCGCCGGTTCCAGTTTTATTTCCATCCAGATGCTTCCGGACACATTTGCTTGCCCTTGCACATATCCATATATGGTGCGAGGGAGTGTACTCAAGACCTGTTTGGAAGCAACGCTGCCTTCCCAGTCCTATTAGGTAAGTTTCAATACCCTTGCTCACACTCTAGAAGTGTGGTTATGCATATTTGAGCCTTTGTATGTCCTTGTATAAGCCTCTCCATGCATCTCTCTGGTCATATCGAACACCCTAGCATGTATCTCCCTGTATCTTTGGATGCATTCGTATACCCCAGTATATATTCCCATGCATCCCCAGTTATACATTCATATTCTGATTTTGCATGATCTAGAAGAACATCTTTCCCAAAACGCCCCCTTCTCCCTTTTTCCAGTATCTTATCCTTTTCTCCACCTACTCCCCTGCTTCATGGCATGTTGCCGAAAGCAGGGAAGCTGATAGGGGTCAAGCACATGCTGATGAGGATCAGCCAAAGGTGCTAACTTGGCAACTGCACACACTGTAAGCACATGCTGACATGTTTTTTCCCCATCACTGTAAGCACATGCTGACATGTTTTTTCCCCATCACTGTAAGCACATGCTGACATGTTTTTTCCCCATCACTGTAAGCACATGCTGACATGTTTTTTTCCCCATCACTGTAAGCACATGCTGACATGTTTTTTCCCCATCACTGTAAGCACATGCTGACATGTTTTTTCCCCATCACTGTAAGCACATGCTGACATGTTTTCTCCCCATCACTGTAAGCACACGCTGACATGTTTTTTCCCCATCACTGTAAGCACATGCTGACATGTTTTTTTCCCATCACTGTAAGCACATGCTGACATGTTTTCTCCCCATCACTGTAAACACATGCTGACATGTTTTCTCCCCTTTACTGTAAGCACGCACTCTCATGTTTTTCCCCATTACTGTAAGTGCTCACTCTCTTGACATGCCTATGTCTGGCCTGAGCCCTCATGCCCAACCCAACCATAGCCTATTGGCTCCTGCGTAGTCCATCCAACTCTGACCAGGCAGAAATGACGCTGAAAAGGCTGACAAACTGGTATGGTTATTCTGTCTAAGTCACTGACCTGGCTGGTGTGGCTGATTTGAATGACTAGCCGATATGGCTGGCCTGTCTGATCTTGCAGCAATAAGGCTGAACAGGCTTAAAAATGGTATGGTCGATCCATCCAATCGCCTGATGTGGCTGATTGGGTGCTTAGCCGATATGGCTGGCCTAACTGATCTGCCTAAAAAGCTGATCAGGGCATTTTAACTGATTAGGGTGGCTATTTAGCAATACATGATCTGGCTAGTCTGGCCTATCAGCTTATCTAACTGATGTAGCCGATCAACTGGTCTGGCTGACATAGCTGATCAGCCAATCAGCTGAACTAGCTGAGCTGATACTGGCTAATTTCACTAGATAGCTGGTCTTGCTGATTGGTTTATCGTGCTGATAAATAGACCTGCCTGGTCCATGCAGACCGATGATTCTGCTACCTGATTTGGGTAGTCTACCTTGGTAACTGATCTGGCTAACCAAAATATTAGCTTATTCGATGACCTATCTGGTTGGCTGATTGGCTGAACTGGCTTACTACTTGATCTTGCCAATTCACTTGATCGGCTAATCATGTCAATCGCGCTGACTTGTTCCTTTTTTGCCAATGTAGCTTTTACTGATCTAATCTGGCAGGTCTAGCTGAATTGCTTGTTAGGCTGCTCGGCTAATCTCGTTAATCTAGCAGATTAACAAATCCAGTTCATAAGCTGATACTAGCATGTTTGCTAATCTTGCTGATCTGAATGTTTATCCCCCCCCTCCCTCCTCCCTCCCTCCCTCCCTCCCTCCCTCCCTCCCTCCCTCCCTCCCTCCCTCCCTCCCTCCCTCCCTCCCTCCTCCTCCCTCCCTCCCTCCCTCCCCCCTCCTCCCTCCCTCCCTCCCTCCCCCTCCCTCCCTCCCTCCTCCCTCCCCCCTCCCTCCCTCCTCCCTCCCTCCCTCCCTCCCTCCCTCCCTCCCTCCCTCCCTCCCTCCCTCCCTCCCTCCCTCCCTCCCTCCCTCCCTCCCTCCCTCCCTCCCTCCCTCCCTCCCTCCCTCCCTCCCTCCCTCCCTCCCTTTCAGCCTTGATATCAGTGCGCACAGCGAGGAGAGTCAGCACCCCAGCCGTGTGTTGCATACGATTGCATGGCACACTGCGCTTCTGCGATGAGAGAACTACATTCATACACCCCAGCCAGGTCTACATTGGTCCGTAGCATCTTGTCACATGTGCTCGCCCTCCCATATCATGCCAATCATCAGGCTTTTCAGCTCGTGTGTAGCACCATGCTTCCTCGTTTCTAGGAATCTGGAAGGCTGACTTGGTTGTTTGGTTTCCGTTCTTCAATGTGCGTTTTCATTTGTGTATCCATGACCGTGAATTAATTCTCTTCTTCTTTTCCGTGACTTGTTTTCCCGTAGGCAAGAAAGTACTACAGTGCTGTATGAGCATCAGAGAGAAAACTAACTGTATTTGTTTGTTTGGTCTTATATCTCTCTGGTTGAATCTGTTACTCAAGCACCTTTGTTCTCGTTCTTCTACTGCTCTTGTCTGCTGCTGCTGGTGCTGCTCTCGTTCTTCTACTGCTCTTGTCTGCTGCTGCTGGTGCTGCTCTCGTTCTTCTACTGCTCTTGTCTGCTGCTGCTGGTGCTGCTCTCGTTCTTCTACTGCTCTTGTCTGCTGCTGCTGGTGCTGCTCTCGTTCTTCTACTGCTCTTGTCTGCTGCTGCTGGTGCTGCAGGTCGTTGTTTGAACATCGCTCCCGGGTGTGAATATCTGCCCAAGTCAGAAAGACTGAGCAGGTAGCAGAGGCACATGCACTGAAACTTCCTCGGCAGCGCCCTTACTTCAGCTTTCGCAGCCTTCGCCCAAAGCAAAGAACACCCCGAACTTGTCAGTGGACAGTGGAGCGGCTCATCTATGCGACCGACAGACACACACAAATGGGGTCCATCAGACCCCCTTTCCGGTGACTGTAGAGATGCTCCGTTCACCAGCAAATCTGAAGTATTTTCAACGCCCCCCATACTTTCACGTCAGAAGCCTGCAGCGTTCAAAGAGCCAAACGAACCAAGCCCAGGGGGGGTGGGAGATGATACACTTGCTCAGTAACAGCCGCCGCACAATTAACAAGGTCTGGATTGAGGAGGGATCCATCATCCATCGAGTTTCTATTGTACACCTTGGCAATGGCAAATTCTCTCAAATTAGCTCATCCGTGGTGCGTTTTGTTCCCTCAAAGTTCTCTACAGTGGTTGAATTTTTCCCTACTACCGGTATATTTTGATATGGGTCAGGAAGGGCTAAAACCAATTTGAAGACTTGTCATCACACCAAGCCATGATTGTACCCTGCTTGCAACACTCATCAGCAAACTCTAATCAGTCTTCTGGTGCAGGGTACACGTTCTAGAGTTGCTTCCATCGTATTGCGATGCCGCGCGGTGGAGTGCGACACAGCTGATGTGGCAAGGTGCAGCTGCTGCTCTCCGTGTGGAAAAGAAGGGAACAGGATGTCTGATGGCAGGTATGCAGGCAAGAAGCAGATGCTGGAGGAGCAGAAAGGAGACGAGTGGATCAGAACGGAGCAGAAAGGAGCGAGCTGCAATGAGGAGTGCTGTTGGCAAGTGAGCAGCTGCAGGTTAATTTCCTTAACGACTCAAACATCAGCAGATGATGGAGAAGCAGAGCAGAGTTGAGCAGAATGGAGCGAGCTGCAACGAGGAGAGGAGTGCCGTTGGCAAGTGAGCGGCTGTGTTGTAGGGACTGGATTGCAGGAGCGGTGGTGGTAGGCAGTGCGGTATGCAGTGGTTGGGAGTGGTGGCAGCCAGTAGGGCAGCAGCAAGAAAATGAGGATCCATCGGCCTCAGCAGGACGGGTGTGACTGCTCCTACAGCATCTGAAAATATAACATCCATTCGCCTATCCCCATCCCATCACGCATCATCCTATCACGCATCATCCCATCACGCATCATCCCATCACGCACCATCCCATCACGCATCATCCTATCACGCATCATCCCATCACGCATCATCCCATCACGCACCATCCCATCATGCATCATCCCATCATGCATCATGCCATCATGCATCATCCCATCATGCGTCATCCCATCATGCATCATCCCATCACGCATCATTCCATCATGCATCATCCCATCACGCATCATCACATCATGCATCATCCCATCACGCAGCATCCCATCATGCATCATCCCATCACGCATCATCCAATCACGCATCATCCAATTACGCATCATCCCATGACGCATCATCCCATGACGCATCATCCAATCATGCATCATCCAAGCATGCATCATCCAATCATGCATCATACTGGCAGCATGTCATTCCGCTCAAGTTGAGCTGCACTCTCTTTCGACTTATTCGCAACATCCCTCTCATGCACAACACGCCATTCAGTGACCATTCTTCCAAAACCTGTTCCTTTCAACAGTTCCTCTCTCAACCCTCACACTCATTTGCGCCCGCCTATTCCTCTCCCACACCAGCTCCGTCAACTCCCCGGCTGTCATTGCAGCCTCGCACCCCCACTGACCTCACAACCCTCATACCCGTCATTACCCTCGCGTCAGTCCCGATCACTGCGCGTACATACAGCAGCACATGACGCGGCAGGGCCGTATCAATGCAAATCGAAACATCTGATCCGGCAAATGTGAGTCACAATCGCTTAGAGTCACCGTCGCGACGTGATTGCGCAACGGTGCAGAAGCAGTGATGTCGAGCTCGACCAGCTTTCAGGAGATCATCGACGGAAGGCCGTCACTCGACGCGAAGCGACGGCGAATTGCATTGATGGCGAAGCTCTCTGCGACGGTGCGACGGCGACTTGAAGCCCAGATCCTCGGTGCGATGGTAGAGCGGATGGCGAAGTGCGTGCAACGACGGCAAATTGCGACGATGACAATGGAAGCACCGACAACACCGTTGGAGCGAGGGTTAATACAACAGCCGCGATGCACATGTCGTCTTGTCCCACCCTTAGATCAACAGGGCCGTTCCGTTCTATTGAATCTAGACACTGCTGCTTCCAGCTTTCTTGGCGTGCGTTGCTACATAAAACAACCATCAAACTGCCGTGCAAGGGTCTTGGCTGGGTCAATCGCGAGCTGGTTACCACTGAGCTGGAAGAAATTGCCACACTATCCCACCCGTCCACTCTATGAAAGTACGGTGCAGAGCGGTTTGTCTAGACGACACAATGGTTGGAAAGTGTTGAGACACTCTGGAATAGATTGGAGAGGAAGTTTTTTTCGCCACTCGCCAGCCCCTTTCGCGTGTGGGAGCATTGTGATGCTGTCGTGGTAACTCTAGTGGACCAGTACTGAGCTGACTCCGCTTGCGAACAATCTGCACTCGCCAACTCCACCAGAAATTCCGTGGGCTGAAAAAGTAGAGCTCAAGGCGTTCCTCGCAGAAAGCGACACAACCAGCCAGTTCTCAGGTGATAGCGTTTCCAAATCTCCTAACAACTATTCTAGCCGAGCATCAATCAGGATTTTGATCCGCTTTTAGATTCAGCTTTATCAGCCCAGCCGTGTCACCTCAGCCCTCGTCCAGCACGAAATTTAGTCAGCTGGGTCCACATGTCAGATCTATCAGACTCGTGATATCTCGAAACGGGACCTCGGAAACATACAACAGGAATTCGTGAACTCGTGAATTCGTGAATTCACATGATAGCTCTGGACGGGTGATCAGGGAATTTGTGAAGCCCAACGTTTGAAGAACCATCAGGCTACGTCTTGGAGCCTACGGGCTTTCATTGTCCTCGAAGCAACCTGGTCAGGTTAGTGGATCTGTGTTTTGTAGATCAAGGGTGACATTCTTCATTTCTTGCAGTTGGGCATTCATTCAGCACGTCTATAGTCTCGATCCTTTCCGTAGGAACTTCATTTCTGAGTTAGGATTTAGATAATGGAGGGTTGCACGCGCATCCCGACGACCTCCTCGTCCGGATTCTATGGCTTCCACCTTCCAAGGAAATGCATATAGAGCCGAACGAAGTTTGTTCCGATGGTTGGGACTCTGATTTGACGCGGCTTCTTGATAAGCAAGAAATGGTCCTGGTGCCAACCCCTCCTGCCTTCACGGATGCGGCGTTCTCTCTCCAAATAGCATCTGTCTGTCAGCGATGGCGCCGTCTAGCTCAGGATAACGTTTCGACGCTATTAGTCACAGAGAACCTGCATCTCCCTCTTCATTTTCTTTCAAGCGCAATCTCTTGCTTTCCAAACCTGACCCACATCCATCTGTGCAACGGCAGCGTAGAGAACCTAGATGACGTGTTCCTCACTCACCTTGCTTCGTCATGCCCCAAGCTGAAGATTCTCCACGTCGGAACTGACATCACAGCGCCTTTTTTTGAGAGGGAGGAGACTCTCCACGTCGGAACTGACATCACGTGGACTTATGATGAGAGGAAGGAGCTGCACCCAGTCAGTGAGGCTGGTTTGGATCGTTTTTTCCGGGAGTCTACTCAGCTAGAGCATCTTTCGCTCCACTGCCTTCATAGCAACGTCAAGCTCCCTGCTTCGTTTTTCCACCTAAGAAATCTCCAGAGTCTTGTGCTACCAGATTCGTCTGCTTTAGAAGTTCCTGCTTTCACGAACCTGACTTTGCTCAACGGTCTCTCCATCACCTCTCGATATCTTAGATATAAGCAGCTATCAAATCTTGTTCAGCTTGTGAACCTTACTAACCTTTCCTTTTCCTTAAGCCAATTCCCTCGGGATATTCAGACTGCTCCAGCTCTTGACATGGCATGGCTGCCTGGTCTAAAGACGTTGGAACTCGACGATTCATGTCTGCCGTTGAAATTCGTTTTCCCCTTCAAATCTACATGCAGCCGGCTCCAACGGCTCTTGTTGAGCAATTGCAAGCGGTTCAATCGCCTTCCTAACAAAATTGGGGAGCTTATACCGTTTCTTCAGGAACTGAGCATTCGATGCACAGATCTCGTTCAGCTTCCCGATGACTTCACTTCTTTAAGCTGTTTGGAGAGCCTGACAATCTCTTGCTGCGAATCATTTACCAGCCTTTCAGAAGATTTCGGACATCTGCCTGCTCTGAAAACATTGGTGCTGGATGAACTGCCTATGTTGCAGCTTCCTATTTCGTTCTGTGAATTGATGTCCTTGGAAACACTGTTTCTGGTCAACTGCTCTGCTATCCCCCAGCTACCAGCCAGGTTCTGCAGCTTAACAGCTATCAAGAAGCTGGCCTTCGTCGAGCTGCCACTAGAAGCACTCCCATCGGACATTGAAGAGCTCACTAATCTCGAGTCTCTTTTTCTCTACGGCCGCTATATCCAGCAAATTTCAGCCTCGTTCGCCCAGCTCTCTTCTTTGAAGCGGCTGAAACTTTATGATTGCAGGATAGGTGAGCTTCCGGAAGAAATTGGGAAGCTGAGCAGGCTGCAAGAACTGACCATTACCTCCTGCACTATCAGAAAGCTCCCAGAGGCTGTTACGTGCCTTGTTGATTTACAAGTGCTAGTGATTTGTGATTTGGAATCGATTTCGGTACCCACGAGGCTGGACAACTTTACGAAGCTGAAAGTGCTGCAACTTCCAAGATTCGCTCTGCCGCATGAACCTCCTAAGGTGCTGCCATCATCCCTTGAGACTTTGAGCTTGGGGTTCTACAGATTCTCTCAGAGATCGGGTCATGTGGAGTTTGGAAAGGCGATTAGCAGAAACTTGGTGAATCTGAAGCACTTGAAGATGGTATTGGACGATGACGCTGAGAAGTTTCCATTTCCCTTGAGATTTTCTCCGGACCTGCGCACCCTGGAAATAATAAGCGCCAAGAGCCTGAAGAAACTCCCACGCATTGGGTTGGCACTGCAGCAGCTTCGGAAGCTGAAGATGATTCATGCGAATTCGCTGACTGAGCTGCCAGCATCGATCACCAAGCTTCAGCACCTGACATCCTTGGTGATCCATGAAGCCAAGCTAACTTCCATTCCTGAATCCATCTGTGCTTTAACCAAGCTGAGGAAACTCAACCTTTCCGAATGTGCTGCCTTGGAGCACCTCTTTTTTTTTTTTTGGTAGGTGAAAATGCATTATACAACGTACAACGCAAAACACCGTCGGTCGTAACCGGAGCTAGAGGGCATAGGTAGTGTATACCGTACCCTCGCAGAGCTCTACGAAGGCTTATAGACCAAACGCCTAAAAAATTCAACTTGCCCACTACAAAACCTCTTTGTGCCGTTGGCACACTTCAACCCTGGCAGAAACGCCTCGGTAGGTTCCAGGTTCTGTGTCTGTCGCTTCGGCTGGGAAGAATCGGCTCCGAGCCTGCCTTGCCGTGCCTTGTAAAAAGGTTGGGATCCAACAGAGAAAACCCTGGTTCGAAATTGCTGCCGAGCGGGACCTTTGTGACGGATGTACAGTCTTGGTCCTTTGGCTCCAAATCTGATTCGCCGAGAGTGGTGGAGTGCAGAATTTGCCCTGGATCTAAGTTGCTGCCTATCAACTGTGCCTTGTACACCAAAGCCTCCTGTGCCAGGCAGTTGCGTGAGCGGTGTGTTGGGAGCTACCCCCACTGTCCGAGGGGAGAAAGCAGGAGCAGCTGCACCAGCAACGGATTTCTTCTGAAAGACCCCGCGCGTCTCACAGTCAGTCTTAGCGTAGCGCCATAGTCCAGTTTCCTCCAGCGACATGAGCTTATCCTGAAAACTTTCTGCCGTAGAATCCACCAAGTTATGCTCTGTATCCATGATACCATTGACCTTCCCCTCCTGCCGCCAGAAGTTGTAGCTAAGAAACACAGAATAAACGTCTTCCTGAGTTGATGGTGAAGCTTTCTGTAGAACAGGTGGTTCTTGATCTGATATGGTCAGAATCCTCATTTGCTTGAAATCTGGACTCGAGTCAGCCACGTAGACATTCCTTGTAATGCGTTGAGATGACACGCGTGAAGCTCCTGCTTTTGAGCGATGTAGGATGGCAGAAAATGCTGATAATCTGAAAATGTTCCGTCCAGAAATTTCCTTGTACTTCACACCCTTTCTTGCACCTGCACTTCTTCTCGGGAGCCATTCTAGATGTCCTTCATTTTGCTTCTGCTGCAAACATGATGTATACCCCGTCTTGTCAGAAACCAACGCTGATCCAGACTTGGTAGTTCTCGATGGTGGTAAAAAACATGTCCGCGGCTGACGCGACGTCTCTTTTAAAGTCTGTTGTCGAACAATTGAAGAGAATGTTGATCGACGAAATATATTTGGCGGTCCAGTTGCTGTGTACTTTCTCTTCTCATGGTGTGTCAAGCCTTTCTTGCTGTCCAGGTTCCAACTTGGGTGACGACTTGTGCTAAGCTTGGCCATTATCACTTCCATGGAGTAACTTAATGTCTTGAGCTTAAAACCAGTTAAAAACCTGAAAAACAGATCTTCGCAAGAGGAAGTCGCGACGAACCAATGTTCTCTGTTTGAACACAAAATGGTGTCGTAATCAAGCTCTTGATGAGTAGATCCGGAATATGTATTCAGATCTTGAAACTGATAGCGATTAGCTTGACATTGTGTGAGTTAAAGTTCTCCTAGGAGCCATGGCGGAGAGCTTGGAGCGGAGAGATTGGAAGCTCGTGAGTTCGGTTCAGGCACTTGTTGGTAAGAGTACCGATCGAGAAAGCGATCAAGAGAGCCAACCAAATTCCCTTGGAGCACCTTCCTTCATCCCTTACCCAACTGTCTTGCCTCCGTAAGCTGAACTTGCAGCGCACGGCAATCCGTTTGCTTCCTCCCAACTACGTGCGCTTGGCCAGTCTTGCAAGACTGAAGCTGTTTGGTTGTTGCCGGCACCTCTTTGACAGTGAAATGCGCTTACAGCCCCCGGAAGTCGAATTGATGTATGGATTGTACATAGACTATTTTCGCTGGTACTAGGTTTTGAGCTTAGTCCTTATGCTTTAGGAACCCATTATACTTCTACGTGCTAGATGTTTCTCTGTGATGATTTCTCTGATCTTGTATTGCAAATAGGTTTTCCTTGCTGTGGTTGGGGTAGTCCAAAGAAAAATAATTTTGCAATTCGGGGTCTTCATCCCATGCATTTGCTTGTCCTTAACACATCACCATACCAGTTTTATTTTCATCCAGATGCTTCCAGGCACATCCGCTCGCCATTGTATATCTATACATGGTGTGAGGGCAGTGAAGTGTACTCAAGCCTTTCTGGAGCTAAAGCAATGCTGCCTGCCCAGTCTTTTGTTAGGTAAGTCCCGATTCCTTTACTCGCATATTTGGAATGTGGATATGCGTATTTGTGCTTAAATGAAATCGTACGTCTTCGCATAGTCTTGTATAAGCCTCTACATGCATCTCTGGACACATTGCACGCATACTCCAACATGTATACTTCTCCTTCTATCTTATGATGCATTCGCATACCCCAGTACATATTTCCATGCGTCCCAGCATTCATACATAATCTGATGCTGCATGATTTGGAGGAGTCCTCCCCCAAAATGCTCCCTTCTTCCAGCAGTATTTTCTCCTTATGTCCACCTACCCCCCTGCTCCATGGTGTGTTGCCGAAAGCATGGAAGCTGATAGGGGTCATCAGGAGAGCAATCAAGCACATGCTGATGTGGATCAGCCAAAGCTGCTCGTTTGGCAAAGCACACTCTCATGTTTTTCCCCATGACTGTAAGTGTTTACTCTTTTGACATACCTATGCCTGGCCTGATCCCTCAAGCCCAACCCAACCATAGCCTAGTGGCTGTCTAGGCAGCAAACTGGCTGAGCAGGCCAACCAACTAGAATGGCTAATTTATCTAACTGGTTGATCTGGCAGCTGTGGCTGATTTGGGTGATTAGCCGATATGGCTGGCCTAGCTGATCTTCCTAACAAGCTGATCACTGCATTTATCTTGCTAATGAACTGACCTGCCTGGTTCAGGCTGATGACTCTGACTACCTGATCTACTGATACTCTCACTGATTTACCTGATTTGCTGACACTAGCGGGTTTGCTGATCTTGTGGTCTAGCTAATTAGTTGGTCTGGCTAGTTAATCGATCTCGCTCATCCAGCTGATCTACTGACAGGCCTTACCTGCCTGATCTACTGACAGGCCTTACCTACCTGATTTGCTCATTCAACTGAATTGCTCATCTAGCTGATTCTAGTATGTGGCTGATCTTGCCAGTCCACTTGATGAGCTGATCTGGCTGTTAATCTCTCCCTCCTTCCCTCCCTCCCTCCCCTCCCTCCCTCCCTCCCTCCCTCCCTCCCTCCCTCCCTCCCTCCCTCCCTCCCTCCCTCCCTCCCTCCCTCCCTCCCTCCCTCCCTCCCTCCCTCCCTCCCTCCCTCCCTCCCTCCCTCCCTCCCTCCCTCCCTCCCTCCCTCACTCCCTGCACTTCATCCTTAATATCAGTGAGCAGAGCGAGCGGAGTGAGCAGAATCAGCACCCCAGCCGTGCCGCATACGGTTGCATGGCACACTGCGCTGGTACGTTGGGATCCCATGTGAAATGAAATGACCCCAGCCATATCATGTCTTCGATGCATTTCCAAAGATTGACACGGATATTCAATGTGAGCTGACCTAGGTTGTAAAATATTGATCATGACATACCTAGCTAGCTTGCTGCCAAAGCTAGGTGTACATCGGCCCGTGGCATCTTGTCGCATGTGCTCGCCCACCCATTACCGGCATATGCCAGTCATCAGGCTTTTCAGCTCATGTGTAGCACCATGCGTCCTTGTTTCTAGAAATCTGGAAGGCTAACTTTGTTTTTTGGTTTTTGTTTTGATGTGCATTTTCATTTCTGTATCCATAGCCCGTGCTGGCCCAAATGGTCTAGCATGTAGCCTGGTGTTTGAATTTGTGTGTCAGGGCAATACTGTGCAGGTGACTTCATGCAAGCTTGTTGCACTACTGCCAAGTGAACGGCAGGATACCGTGAGAGGATAGGATAGGCTAGGATGTACCAGCCAGACCAGAGAGCCATTATGTGATGGCGCATTTGTTAAAATACCATATCATGGCATTCTTTCAGCACGTATACAGAGAGTACTGTAGATAGAAAACCACGCTGCCCAAGTACCAGTTGTACCGTATGCGCACGAGTTTCAGTTGCATGGCTAACGAGTCTGTGGTAAAGGGTTACATGTTCAGGAGTTGAGTAGTGTACGGTAAAGGGTTACATGTTCAGGAGTTGAGTAGTGTACGGTAGATGTCCCAGCCCAGCCAGTGCCGCACGCATAGTGGAAGGCAGAATGAAGAGGACTCTCGACGATGAGGCATGAGGAACCGGAAACCAGGAGGCAGCAGAGGGAGAAGGGAAAACAACACATGCAACGAAACAACGCAAGACTCGAAAGCAAGACCAGGAAAACAGCAAGGACTTATGGAAAGCGAGGAATGGAAAGGAAACTGAGAAAAAGCGTGGCAAATACACGAAGAATATAAGCGAGTAAAAGACCAGACGAAGCGATGAAAGCATGAGGAGAGAGAAGAGGAGAGGGAAGGGCAAAGAGAAAGCTTGAGGGAAGGGGGGTGGGGAAAGTGGGGGGGAGTGCAGGGCTTGGGAAGAAGGAAGGAAGGAAAGAATTCTGCATCCCCCACATCCCCTAGGAGATGTGGTGCGCGGCACTGGCAGAGCTGGGCAGGGCAGAGTGCGGCACTGGCAGAGACAAGATGGTTGTAAGGTGAGGAGGCGACTGGCAGGGTGCAGTGCTGGTAAAATTAACATGGTTTTTGAGGCACCTATGAAATCTTATCCCCTGACGGATGTGGTCAGCACTAGCGTGCAGAGTGAGGCGAGAGAGTGGGTGGTTGCCGCGAGGAATGCGCTGGTTGCAGCAGTGTGGTCGAATGGCATGGAGTGCGGTGAACAGTGGCTGGAAGCGGTGGCTGGAGGCAGTCTGGTACGCAGTGGTTGAGGCCATTCGGTAAGCAGTGGTTGAGAATGGTGGCAGCTGTTGGTGCGGTGAGCAGTGGTTGGGAACCGTAGCAGTAGCAGTATCCAGTGCGGGAATAGTGGAATGATGAGTGCCCGAGAAAATGTGAGGACCTGATGATGTAGGCAGGTATGCTGTGTGGCAAAGCAAGGAGAGAGGCGGCTGTGGGAAGGGCGTCAATCTAAAGGCAGCAGTGGCGGCAGAGGGAGGGGCGGCAGCGGAAAGGCTAACAGAGATTAGTGAACACTCAGCATGAAGAAGCTGCAAACTCCTCCCCTGTTTCTTCGCTTGCTGACAGGTCTTCTCAATGACTTATCAAGCCTCTGAGTGTTCTTTCCTTCCCAAACACGACTTCAGCCCACTCTTCTCACTCTTCTCACTCTTCTCACTCTGCTCCCTCTGCTCCTCTTCTCACTCTGCTCCCTCTGCTCCTCTTCTCACTCTTCTCACTCTGCTCCCTCTGCTCCTCTTCTCACTCTTCTCCCTCTGCTCCCTCTGACCCCCTCTGTTGCCTGCTTCCTCTGCTCCTTCTAATCCCCTCACAGCCACTATGACTCACCCTCCGTTTCTACCCCTCCCTGTTCCTGCCCCTCCCCGTTTCTGCCCCTCCCTGTTCCTAAACCTCTCTGTTTTTGCCTCTCCCTGCTCTTGCCTGTTCCTGCTCCTGTCCCGTTTTGCCTCTGCCCCTGCTTGCCTCTGCTTCTCCCTGCTCCTGCCCCTCCCTGCTCCTGCTCCTCCCTGCTCCTGCCCCTCCCTGCTTCTGATCGTTCCTGCCTCTTCTCCTGCTTGCTCCTGCTCCTCCCTCCCTGCTCCTACCAGTTCCTGCTCCTTCACCTCTTGAAGTGAATACGCTTCCTTCTCCCTCTACCTTTAAGCCTCACCTTCTATCATTCTCAAAAACCTCATTCGCTCACCATTTCCTCATATCTCCTCCCTTCACCCTTTTCCTCCCAGCTTCTCCCTTCTACCCCCTTCTCCCACCTTCCCCTCTCTTGCCCTCCCTCCACCTCCTTCCCTCTACCACCACCTGCCGCTCTACAACTCACCCCCCCACACTGCCATTGCACCCACACAGCCCTCAGCCCTCATCCCTGCCGAAGATAACACCAATTCCTCCCTTCTCTCCCCAGCACCCCCTTTCCTGCTGCCTTCACGCGCGTTGCCTGCAGCTGCCTCCCCGCACGCCACGAAACTCTCTGCTCCGCACCTAAAGCTACAGGTGCAAACACCTGCCAAGCTACCCTGCTGCCCCACACTACCATCATACCCTTCTATCCCCCACAACCACCGTCAAGCAGCCTCTTTCCTGCTGCCTTCACCACTTCCCCCCACGCGTCTTCGTTCCCCACAGCTGCCCTCACACCCAATCCCCTCTTCCCCCCCTCTCCCCCTCTCTTCCCCCCTCCTCCCCCCACCCTTACAACCCGCACTCCCATTCCGCATCAGCTGATGCGCACATTCATTCGCCGCACCACCCAATGCTGCCCTTTCAATCCCCCACCCCCTCCCCCACCCCACACCCTGCGCACATTCTGTACCCCAAAACTGCCCTTTCATTCGCCGCACCACCCAATGCTGCCCTTCCAATCCCCCACCACCCCACACCCTGCACACATTCTGTCCCCCAAAACTGCCCTTTCATTCGCCGCACCACCCCACACCCCGCACCTGCGCGCCCTCCAAAAACCCAACTCACACGCAACCCAATAAGGAGGGCCAACGGACCATACACAACCCAAATCACACACATCTCCCCTCAACCCCTCAACCCCCCACACCCTCACCCTCACCCAACAACTCTTGCCCTCGCCGTCTAACCACGCAGCCTCGCTCTCCTGTACCCCCAAAACCCCGATATAGGAGCAAATTCTCCCCACAACTATCTGCCTCCACTCCCCCCACCCGCGCACACCCCACCCCCCACCACACCCCCCTCCCCCCACCCCACCACCCTTTCTCCCCCGCAAACCCCTCTGTCGCATTTAGCTGCTGCTTTCCGCAACAGCACCGTCCCATCCGCGCTAGCCCCCGCACCAGCCCCAGCAAGCGCGAATGTGCCGAATCCCCCCAGCACCCACCTCCGCCGCCTTCCCCCCAACCCCCCGCTCACTTCCCCCCCCCCCCCCCCGGTGGCATTTAGCTGCTGCTGTCCGCAACAGCGCCGCCCTCATCCTTGGTAGCCCCTGCAGCAGCCGCGGCAGGCGCAGATGTGCCGAACCTCTCCGCCCGAGCCTTCTTCTTAGCCTCGAGCTCGCTGTCCGCAGGATTGGCGGACCTGGATGACGGGAGAGAGAGGAGGAAAGGGAAAGGGAAAGGAAGGAGGGGGAGAGAGCAGGCGCCGCGAGAGAGGTTGGTAACAAAGGGATTGCGATTTACAAGCCTTCTTCTTGGCCTCGAGCTCACTGTCCGCAGGGTTTACAAGCCTTCCAGGTCCGCAGGATGGCGGACCTGGATTGCGGAAGAGAGAGCGCAAGGGCAGCAGGCGCGGATAAGACAGCAACGGCAGGGGGAAGAGTGGAAAGGGGAAAGGGAGAGAGTTAGCGCGTGCGCAAACCATCACTAGCCTAACTTACTTTTGAGTCGACTCAGAAGGGGAAAGGGAGTGTGCAAAGCACCACTAGCCTAACTTACTCCCGGAACGCACGCCCCCCACCCTGATAATGATGTTCATTTCAGGAACTTCCAAAACCTCCCCTGGTCGCTTTTTTTTCCAGAATGTGACACCCACACTGCCATGCACCATCCCTGCCCACTCACGTGTCTCTCTTCTTATCTCCTGCTGCTGCAGCGCCATCTCCCACCGAATGATACCGAGACTGCCATGCCATGTACCATCGCTACCCACTCACGTGTCTCTCTTCTTATCCCCTCCAGACGCTACCACTGCTGCTGCAGCGCCATCTCCCACCGAATGATACCGAGACTGCCATGCCATGTACCATCGCTACCCACTCACGTGTCTCTCTTCTTATCCCCTCCAGACGCTACCACTGCTGCTGCAGCGCCATCTCCCACCGAATGATACCGAGACTGCCATGCCATGTACCATCCCCACCCACTCACGTGTCTCTCTTCTTATCCCCTCCAGACGCTACCACTGCTGCTGCAGCGCCATCTCCCACCGAATGATACCGAGACTGCCATGCCATGTACCATCCCCACCCACTCACGTGTCTCTCTTCTTATCCCCTCCAGACGCTACCACTGCTGCTGCAGCGCCATCTCCCACCGAATGATACCGAGACTGCCATGCCATGTACCATCGCTACCCACTCACGTGTCTCTCTTCTTATCCCCTCCAGACGCTACCACTGCTGCTGCAGCGCCATCTCCCACCGAATGATACCGAGACTGCCATGCCATGTACCATCCCCACCCACTCACGTGTCTCTCTTCATATCCCCTCCAGACGCTACCACTGCTGCTGCAGCGCCATCTCCCACCGAATGATACCGAGACTGCCATGCCATGTACCATCCCCACCCACTCACGTGTCTCTCTTCTTATCCCCTCCAGACGCTACCACTGCTGCTGCAGCGCCATCTCCCACCGAATGATACCGAGACTGCCATGCCATGTACCATCGCTACCCACTCACGTGTCTCTCTTCTTATCCCCTCCAGACGCTACCACTGCTGCTGCAGCGCCATCTCCCACCGAATGATACCGAGACTGCCATGCCATGTACCATCCCTACCCACTCACGTGTCTCTCTTCTTATCCCCTCCAGACGCTACCACTGCTGCTGCAGCGCCATCTCCCACCGAATGATACCGAGACTGCCATGCCATGTACCATCGCTACCCACTCACGTGTCTCTCTTCTTATCCCCTCCAGACGCTACCACTGCTGCTGCAGCGCCATCTCCCACCGAATGATACCGAGACTGCCATGCCATGTACCATCCCTACCCACTCACGTGTCTCTCTTCTTATCCCCTCCAGACGCTACCACTGCTGCTGCAGCGCCATCTCCCACCGAATGATACCGAGACTGCCATGCCATGTACCATCCCCACCCACTCACGTGTCTCTCTTCTTATCCCCTCCAGACGCTACCACTGCTGCTGCAGCGCCATCTCCCACCGAATGATACCGAGACTGCCATGCCATGTACCATCCCCACCCACTCACGTGTCTCTCTTCTTATCCCCTCCAGACGCTACCACTGCTGCTGCAGCGCCATCTCCCACCGAATGATACCGAGACTGCCATGCCATGTACCATCCCCACCCACTCACGTGTCTCTCTTCTTATCCCCTCCAGACGCTACCACTGCTGCTGCAGCGCCATCTCCCACCGTCCCGAACTTCTTGGCTCGAGCCTCCCGCTTGGCCGCTTCCTCCGCACTCAGCGCGGACAGCTGGCTCGTGCCGAACCTGCATGCGACGGGATGAGAGTATTGAGCGAGAATTAACAAGGAGCATTGGAACAAAACTACACAAGGTTATCATTCAGAAGGCAAGGCGGATAAGAAATCAGCCAGATAGGGAACGAGGCAGGCCGGGAATGAAAGATATCGCGCATGGAGCCTACCGTTCAGCGCGTGCCTTCTTCCGCGCCTCCTCCGCAGCCTTGTCCGCCTGACTGCTGCCCCCACCACCACCGCTCGCGCCATTCCCGGCGTCCTTATCCGCTGTGATCCCAAACTTGGCGGCTCGCGCAGCCTTCTTGGCTTCCTCCGCGGCAGCTGTGGCGTCTACAGTGCCGAACCTGGAAGCACAGGTACGGCGAAGAGATGACGTCACAGGCAGAGAAAAGACGTCAGCAACGTTCTTGACTCGCGACTTTTTGTCTTCCTCCGCGGCACCCGCCGGGATAAGTCGATTCTCGAGTCGAGTCGCTTAAAAACATCGACTTATCCTACGCAGCACCCGTGGGGTCCAGAGTGCCGCAAGCGAGTGAGCGACTCAGACGGCGTGTTTTGAGGCAACTCGACCATCTTTTTGAATCGTTCGAGTCGACTCGACTAAAGAATCGTGCGTGACACTCACCGTTCGGCGCGCAGCCGACGCTTCTCCTCCTCGCTGATGGTCAGCTCCGTCCCGAACCGCTCCGCGCGCGCCTTCTGTGTTTTAAAGCAACTCAGAATGCGTTTTTTGAGGCGACTCAGAAACCTTCTGCACTGGTGCGCGACACTCACCGTTCAGCCCGCAGGCGGCGCTTCTCCGCCTCGCTGATGGTCAGCTCCGTCCCGAACCGCTCCGCACGCTGTCTGTATTCTGAGGCGACTCAGAAATCTTCTCGCACCAACTATAAAAACGCGAGCGAATCTCACCGTTCGGCGCGCAGCCGGCGCTTCTCCGCTTCGCTGATCGTCAGCTCCGTCCCGAACCGCTCCGCGCGCGCTTTCTTCTTCTCCAGATTCGCTTGCACCTCGCTCGCCGTCCCTTCCTTGCCCTCCTCTCCCGCCTTCTTCGCTCCCCCTTCTCCTTCTCCTCCGGCTACTGTTTCGGCTGTTTCTCCTTCAGCTGCTTCAGCTGTAACTGCGGCTTCCGCTGCTCCTGCGGCACCGGAGCCATCTGGGTTCGCACCGTTTATCGTATCTGGAGCGTCAGATTTTCCGTTTTCGACGGGCGCATCGGCGGCAGCAGCCAGCTCAGGGTTGGTCTTATCGGCTTCGGATGCCATGGCGACGCGCCTGAACAACGGAAATGGAATGAGACGAAGGAATTCAACCGGTAGACTTGAGCTCGTGGAGTCCAGGATTCTTCGAAGCAGACAATGGGATTTCACGAATAGGGAAGCGACAGTTGAAAGTTGTCAGACGTTGACGAATTCCGTGAGATTCAGCTGATATAAGCTAATGTTGAAGACTAATGCTGAGATTCAGCTGTCGGACGAGCTTGATATAAGACAGATCCACGTTTCTGAGAGTTGACTGACAAATAGATCGGACCAGGATCAGGACTAATCCAGTCAGGAACGATCTAGTGAGAACAATCGACTGAACGCGATGCGAAGCAGCACGAGTATGAAGGAGATCAACGAAGGGATCACTATTCCAGCAGCCTTTTCACCCTAAACCAAGAGATCTGTCCGCTTAGGGGTCTCGAGAAGCTTCGGCAGATTTATCGAGACTCGAATGGCGGCGAAAATGGAAGGGAGATGAGATCAGCAGATGCAGAAAAACGGAAAATGAAGCAAGGGAATCTGGAAGCAGAAATACGTGGAGCAGAAAATGCAGATCTTGAGGTATACTAGGAGGAAATATTGTATCGAGGGTTGAAGGGGAAATACAAGCACAAGGAGAGGGAGAATGTTCCACTAACGACCTCGTCTCGATATAGTGAAGCTCCAGTAGCTCGGTCCTGTGATTCGTCAGATTCCCAGATTATCCTGGACGTTCTTCGTTTCGGCGTAGAGCGCTTTGCCAACTTCTCCAGCCTATCAGGCGAACTGAATTCATGTGAACTTGGTAACACTATCTGCAACCCGAAACCCTGCCTAAAATCCTCAACCCCCCGTATCCAATTTCGAGCTTTCCTTTTCGCCCTCTTTTTTCTCCTTCTCCCCCCACCACCTCCGCCTACAACTACGGTAGGTCAAATCCTCTTCTCCCCACTTTTTACGCCGTCTCCTTGTAGCGAGCTTCAACCTCCGGTGTAACATTGTAACCCGTCGCCATGTTGTCGGCAATATCGTGGGTCCCGCGCGGCGCGGCAAAACCGTTCTCCAAAACAGCGGAGCTCGACGAGGAGGAGGTCGCGGAGGTGCGGCGCCGCGCAGAGGGCGCCGCGGCCGCCGCCGCCGCCGTAGCTGGCGGCGTCGCCGATGCTGAGGACGGCGAGGAGAGGGACGCTGAGAATGACGAAGACGCTGCAATGGAAGAGGAGGAAGAGGAGGAGGGGAGTGAGGAGGAAGGCGAGGCGGACGGGGAGGAGGCGGCAGCGGCGGCGGCGGCGTTGGCGGCGGAGATACGGAAGGCGAAGAAGGGCCAATCGGCGGATGACAGGCTGGCAGACGAGCTTGCTGAGCTGGACATGGACCACTACGACGACGAGGCTGACGTGGCGCCGAACCTGTTCGGCACGGGGAAAGGCATCGGCGCGGCGTATTACCGAAGCAACGACGAGGATCCTTACCTGACCAAAGCGGAAGGTGCGGAGGACGAGGACGATGAGGATGAGATCGAAGATCTCACCATACGCGATACAGACTTGCTCATTCTCGCGGCGCGAAACGAGGATGATGTCAGCTTCATCGAGGTGTGGGTGTGCGAGGAGCAGCAGAGAGAGGAGGGGGAGGATGGCGATGACGTGGCCCAAAACGACAAGGATCTCAACATTTATGTGCATCACGACATCATGCTTCCCGCCTTTCCCCTCGCTCTCGCCTGGATGGATTTCAACCCTTCCGCCGCCGCCGCCGCAGCCGGGTCTTCCGCCGGCGCGACCGCCGGCGCGATTGCCGCCGCGGGCGCCGGCGCGAGCGTCCTGGCGCCAGGAAACTTCGTAGCAGTTGCGACGATGGACCCTTCTATTGAGATCTGGGACCTAGACGTTCTAGACGAGGTCGAACCCGCCGCGGCTTTAGGAGGGTTTGTGACTACAACGGGCGGTGCGGGCGGTGATGGGGAAGAGGAGGACGACGAGGAGGAGTGGGAGGAGGTGGAGGAGGAGGAGGAGATGGAAATGGGGGGAGGAGGTTCAGGGTCTAAGAAGGGTTCAAAGGGCAAGAAAGGGAAAAAGGACAAGGGAGGAAAGAAAGGGAAAAAGGGCAGAGAAAGGGAACCAGAAATGCGCGGAAGCAGCAGCAGAAAGGGAAAAGGTCAAGGCAAATCAGCAGCAGCTGCTGCGGTGCTAAAGGAGGGGAGTCATAAGGGTGCGGTGATGGCTCTGTCGTGGAACAGGGAGTACCGCAACGTGCTGGCGAGTGGAGGCGAGGACAGGCGGGTGAAGGTGTGGGACATGGCGGCTCAGCGCTGTGACCGCACGCTCAAGCTGCACACCGGGAAGGTGCAGGCAGTGGCGTGGGCGCCGCTGCACGCCACGAGTTTACTGTCTGGGTCGTTTGACCGCTCTCTCGCCCTGGTAAGTGCTCTGGTCTGCGGGCAATCGTCCGACCTCACGCTCAAGCTGCACACCGGGAAGGTGCAGGCAGTGGCGTGGGCGCCGCTGCACGCCACGAGTTTACTGTCTGGGTCGTTTGACCGCTCTCTCGCCCTGGTAAGTGCTCTGGTCTGCGGGCAATCGTCCGACCTCACGCTCAAGCTGCACACCGGGAAGGTGCAGGCAGTGGCGTGGGCGCCGCTGCACGCAACGAGTTTACTGTCTGGGTCGTTTGACCGCTCTCTCGCCCTGGTAAGTGCTCTGGTCTGCGGGCAATCGTCCGACCTCACGCTCAAGCTGCACACCGGGAAGGTGCAGGCAGTGGCGTGGGCGCCGCTGCACGCCACGAGTTTACTGTCTGGGTCGTTTGACCGCTCTCTCGCCCTGGTAAGTGCTCTGGTCTGCGGGCAATCGTCCGACCTCACGCTCAAGCTGCACACCGGGAAGGTGCAGGCCATGGCGTGGGCGCCGCTGCACGCCACCAGTCTGCTATCCGGGTCCTTTGACTGCTCCCTTGCCCTCGTGAGTGAAGGTTAGAGTGCTGAGGTGGGGTGTTCCTGCAAACTTACTCCCCCCTCCCATCCCCTCTACCCCCCCTCCGCTCTCTCCCCCACTCTCCCCTCTCTCCCCACTCCTCCCCCCTCTTCCCCACCTTCCCTCTTGTCCCTCCTCCTTCCCGTTTTCCGACGAACCGGTCGCCGATGCTACAGTGCTGCAGTGGGGCGTCTATGCAAACTTACTGTATACACCTACACACCCACCTCCCCCTCCCGCCATCCGCTCCCCCCTTCCCACCCACCCCACCATGCCACCCTCTTTCCCTTTCAGACGGACGTCCGGTCACCCGATGCTACAGTGTTGCGGTGGGGCGTCTCTGCTGACGTGGAGGCCCTTGCGTGGGACCCACACGACAGCACGCGCTTCGTCGTCTCTTCTGAGGACGGGCTCATCTGCTGCCACGACACTCGGGCGGGCAGCAGCAACACCACTGCCGCCAGCTCAGCGTCGCCGAGTTCGTCTTTTCCGAATGCCCTCTTCACGATCCATGCGCACACCAAGGCGGCATGCACTGTATCGTGGAACCCTAAAATCCCGAACCTACTCGCGTCTGGTTCGACTGACAAGACTGTGAAGCTGTGGGACCTTACAGGAAACCAGGCTCGGTGCTTGGAGTCGTCGAACCCGAAGCTGGGAGCTGTTTTCTCTGTGGCGTTTTGCGCGGATGCGCCTGGTTTCCTCGCTATGGGAGGGTCGAAAGGGAAGCTGAAGGTGTGGGATTCGAGAAAGGTCGCTGATGTGGGGCAGAGGTTGAGAGTGATGTAAGTATGGCATTTATGTCGTGACTAGATTGTCCTCTGGTTGTATTTGAGCAGTGTGCCTATACGCATGTTTGTTGTCACGGATCATCACTAACTGTCTGCTAGCAGAGTGGCTGTTATCGATTTATCCAGGTGTTTTTATAGTGTCTTTTGGCATCACAACTTCGAGTATTCGTAAATGAAGGTCCTTTATTCCAATTCCTCCGTGAATTAAGGTATAATTCCCAATCTCCTCAGGCCATATGGCTACATTGCTGGTTTTCTGTGTGAAAGATTTGTTGAGAATTACCAGAGAGCGTGAATGGATCATAGACTGGGCTAAATTTATCAATTGTACGCTTTCAGATGCAAAGGTTTGTTATTTTGAGGACACCGCCTTTCCAGTCATCACCGAACATGGTTCTTAGTGGGTCAAGAAACGCGGCGGCGCGCCATGGGAGGGCTCTTGCTTGCAAGAGCGGCTTCGCTGCCCGTGGCAGAACTGCTAGAATCGCAGTAGGGCCGTCAGGAAGAAGTATCGAATGGTTCTCTTAAAAAAACGCGAATGTGCTCTGTGAAGCAAAGTTAATGTAGGAAAACTACACTTGCTAATTTTTAGGTCAGAAGAAACATAAATTTTTCGTAGCTGTTTTTGCTGACTCGAGAGAGTGGACCTGGACAGGTGGTGCCTGCTCGTTCCGCCCTGGTTCTTGTGGCCCTATTTTTCCGAAGGGTATCGGGCAGAGGCAAACAATGACGGCGGTAGGTTTTGTGCGCCGCCTTCTTCACCGAAGCTGGTCACGCAAACTCGGCGCTAACGACGCACTTCCGACCGTCCAATGCTTCATCTCGATTCATCTCCAATCGTCGATGTGCCCCTGTCTGGCCCCTTATTGCTGATATTGACCGCGTTTCGTCACTGCGGGCAGGAGATGGAATGTTTTCCTTCCATCAACAACAATCCCCGATGTCCTTCCCCTTCCCCCAGTTCCCCTGCTGCGCCCCGACTTTCCCCCCTACCTCACTCTCCCTCCATTGTTGTTGCAATTGACCAGGGTCTGTGATGCGACGCATTCATCTCAAGGAATGGCCGCAATTCTTCGCTCGTAACAACACTGAATGGTCGCACAGGGGCGATTTCTTCATGACTGAGCTAGACTGAAACGTCGCAGGGGCACTCTGTCTGTCGCCCTTGCATTCCCCATCCCTTTCCCATGTACTCCACTTCCCGCTCGCCCTTCCCCGCATATGTCCACCACACCACAATGGATGGGCGGGCACTTGCGCGCACGCGCTCTGCCCGTTCCGCCATGGACAGTCGGCCCTTCCCGCCATGGAATCTCAATACAGTGTACTGTGGACCTTCAAACTTTATCCAGGGCAAACTTCTCCTCGGGAGTACTGCCATCTGAACGGCTCCAAAGAACACAAGCAGGTGGCGAGCTGGATGCGCTTGTAGCGTAAGCTCACTGCTTTCTCGAGCTTGGGTGCTGCTTTTGATAGTTTTTATGGCGTGTCTAGAGATTATACGCTGTGCTGTCGCCTCGTGAACTTTGATATTTTCGGTTCTTCGCGTGTCTCGACGACTTGGATCCACGTTCACGGACTCTTACGCTCGTTTCGTCTGTGTTGTTCGACCTTGAAGCTGGTCGTACCTTGGAAGGCTTTAGTTTCTGCATGGCCAGCTGCATCTCTGATCGGCTCAGTTTTCCTTCTCAAAACTCGCATGGTCCGCTGTATCCGACGCACCGAGCCGCTGATTCATCATCACTTGGCGACTTTTGAGTCGACTCTGAAGTTCGATCGGCTCAGTTTCCCTTCTCAGAAGTCACATGGTCCGTACGCTGTAACTGTCGGTCGGCCTCCAACAGTAACGGACTCACCGAGCCGCTGATTCAACATCACCTGGTTAACATTTGTCGCAGACCATACTTACACCACATCTGCGAGTTTAATAGGTACCCTTTACCAGGAGGCGACGTTCGCGGACCACGCAGGTTAGAAGGAACTTACTAATATGGCGTACACGCAAATCCGCGTCGACCGCGTCAGGTCAATATTTTTTATCCTTTTGGGATCCCTGGCCGTCCTCTCCAGACCAGCTGGCGGAAATTTCAGGCCGGCGAATCTAGTGAACGTATTCCCGGTGACGTCCAAACGATTTACAGTAGTTAGTAATAATGGTGGTAGCAGTGGAGGAAATAGTGGTAATAGTGGTATCAGCAGTAGTGGATCAAAGACGCAGGCCTCTCGAAGCCCCTCCTCCGGTATCGTCGCGTCGCTTCGAAGTTTCACGTCGAGTAGCGATCCCACAAGATTTTCCAATACGGTCCATCGACCACAGTCGTCGGTTGCAAGACAGTCAACGGTCATGGCAGCCGCTGAAGCGACGAAACGATCGCGAGAACTGCGGATCGCGCGAAGCTTCGCCGTAGGGCAGTGGAATCGCCGCAAAGCGCTGCCGATTCGGTACCACGGCGGGTGGGTGATGGCGAAGGTCCCGATCAAGGTCTTTATAATCTACTACGGCTCCTGGTCCTCGTCGGAAGTGAACATCGTGGAGAATTTTATCTACTCGCTCTCCAACAACAACACCACGCCCAAGGACGCCAAGGCGGTATCCGCGTGGCAGTGGTGGCAGATCGCCACGTGGTACACCATGAAGCGGAACGGCCAGACGGTGCCCGTGTCGTCGCAGGTACGTCGCCCGGCCGTCGCCAGGACGCACTCGTTTGCTCGCGCGTTCTGATCAATGCTCTTTTCGCGCTTACGCACCTACTCGTCTACTCGCCTGCTCGCCTGTTCTCCTCTTCCTACGTCGGATGGATGTTCTTGTCGAATCAAAGAGCTCTCTTTTTCCACCTTCCTGTCCCTATCCTCGTTACAAGCAGGTCCAGTTCCGCAAGCGAGTCTTTGACAAGTACTCGCTAGGGAAAGTGATAAAAGATGACTTGAATGGCGTCTGGCAAAGTGAGATCTGCTTTGCTCATCCCACCTTCGCCAATCTTCACTACGCTTCATCTATCTTTGGTCATTTTTCGCTCATCTCCTCCCATGCTCCTCTTTCCTTCTTTTCGCTCGCTGATCAACTGTTTGCCTGTGTGTCCCTTCTGTCACCGCTTCTCTCACAAAGTCCCCCGCATTTCATACCGCTCCCCTCCTTCTCCTCCTAACTGACTCTCCCCCACTTCCCATCCCCCCACCCCTCGCACTCCTCCTTTCTCATTTCCTCCAGTAATCGACCAGCAACTACGCACGCAGGCCCTTCCCATCGACAGCTCAGCACAGTATCTCGTGCTGACGAGTGCTGACGTGGCGCTGGGCGACCGGGAGAAAGGGTTTTGCGGGCGGTCGGGGTACTGCGGGTTCCACTCGTTCGCCACGGACGGCGTGAGCTACATCAAATACGCATTCGTGGGGAACGGGGAGAAGTGCGGCACGAGATGCATGCGCACAGGAGGCAGCAAGTGAGTGTGTTCTGTGTGTGCTGTATGTGCTGTGTGCTTGTATCAAATTGTGCAGACGGTGTGAGCTACATCAATGTGGTATTGCCTTGCCACCTTACCCCTTTCCGTCTTACTCCTTGCCCATTCCCCTCCTTCCTGGCAGAAGAACGCCCAACGGCAAGCGGGGAGTGGATGGCATGATCAGCATCGTGGTGCACGAAATGGTCGAGACCACGAGCAACCCGCGCATAGAGGGCGGGTGGTACGATGCACTGGGAGCAGAGAGCAGCGACAAACCAACAAGTGCACGACCGATTGCGGTTTTGACTCTCCGCCTTTAGCCTAGGCCAGCTGCTTACCTCTGCCACCTCTCCCCTTGTGCCACCACCCGTTGCCTACCCCCCACCCTCCAGAAGAACACCCAATGGCAAGCGGGGAGTGGATGGCATGATCAGCATCGTGGGGCACGAAATGGTGGAGACGGCCAACAACCCACGCATCGAGGGGGGGTGGTACGACGCACTCGGAGCAGAGAGCAGCGACAAGTGCATGACTGATTTCGGGCCGTCAGTGGCCGTGGGGGGAGCATCAGTGACTGTGGGGAGGGCATCTGTGGTGGTGGCGGGGGGTGGGTACAGCTACAACATGGTGGGGCAGGGGGGTATGCAGTGGCTTGTTGAGAGTAACTGGCGACCCGTGGAGCCACAGGGGTGTGTCATGGTGCGGTACTGAGGGGTTGGACGCGGCGCTGATTGGTTCCTCATGGCGCGGTACTGTGTGGTTGAGCACAGTGCTGGCGGGTGCGTTGCGGTGAGGCACTGAGGGATCGGGCGTGTAGCTGAAGGGTGCATTGCATAATGACATGGCACGCTGCCGCCAAGTATTCCCATGGAAGCGTGGTGGTTGGAAGCATAGCATCTTGAGCTTGGTTGCGTGCCAAGAGCTGGAAGCCATCATATGCGGTGCGGGACTGTGCTGCTAAATTTTCAGCTAAAACTGCTGCTGATGGCGCAATGACCAAAGCAGAGAAGGGAGCTGTATGGATGATGTTTTAGTCTGCAATCAAGCGAAGCGCTGAGAAAGTTGCTCCATAACATGGACGGTACACGCTATGTGGAGGCTGAGACATGGGTGGGCTACTCTGCGCAAGTAGTGAAGACAGAAGCCAAGGTGTGGCCATGCTGGCACAGTCGCCAACACACTAACAGGTTTTTGGTGTATCTTGCTAACCCAATATATCTGGCCAAATGATATAGCTGATCTGGTGGTATATTAGAGAGGAAAACCCTGCTGGCTAGGTCGTGCCGAACAATTCAGTGGGGCCTGAAGGATTGTAGTGCAATTGAAAGCCTTACGTTTTCGTAATGAGGTCGTAATGAAAGAGCAATCTCAACTTCAGATTGAACAGAAAAAACACACAGCTCAATGTCCTAACCCCTACCAAAACGTCCGCCCCCTCTTGCACCATACATTTCCCCCTCCGAAGCTACCCAAGAGCGGGAGGTGTATAATGCGAGAGATCGCCATAGCAAATAACGAAGCACGCGAAAGCGAAGTCTCTAGTTGCCGACCAGCACCGTTTGGCCGACCACACCCACACCTCTACAGCTGTCAGAGGTGTTTCCGAACCACCACTGATCGTTCGGCTCCCGAACCTCCGTCTGCTCCGAGCCCGCGCGCGCGGCTCCAAACGGCAGCCACTCGCCGCTTGAACCCGAGCCTGCGGCACACGCGTCCGAGACTTCGCGGTACGTCTCAAAATCATCAGCCTCGTTTCCCGAGTCTGGGTACCTCGAATCTATGGTCACAGCATGCGAGCTGGTTACCAGGCGGGAGCTTGTAACAGAAGCAGGAGCGCTGCGAGGCCGAGCTGGAAAGATGGGAGTGGTGACGGAAGCGGCGGCGGAAGATACGGGCTTCATCGGGGAAAAGAAAGATAAGATGCTAGAGGCGGCGGAAAGCGCGGAGGCGGCTATAGACGTCCGTCGCTGGTGAATCTGAACGGGTTCTTTGCAGGTAGTACTGCCCGGGCAGGTGGCACCGGGGAAGGTAGTATCTGAGTGCGACGAGGTTGTACTCGTAGCAGGGGAGCTGCTAGCGCTGCTGGCGCCGACGCCAATGCTGCTGCTATCGCTGCTGCTACTGTCAAAGCCACAGCTGCTGCTGCTGTCGCCTCTGGCGATCTCGCTGCCGCTGTCGCTTGCGTCGCTGTTGCTCGCACTGCTGCTCCACCGACCGCTACCAGTTAGCGTACTCGCTAGGAGCTGAGGCAAGAAGAAACCGTACGACCGCGAGGACGGCGTTTCAATTCCCTCTGAAGGCGATTCCTCCGCGAGCAGCTGCTCATGCAGCACGTTACAGTACGACGAGAACTCCGTTTCAGTCACATTCAGCTGAAAGTTGAGCCGGAACAGAAACTCCAGCTCTAAACGGTTCATCTCCTCTATTGAGATCCCCCCGACTTTCGCATAATACGCGTTGTTATAATACGCGTCGTCCATGAACTTGGCTGCTACAAGAACACTCGCTATAAGCAGCCGGTGGACGTTGAGCGTCGTTATAAGCATGGCGTCTTTCCGTTGCATAATCCGATCGATGTAAATGTAGGCCATCACATAGCACGACGGGCTGCACCGGGCGTATTTAAAGATCCGGTCGAAATACTTGTCAATACTGATCCCAGGAGCTCGTAGTCCGTCGAAAACGGTCAGCTGCGACGCGTGGTCCTCTGCGCAGTTCGCACCGCAGTTTCCGGCGCTGTCAGGGGCGAGATTAGCGGTGGAGATGGATTCGTTGCTGGCGATGATGCGGTTGAGGATTGTGGCGAATACGTGGAGGACACGTGGCTTGTCGGTGAAAGAGAGCGAGTCGATGTCAAGTGCGGCGAAAGCGGGAGTGCTGCTCGCGTCTTTTGTGAACATCACTCGTGGAGCTGGTTCTGCGCGAGCCATGGCCATGGCGGTGGGTTGTGTGCGACGCTCGAAGCCCGAAACTCCGTCGGCGCCTGAGTTTCCGATGCAATCTAGGTCTGCTCTGGCGCCCATGTCGTGCGGCGAACAGACGAGCTGGAACTGACGGAAATCGCGACGACGACTAGCTTCAACGAAAATCGGGAGGAAGAAAGAGGAGGAAATCGCTGGTTTTGGCTGATTTGGGCTGAGGAATTTTGTTGCGGGTCGAACGGTAACGAAGTGGAAATATATGCTTTTCAGCGGCACGGGTGCTTTTCCTCTTGCGGTCGCCAGGGGAAGGGGCTGGAGGAGCACCGCGGAGGGTGCTGAGGGGAAGGGAGTTGCAGGGGTGAGAGGCAAGAAGCGGAATCGGTGGGGGCAATGAGACAGAAACACCTGAAAAGACAGCGTACCGTGCGGTAGGGGCGAGCGCGGCACGCGGTAGGGTGGTCAGATGGGGAAGGGGGGGCTATGGGAGGGGGTGAGATCGGGGGAATATCGGGCAAGGTACGCGTTCGGTCCTGCTAGTAATGGCTTGCTGACCTGTGCCAATCTGCAAGGATGAAATTGCTGTTCAGCCCAGAAGATCCCAGCCATTGAAGCGAGCCGAATCGACCTAGATGAAACGGCGGGGAAATGGCCAGATGAAACAAGCTAGCTACGGCCCTAGGTAAATGACACGCGGAGAGGGCTAGCTAGACGGACCGCGGAAAGCTACAGCCAAGCAGACACCGCCGACACGGGATAGGCTGAGGCGAGTGTGGAAGTCAGACTGGCGAAAGTTCGGATTCCCCAATGGAGTGCGACGCTCAACAGGGTTACCGCGCATTCCTCGTTCAAAAGGCGGGATTCGGTAATGACGTGGAGCGGTTCGGATGAGGTGACCCTTGGATTTCGGATTGGCGGCTGGTCGTGGCGTAGGTGAACAGTTGGTGACGGGGTGAAAGCACAATCGATCGGGCAGGGCAGTACTGTGTAATCATTTTCCATGCTGAGGTGTTTTCGTCTGTCAAGCGGGAACTTCTTTTATTGGCTCGACCTACATTTGTTGTCTGAAGTGTTGTCACCTGCTAAGCGCGAAGAGCTCCAATTTGTGGCGACTACCCTGGAATCTGTGATTCACGTTTGAATCGTGGTCGTGCAACCCCAAATTTTGTTCAACAAATTTCGACTGCACGTCCATTTTGCCTTCTGGGCAGTGCTTTACATTTGTTTAGATCTGACCACACCCATCACGCGCGACACTGGTTTCCATATATTATTCCGCGGTACAAACAGCACAGGATACAAACCCGCTGGACTTCCTGCTGTAGACACATACCCGTATACAATAATGATTGTGAGCTAGCAAAATCCTGGGCACAGCAGCAAACACAAAAACCAGTTACACACCATGGTCCATGGCCGTGCACTTTATCTTCGTTTACCTTGAAGCAACACGCTCTATAGCTTGATCAACCTTCTTGATCTGAGTGATGTAGCCATCAACCTGCAAGCAATTGCAACATATGGTACACCCTTTCAGTCGATGCCAGCAAAGACAGGGAATGAGGGTGCTCCCATTCCCCCCTACCCCCCCCCCCAAAAAAAACTCTCCCTTCCCATCTTCCCCTCCTCCGCCCCACTTTCCCTCACTCCCTCCTCTCTCCCTCCCTAACTCCCACCACCCCTAACCCAACAGACCATAATCATATATTGATACCTGTTCTTGAAGAACCTGTAGCCGTCTCGCCCCTATCTCCCGAACCACAAGTTTCTCCAATCTAGCCTCCAATTCCCGAACCTCCTCCTTGTGCCGTCTCCGAACCTCCTCCAAAGCTGCAACTAGAGGAGCCTCGGCCCGCACCAATCTGACCCGAGCCTCTGCAGCATCGGCCCGAGCCACCGCCACTGACTCTCGTAGCTTCCCAACCTCTTGCTCCCGAGCCTTCCTCTCCTCTGCCAGAGCCTCCCGAACCTCAGCCAGCTGCATTTCCAAACCTGGAATCTCCTCCGTCATTCTCCGAAGCAAAGCCGCCATTTCCTTCTGCTGCCGATCCTCCTCTTCCAAAATCCTCCTCGCATCAACCAACTGTGCGGTCAGCTCCCGAAAACTTTCCACGTCGACCGATTCCCGTTCCTGCTCCACCTTCTCCAGCTGCGAGCGAAGCTCCCGCACAACTGCGGATTTTACTTCTGCCCGGAGTTTGGCCTGGAAGAGAGAGGCTCTGGTGGTTTCTATGGCTCGGCGGGTCTCCAGTAAGGAAGACTCGAAGGAGGCGACTCGACCTGAGAGCTCTGCTGCTGTGGCAATGGCTGTGGCCACCTCTGGCTGGTGCTGCTCCCTCTCAGTCTTCATCCTGATGCACGGGAAGCAGGAGAAGAAGGGGTGAAGGAGTGAGTCTACTCGAATGAGGCGACTCAAACCTGAGAGCCCTGCTGCGGTTGCCATGGCAGTTGCCACTTCAGGCTGGTGCTGCTCCCTCTCAGTCTTCATCCTGATGCAATGCGAGGGAGGCAGGGTAAGGAGGGAATATAAGAACTGCTCCCTCCAAGCTACTCCACATTCATACTGATTCATTTCCGCAGTGTGTGTTCTCAGGTTCATTTTTCTCCTTACTGCATTCTCATGCCATATTTCAACTGTGCTGTCACCTCCCTTCCACTGTCATCCTCACCACCTCACCCTCCTCCCCTCTTCCTGTTGTCATCTCCTGTTACTCTGACCCTCCTCACCCGCCTATTCTCTCTCTTTCCCCATAGTTATTGACTCACACTTACCCCTCCAAAGCAGCAGAAAGCAAAACAGCCGTCTGTGATCCCACCACTCTCCCTGCCTGGTACCCTCGCCGCTCCCATCCCTCAAACCCCTCCCCTGCTTCCCCCTCCTCACCTACTCCACACTTACCCCTCCAAAGCAGCAGAAAGCCAAACAGCAGTCTCTGATCCAGCTGCTTCCGCTGCCTGGTACCCTCGCGCCTCCCACCCCTCCCCTTCCCCCTGCTCCTCCTGCTCCCTCCTTTGTAGCTCCTCCGCTCTAGTCACATCCCCCTGCAGCCGCGCCCACTCCTCCGCGCGCCTCTCCTCCTCCGCCTCCCCCTCCTCCGCCTCCACGCGCGCAATTTCCGCCTTCAGCTTCCGCCTCTCCTCCTCCACCTCCCCCCGCCTCCGCTCCAACTCAGAACTCGTCTCGCGCACCTTCCCCCACTCCGCCGCTAGCGCCTTCCGCGCGCCCGCGTAGAGCGCCTTTTCCTCCTGGACTTTCTTAGACTGCGCCGCGATCTGCGCCTTAATCTCCGCTAGTTCCTCCTCGCGGCGGCTCCGCTGCTTCATCACGTGCTCAGTGACCTCTTTCGTCAGAACCAACTCGTTTGTGAGCGCCTCGATTTCCTCCTGAAGACGCATCTAGGGGCATTAGAGAATTATATGTGTAAGCAAGAATCAAAAGCTCGGCCCTCACAACTACTGTACCCTTGAAAGTTTGTTTCGGCGTTCCCAGTTACCCATTTGAGAAAGGCCTTGACTATGTGGTCTCCCGACCCCTCTTTCCTCCCCACCCCCTCCACCCCCCAAATTTCATTCCCGCATGGCAAATGCTCGTTTGGGTCTAGTGGTTTCCTTTTCTCGAAGCATACACTTGCTTTCCAGCAGCCCAATTCATCACACACTCCCAATCCCAACAGCTCATTCCACCATTAGCTCAATTTGTCAGTACCAACACCCGCAGAGCCAACCCATCACTCACCCGCAATCCCGACATTTCCTGCGATTGCCGTCGCATGACCTGCCCTTCGATCTCCGCCACCCGTCGCATCGTCGCAATCTCAGCCGTCTGATCCACCTCGATCCGCGCAATGCGCTCCTCGTACGAGGACACTGCCGCCGCCGTCGCGTCTTTGATCAGCCGCATCCGCTCCGCCTCCCACTGCTTCCGCCGCGCCTCCAACTCCGACTCGCCGGAACTCCCGTCGCTGACATTGCCGTCGTCGCTGCTGTTGCGTGATTGGTCGACGACCGTTGCGACGCTCGCCTGCGATTGCGCGTGGGTCGCTACGGCCTGTAGAATGGAGCGAGGCTTAAAAGATGACGACTGGAAACAAGGGAGATGGGGAAGGGGGAGGGAAAGGCGAGATGGATGGGTATGGGGATAGTGGGAAAATCGATGGGGCTAATTACGACTATAAGGAACCTGACGGACGGAGAGCACGTGGGAAAGAGAAGGGGCCTAATTACGACTAAATTGACGATGGCGGACGGAGAGCGCTGGCGCGCGGGGAAGGCGGAACCTGGAAAGTTAGGAAGGGAAGGGACGCCAACCTTTCGATTGCATGATGGGAAGCGAGACGAAGTTGAAAACGCGCTAGAAGGTCCCAGCCTGGACGGCACGAGAGCCCCCTGCGGTAAGCGTATCGCGGCCATGGAGCCAGCGGTCTGTAGACTAACTCTGGTGCAGCCCGCCGAAGCGGGTGACGCCGCAATAGCAGCAGCAGACATAAGGTAAGGTGTACCGTATCCTGAGACTGTCATGAATAGGAGAATCGTAGCTGTACCTGGATGCTAGGGTAGACTGAAGAGCTAGGATCGTCTTGATTCTTGAATGGTTCAGGCTGAGATAGAGGCGCAACGGGGACGGAAAATGGCAGCGCGCGGTGTGCTGTTACGGAGGGAGTAAAGAAACGAGTGGTGCTGGACTGTCTTCTAGAAGGAAACACGAATGCGGCCGAATTTCTTGTAAAAGGGAAACGGAAAGTGGGGAAAGAAAAGGGAGCATTGGGGAGTTGGAAGGTTTGGAGGTTGGAACTCGGGGGTTGGAAGAACCAACTCTCGACTCGAGTGGGAAAGGGAAAACCAATGCCATCCTGTCCACAAAATTCGCCCCTTTGGCTTTACCCGAGAAACATTTTCGTGTGTGACCGTGCGTGCGAGACAGTTTGCTCGTTCCAATGTCGCAAAAGGCTTGCTCTCGGGGGTTCTGTTCGTCGCAGTGTCGCACGCAGCGCGACGCGAGTATGTCCGTGCGATGCGAGAAAGGAGGTGGAATTTCTCCGACGAGTGATGTAAATCCACGTGGACTTATCCAGTTTCCCAAAGCACGAGTCGGCGATTTCGTACTCGATTGAGTACAATACGGTTCTGTGGGAGATTTCAGGCGAGTATTTGCAAATGCTGTTTATGCTATTTCGGAACACCGTAAGTCCACTGACCAACCCAATGAACGTCGTCACGTTGGCACGGTACAGTATCACTCCAATGACCGTGTCGCTTCTCTTGATGAGGTGACGGTGCACAGTGCGCGTTGTTGGCCCTCTCAATTCTCGCTCAGACCTTGGATGTTCTCGCAGCCCCTCTGGCCCCTCTTTTGACCAATCAGAAGTGTACAGCGCGATGACGTGTTCGGACGGAATTCTGAATGTCAGGCGAAATGGGAGCAGGGTCATCCTTTCCGCCGCACCACCACTTCCACCATCGGATAGGAATCAATTTCTTCTGATGCTTGTTTGCCTGATGCGCGTCGCATGAGCTCTTCGTCAATTCGTGTATCAGGCCAGGTTTCAGACTGATGAGAAGCGGTTCAATACGGTGATGAGCGTAAACCGCTTCACATTGCACAGCATCGTACTCAACCGCGCAGACAGAACAAAAAGTGAGCTTCTGTAGTGCCCTCACCCTCGTGTTCCCTCTCAGACTTCGCCTTTACTGACTTCCATGAAGATATCAAGCCAGGCACCTCTCACAGGATAGAGATTCAGGCTTCTGATTCTTGCATGAAAGTCTTTCAGGAAGCCTGATTGTTTATTAGGCGCGAGCTAGCGTCGAGAAGGGCTGATATAGGAGGAGTTGCTGCACAAAGACTTTAAATAGGACACGCCATTTATTTTCACAACAAGCTCGCAGCCTTCTCAGGCGATGCTACATCACTGAGGCCAATCTGGGGAGCCACGTCATGGCGCTGTGTTAGCATCTCATGAGAGGAAAATCTTGGCGTATGCAGGTTGCTTTTGGCTGTTTAAAACATTTAGGACTTATTTCTGCGACATGGACAGTACCAGCTTACTTCCGTCAGAAAAGGTGGACATTTTGCTGGATGAGGAGAGAGTATCAGCCTGTCCTAAGACTGAACCAGAGGACGGTGCTGCTAGAGCAGGCAGTAACGTCGAGCCTAAGAAGCGTCCAAGTCGTGAAGATGCAGCAGACGGTCTGGAACGTGAAGCTGACCCGGTCAACTGTTTAAAGGCTAATGCAGACAAGTCAGACGCGCCAGGCTCCAAAGAAGTCGTCGATTCAGTCAAGGAAAAGCCAAAGAAGCGACGCAGGTCTCCTACGGTCCTTTCATGTTCTCATTTTCATTTACGTGGTGTGCGACAACGTGCTTGGGGGAAATGGGCATCGGAGATTCGCGACACGGATAATATCCGCTTATGGCTCGGAACATTTACGACGGCTGAGGAAGCGGCTTTCGCTTACGACGCAGCCTCTCTAGCTATCCGTGGAGCAGACACCCGGCTTAACTTTGAAAAGAGTCGCATGTACGCATCGAACATGGCTGACATCAGGGAGCAATGCGGTGGAGTCGTCGGCCCGGCGTTTCGGACGGCTCTCGCGAAAGAAACGGCTCGGCTTATTGGCGAAGGAGTTCTTGACGGCATTGTCGCTGACTCTCCGGGATATGCTTATCTGCTGAGGTCGATCAATGTCCCAGCGTCTGTCGATACATCTGCAGTACCGGATCATAACTCAGAGCGTATCGATTCTTTGGCGGAAACGGCGGCACGGCGACGACAGGCCCAGATGACTGTCAGTATTCCACGAATCAAGCCGGTTCCTGTACCCGTTGATACCCTGACAATGCAACGACAGCCTCAGACGACTGCTGCCATTACCACACGAATGGAGCTGGTTCCAGCACCCGTTGCGTCCAGGCCTACATTGGCATTGGTTCGCAACAGCAAGGCTCCATCTGTGGCCGGGATTAAGGCCGAACCGAAGCTGGCACAGAAGGTGCAACGTTATATTTATTGTGAGTCAGATGGTGAAAGTCTCGAAAGTGAGATTGATGCTCTCTTTGCTTCACGTCGCAACAGCAAGAGTGCTGCTTGTAACTCACATGACAATGTCTCAGGTCCACTGGGATTTGGCGACGACCTTTGGTCGCAACCTTCAAGGAGCGGTTTTGAGAATGTTCAGGGAAGTTCGGAAGCAGCCCCTTTCAGCTTCCATGATGGTGCGAGCGGCGGTGCGTTCGGAGGAAATGTCAGTGGTGGTGGTGGTATGGATGACTGGAGCTCGTACATGGAAACGGATTCTTTCACTGCAGTTCAGACAACCGCAACTACCACGGTCACAGATTGTCTCACAGGTGAAGGGGGGAGCGGAAGCGCTACGGGACTGAATGGTCATGGAAAGGAGCTTCGTGGTTCAGGAAGCTGTACAGACATCGTCGACCATTTCTTGGGAGATGGAGACGAGAGCGAGGACCCTGGTATGCTTCAGGGTAACCGACATGACCACGACTTTTCAAAGGGCGACTCCATCCGCACCGCTGTCTCACAAGACAACTCCACCGGTGATCTCATCACCACCTCAGATGGTACCAGCGTTGCTCCTTCCAGTGGAATTTCTCTTGGTACTTTTTCTGACACAACTGAAGGTCATGCAGGCTATGATTATGCCGACAGGATCATTCCTGAGCTGCACGGGCTGGCCAAGTTCCTGGAGGAGACACCCATGTCTCCACTGCATCTTGTATCAGGCAGTCCTGTTTCAACTGAGAGCAACCCAAAGTCTGCAGAAGACCCAGCACCACTCCACCTTCCAGCTGCAGCACTTTCAGCGCAAGCTACACCAGCAGCTTCTGAAGTTCCCACGGCAACTGTACAGCCATGTTCACGCCCTGTTGTTGCAGCTGCCGAGCCACCTGCTCGTTTGCTCTCCTACCCAAACCTTAACCGTATGCACGCACCTCCAAGCCAATCACAGCTGTCTCACTCTCTCGCCAATGTCCGACAGGCACAGGTGCTCATGCTTCCATCGCCTGCTGCTGCTGCACCTCGCACTGACATGCCTTTGCAGAGAGCGCTGATGCCAGACCCTGCCACTGCTGGCGGTTTCTCTTCTCCGCGTATTTCTCCCTCCCTGGTTTCACCACTCTCTCTTCCAAAGCAGAGGTCTAGCCCAGCCATTTTCCCAGCAACCTCTGCTCCTGTGTCTCAAGCTTCACCCCTCCCTCTAGCAGCTGCTCCCTCACTCCGCTTGCAGCTTCCTCCTGCTGCTTCTTCATTGCCTTCCCATCGACCCCTCAGCACCTCCCTTCCTGCTTCGGCTGCCAGCAACGCATGCCAGTGCTGCTGCCATTGTCACTTCAAGCAACAGCAACAGACGCCTCCACAAGGCAGAGGCGCCTCGCTTCATAATGGATCACCGAGCAACAGTGTGCACAGGGTGCAGACAGTTACCGACACCAGCGTACTGCCTGCTGCTCCTCTTACCTCCGCAACTATCTCTGCCACAGCTGCTGCAGCGTCTGGAAGCCCTGCAAAGAACAGCCACCACCTGTTGGTCATGCCTAAAGTGGGAGTTGCGTGGAGTCTCAAATCCTGTGACAAGCCACAGCAGCAGCAGCCTTTGGGATCCAAGACTTGGCAGCAACCACAGCCGCATCAGCAACCAAACCAGCCAGTGGCCCACCAGCAGCCTCAGCAGCCACAGGCGCAGGCACAGCACCGGATTATGCTGTTGCCTCAAGGACTGCCACAGCGTGTAATGCAGCGGGAGCTGATGACGCAGCAGCAGCAACAGCAGCAACAAGCTCCACTGTTGCGGGTGCCATTGCCAGCTAAACAGCAAGATAACGAGAAACGGAAGCAGCTGCAGGGGGAAGTGGTTGGCGGTGCATCTGGTGCTGCCATTCTGGGCTTAAGGTCCCCTCCTCTTCCACCTCCTCTTCCACCTCCTCCTCCTCCGCCTCCATCTAAGTACCCCACAGGGCCACGACCAAAGCTCACGCCGTTCCTTCTGTCAGCTATTGCCAACAGCAAAGCCAATGATTCTGCAGTGTCCCTGGTGCAACACAGTCCCGTGACTCCACCAGCAGTGGCAAGCATATCAGTGGAAGCAGTATCACTTCAACCAGCGGTATCAGCACTTCCGGAGGTTGCGGCTACGTCAGCATTTCATCTGAATGCTGGTGCAGCAGGAATTCTCAAGCTTGAAGCAGCACCGGAAGCATCAGCACCTGTTCTGCAAGCACCAGTTTCTGCACAAGCAGCAAAACCCGTTCAGCATGCAACAGCACCATCACCCCTCAAGCAGGCACCTAGTGGCACCTCCTCAGCATCATTTAAGCAGGCTGCAACAGCAGCACTGCACCAGCAGACAGAAGCATCAGCACCACTCGATCAGGCAGCGGTATCTGCATCACTCGAGCAGGAACCACTTCAGCATCACTGACTTAGCACGTAGCAACATCGATTCGCCACAAGAATTTGCGAACAGACAATGCAGTGACCGCACCAGCAGCAGTCTCAGGTTCACACTAGTCTGATCACATCTCAGGTTTCGGCAACACTGTAGTCGCATACCTCTCTGACCAAAGTGCTAGGAGCACAGAGATGTCCACTGTGCTGTGCTGGTCAATGTACATGGCGATTTTCTTCGTAGGTAGCTTTTGTAGTAGGAAAATATCAATGCTATTAGCTCATTTACAGTCTGACATTATTTTGCTCCGTAAAACTACTCCCAGTAGCAGTCCCTTTTAGTTGTCCTGCACAAAGGAAGATGTATATCATTCCAAGTGTAGAAGCCTACAGAAGAATGCGTACATTGAAATACCGTCATCACCCGGATATAAGACAGTGTTGAATAGTAGACAGGGGTTGTCTATTATACGGGTGTCTCTTATAAACAGGCTAGCCTCATTATAAGACACCTATTTGTGTGTACGGGTTAAGAAAGTGTAGGAGTTAGGGGCAAATGTATAGCGAGGGGGTATCTTCTAAACGGTTCTTTGTCCATTTATAAGATTTATAAGACACCCTAAACCATCCCGTTTACAAGATAACTCAAGCATTTTTGCCCGTGTACGAGATAAGACATATATGTCTTATATCCGGGCGATGACGTTAACGAAGTGTCATGTTCCAACAGAAATGTGGACAGACTTCTGTCAGGCTCTCCAGAGCCATGATTGGTGGCGAGGCGAATGAACGCTTCTCCGCTGTCAGTCCATCCCTGGACCCTCCCTCCCTTTCCCTGATCACCTACTTCCTGATCATTGAACACATTCCCCATTTCACCGAAATGTGAAATCCCAGATTTCTGCAGGAATGCGCAGCTAGGAACTAGGAATTATTCATGACAACGAGCTAGACGAGTGCTGTCGACGGAGCTGTTCGCATGAAATGCAGGTTAGTAATTTTCACGCTACGCTGCTACCGTAATTATCGCCGATTACCATTGTAACGGTACTTCTGGTGTGCAGAAATGGAAGTGAACGTGGACTGTCAAGATAGTAGGCGAAAACGAGAAATAGGCAAAGAGGGGTTTGACTAGCAGTAGGTAGGATACATATAGGAAACCCTAGTTTGGGTTGTACTCACTATAGAGTATCCCACTGCAGGCTAGACAAACATAACATTCTGACACACCCCCATAGTCAAAGTGGGGTATAATCAGCACAACAAGCAGGCATAGCAATAGTTCACAATGATACGCAAAGCTAGAGACTATCACAGAGGGCAAGTGAGGAGGAGGAAAAACTGTGGGGGCGAGAAGATGGGAGGCGACGGCTGAAGCTGCAGACACACGGGCACCAGGAGTGCGCAGCACTGACGCTACCAGGCTAAACCCGGACTACACGGCGACAGGCGCAGCTGGCTCGCTGTGCTCCCAGGAGTGCTCACACTGTGGCTACCGGGCGCAGAGCCCCGGACTACTCAGGCCACAGCGGGTCGTGGCTCTCTGGACTACCAGGAGTGCTCACACTGTGGCTACCGGGCGCAGAGCCCCGGACTACTCAGGCCACAGGGGGTCGTGGCTCTCTGGACTTCAGGCGCTGCGGACGACAAGACGATTGCCTCCACTCAACTTCCTCCAGCTGTCCCAAAACCCTTTCACACACCCTCTGCTGTACCTCTAGCACTGCTCACACGCCACCCCCCTAGTACCACTCCGACGGCTCCAACACACCCACCCCCCTCAGCGGCAGCTGCAGCAGTGGGAGCCGGAGGAGGAGGAGGAGCAGGGGACGGCGCACACACCTATCACCCCCATACTCGCCACCCCCAAACCCTAAAACAGGAGCGCGGGCAGCAGCAGGGGTGGGGCGCGGTCAGCAGCTCGGGGGACGGCGTGCGCAGGTCGAACGAAACCGCGCGCGGGCCGCCCGGGCCGCGCGCGGACCTGGCGCAGCCCGTACGGGCCGCGCGCGGGCCTGGCGCAGCCCGTACGGGCCGCGCGCGGGCCTGGCGCAGGCCGTACGGGCCGCGCGCGGGCTGTACGGGCCGCGCGCGGGCCTGGCGCAGGTCGTACGGGCCGCGCGCGGCCCGCGCGGGGCCCAGGGGCGCTTCGACGGGCGACGGGGGCGTTTCGACGGGCGACGGGGGGCGCTTCGACGGGCGACGGGGGGCGCTTCGACAGTCGGAAACCGCCACGCGCCTCGGGGCGCACAGCGGGCAGAAAACCGCCGAGCTTTCGGAGCGCGCGGCGAGCAGAAAATCGTAGAAACCCTAAAAACGCGGCAGGCTGAAAACGTCACGCGCCCGAGGCTCGCGAGAAGCAGAACAGCAGCGGAAGCATCGGGTGGGCCCACCCACAGGATCGACCCAGGAGGGTCGACCTGCTCTGATAGCATGTCAAGATAGTAGGCGAAAACGAGAAATAGGCAAAGAGGGGTTTGACTAGCAGTAGGTAGGATACATATAGGAAACCCTAGTTTGGGTTGTACTCACTATAGAGTATCCCACTGCAGGCTAGACAAACATATCATTCTGACACATGTGGACAGCCCAAATCATCTGTTGTCGGAAAAGCTGGACATATTTATGGTTGAAACGACGCGGTTAGACTCAACAATCCCTAATAAAAATATGTCAAATAATGTTGTTTCCACGGCCACTACTCCTTGGACTGAGAAGAGGGCAAGTGGAGAAAAAGCAGTTGGTTGCGAAGAAGCTGCAGTGGAGGACGGTGTTGAGAGAAATGCAGACGTGATAGAAGCTCCTTTCTTAACAATTTCCGTTAGTTCTGCCAAGACACAGGCAAGGAACAAAAAACGGCCATCCGCAGGGGTAACCGATCATCCGCGGTTCAACTGTGTGCGACGTCGAATCGGAGGATGGGCAGCAGAATTTCGCGGGAACTATTTTCGCTTGTAGCTTGGAACCTTCCCGACGCCCGAAGAAGCAGCGTTCGTTCACGATATCACTTCTCTGGCCATTCTCGGCGCTGGAGCCCGGCTAGCCTTTGAGTGGACCCGCAGATACGCGTCCAGAGTGGCTGACATCGAGAAGCGATGCGCTGGCACGCTTACCCGAGTTAAAAAAATAACGATCCACGAAGAGATCATGCTTATTTGCAAGACCATAATGGCAGAACTTCCTAACCTTCCAATGTCGGAGATTCATGCCAAAATGTCTCATGCTACTACACCTGCAGGACACGGTACCATCTCCCTGCAGAAAGCTGCTGTCGCTCCTGCAAGAGGACCCACACAAGTAGCAAAGGGTGCTTCGACGGCCCTAATGAAGACTGTCCCTTCAGAACCTGTTGAGACTCGCCCGTGGGTGGATCATTTCAGCAACTGCAATGCTACCACAGTGACAGCAATCAATGCCGAGCCACAGCTGTTCCAGGAGCCCCATCGTCTCAACCTCTGTGAGTGCTTATGTCAAATTGTATGTCGTTTTTACAAATAGTGGCAGCAGAGAGCATTGCGTCTGACTCACATGACGCAGCGCTAGGTTCACCGGCATGCAACAACGATGACCTCTCGGGAAAGTTCAGCCAAGGTCCTCCCGGACATAGTGGAAGAAGTTCCAAGGGAAACAATTGTCTTGGCACGGGAATCGCATTACTGTTGCACCTTGCAACATCATCAGCCCCAGCCCCAGCAACAGCAGCAGCAGAAAAAGCAGCAGCAGAAGCAGCAGCAGCAGAAGCAGCAGCCGCAGCAGCAGCAACAGCAGCAGAGGGTGCAAACTCGCCTGCTGACCGGGCAGGAGCAACAGAAGAGCCACATCCATCCACTACTCCTCGGACTGAGAAGAGGTCACGTGGAGAAGAAGCAGTTAGTCCCAGAAGAGATGCAGCAGACGCGTTGGAAGCTCCTTTCTCAACAACTGTTGTTGGTTTCGCCAAGTATCAGGGAAAGAAACTACGGCCATCCGCAGGGATACCGGATCATTTACGGTTCTTAGGTGTGCGACGTCGGTGGGGAAAATGGCGATCAGAACTTCGCCCCTTGAACATGTGGCTCGGAACCTTCCCAACGGCCGAAGAAGCAGCATTTGTTCATGACATCGCTTCTCTGGCCACTCTCGGAACAAGAGCTCGCCTGAACTTTGGATGGACCAGCAGATACGTGGCCAGAACGCGTGACATTGAGAAGCTATGCGCTGGCAAGCTGAACCGGGTTCTTAGAGTCGCTATCCATGAAAAAATCATGCTCATATGCAAGAGCATTATGGCAGAACTTCCCAACCTTCCGATGTCAGCCATTCATGCCAAAATGTCTGCAGGACGCGGTGCCAACTCCATGCAAATACTCGAAGTAGACTCTGTGCAGAGGCTGGGACAGGCGACAACGGGTACTTCTGGAGCAACAGAAGAGCCATATCCATGCACAACCGTACCTGCAGAGATGCATCTGCCTGCATCTCCTCCTGTCAGGCATCACGTGGCTTGCCATCGATTCAGCGTCACACATGCATCATCCTCCACGCTCCCATCTTTCCCTCTGCCTCACCCACCTCGCAACGCCACAAGTGCAGGTTCGCCCTCGTCCATACCTGCTGACCTTCCCAAGTCTTCGCTGTTTCCAGTCTCTGGTTCTCCTGCCAGAGAAGATTTTGCTGAGGGAACACAAGCTGTTGGCACATCTGCTGGCCACGCATCTGGTGGCAGTATGTCTGCTGCAGCCGGAGCTCCTTCCCTGGCTCCTCCACTTTCACTGTCGCTGCAACCGTCTAGCCCAAACATCATCTCATCCGCTTTTGCCCCTGCAACCCCACCTTCACCACGATCCTCTCCGCTGGTTCCATCCCTTCGTTCCCATGCTCCTGTGTCAGCTTCTGTGCCATTCCCATTCTCTTCTCCTCCTCTTGGCTCCGCTCTCTTGGCTCCTCTTCCTGCTTCCATTTCCCTCAACCCATGTCAGGGCTATTGCTACTGTCAGCCCAAGCAGCAGCAGCAGGCAGCAGCCGCACATGATACATGTCATCCACATTCAGCTGCTGCCGTGCCTTCAGCAGCTCGTCCAAAGGAAAACAGCAGATCTGCAGTGGTGAACATTGAGGAGGATTGAGCCAGCTTGAGCCAGCAGATCTGCAGTGTCTGGAGGCTTGAGCCAAGTAACATGACGCAGTTCCAGCAACAGCTTTTAGGCTCCCAGACCCAGGAGCACCCACAGCAGCACTTAAGGCAGTCAATGCAAATAAGGCAACCAACAGCCCGTCAGCTGCAGCGGGTGCCACTGGCTTGTTCTCCTCCCAGGAAGGTCCAGGCACAGGGGTCGATGCAGCGAGCACCACTCCGTCGCTTGCGACTGGAGCAGGGAAACCAGCAAAAGGAGAACTGGCAGCAGGATGTGGTTGGCGGGGCAGCAGGAGCTGCCATTCTCGGTGGTGAACCATTCCCTCCTCCTCTGCTTCCATCGCGTGTGTTCCCACGGGCTCGTGCACCCTCTGAACCACCTGCTTCGCTTGGTGGCACTTTTGATGTAACGAGGCCTCTGCCAAAACTCATGCCGCTTCTCTTGTCAGCCATTGCCAATGGTAAGCCTGGCTCAACTAGTCTTGCTGCAGCACCAGCATCTGAGGAACAGAAAGTGGCCTCACTACAACCACCTCCTCAGCACACAGCCGGCTCTACTGGTTTAACATGCTAATTACGGTAACATCTTATGTGATGCGGACAGCCCGTGCATATCACCACCACTTGAGCGGCAGCGGTATCTGCATCCACTCAAGCAGGAGTGACATAAGCATCACTGAGCTAGCACGCAAGAACATCGAGAGTCGTCACGAAACTCATAGACTCTTATTCTAAGGCGGACAGCAGCACGACCACCTCTGGGCAGCACGGATAATGCAGTGATCCCACCAGCAGTATCATCAGGGTGGCACCTCGGGTTCACATTAGTCTAATAACGCTCCCAGTTAGTCAGATACCGTAAGACCTGTTTCGGCAGCAGATGAGTAGTCGCATATTTCTGACCAAAGCGGTAGAAAGCAAAGGAAAGTCCATTGTGCTGGCCAATGTACTCAGTCGTTCTTCGTATGCAGCCTGTGTAGTGGGAGAAGGTGTTAACGCTATACCCTGGATCAGAACCTGACAATATTTTGCCCTGTAAAACTAACCCCATCAGTCCCATTGTCCATTTCACTTTATAACGGAAAAATGTTTTGTAAAGTGCAGAACCCCTGTTAGGCCCGACGGCCTAAGTCCGCTAACGAATTAGCGGGGTCGACTAAGTCGAGGATGAAACGCGGCGGAAGACTTTGGCGAAAAAACTATTAGCAAAATAGGCGAAGAAGTTACTAAGTAATTGAGAAAGAGTTGGATGAGAATTGGTTGATAATGCCAAGTACAAGCAAGGTTTATATAGCATGCAAGAAACAAGGTTGGAAAGTGGATTGTGGGACCAAGAATTGGAGTGCAAGAAAAGTAGAGTGCCACGTGGCACTAGAGAATCTGAGAAGATAAGGATAAGGGTGACTTGGAATGTACTGTTCGGAATGAACAGTAAACACCCCTCTAACACTACCCCCCTCCCAAGGAGGCGACGTCCGCGGCGCCTGCAGACTGAAGGTACGCTCGGAGACAAGCGTTGTCGGGAGACAGCGAGGACGAAGGAACCCAGCTGTCGTCGGCTGCATCGTAACCACGCCAACGAACCAAGAAGTCAACGAAGTAGATGTAAAACATATATGCTACATATATTGTCTAGGCTGTAGTGGGGTAGCCCATATGGGGTACAGCCCAATTAGGGTTTACTACTTGTACTCCTGCATGCTGCTAATTCATCCCATTCCTGCTGCTAGATTCTGACATGGTTTCAGAGCACTAAGGTCCGTAGGACCGTTTTTTTTTTCGGGCCCACCTACCGCTGCGGTTACCGCGCTACCCCACGTACCTGCCTGCCTTGCCTTGCCTTGTGACGTGCTGCACTATGTGCGCCGTCCAGCAGCCCTAGCGCTGCCTCCTGCTGCCCTAGGCCAGCGCGCTGCCCCTAGAGGCCCGTAAGGCCCACGCGCCGCCCCTAGAGGCCCGTAAGGCCCGCGCAGCCTGCTGCAGCCGCGCGCAGCCCGCACAGAGCCCGCGCAGCCCGCGCCGAGCCGCGCGCAGCCCGCTGCAGCCGCGCGCAGCCCGCACAGAGCCCACGCAGCCCGCGCCGAGCCGCGCACAGCCCGCTGCAGCCGCGCGCAGCCCGCACCGAGCAGCGCATAGCCCGCTGCAACCGCGCGCAGCCCGCAGCTGCCGCGCGCAGCCCGCGCCGAGCCCACGCAGCCCGCGTCGAGCCGCGCGCGGCCCGCAGCAGCCCGCGCCGAGCCGCGCGCGGCCTGCTACTGCCTCGCGCGGCCCGCGCGCGGCCCGCAACAGCCCGCGCCGAGCCGCGCGCGGCCCGCTACTGCCTAGCGCGGCCGCGCGCGGCCTGCAGCAGCTCAGCGCGCTGTCAGCGCAGCCCGCGCCGAGCCGCGCGCGGCCCTCTGCCTCGGCCACGACCTGCCGCTGATGCGGCCCCGCCCTGCAGCTACCACGGCCCCGACCTGCCGCTGATGCGGCCTCGCTCTGTAGCTGCCACGGCCCCGACCTGCCGCTGACGCGGCCCCACCCTGCTACTGCCGCTGAAGCGGCCCCGCCCTGCAGCTGCCGCGGCCCTACTCTGCAGCCGGTTTTGCGGCCCCGACGCCGCCGCTGTCGTGCGCCTACTCGGCCGCCGCCCGTCGAGCGCCGGCCCTGCTCGCCCGGTGAGCGCCTGCTCTCCCAGCCTTTGGTGAGCGCCTGCCTGCCTGCCTGACGGCCTGCCTGTCTGCCTGCCTGCCTGCCGGCCTGGCTGCCTGCCTGCCTGCCGGCCTGCCTGCCTGCGCGACTGCCTGCCTGCCTGCCGGCCTGCCTGCCTGCCTGCCGGCCTGCCTGTCTGTCTGCTTGCCTGCCTGCCTGCCTGCCTGTCTGCCTGCCTGCCTGCCTGCCTGCCTGCCTGCCTGCCTGCCTGCCGGCCTGCCTGCCTGCCTGCCTGCCTGCTTGCCTGCCTGCCTGCCGCGCCTGCCTTGCCCGCGCTACTGCTGCTGCTACTGCTACTGGCAGGTGGCCAGATGCAGCTCCAGCGACGTTCACGCGAGCCTCTGACGCCCCAGCAGCTTAGTGAGTGGTATACTAGCTGGGGTTGTCGCAGTAGCCGTCGTAGCTGTCGCCCTGGAGCTGGTCAGTTGGGAGCGTCTGGCAGTGGCCAGCTACAGCTGCAGGGGCGTCCACGTGAGACACTTACGCCCCGGCAGCTCCAGGAGTGGTACGCTCAGTGTAGCAGGTCTACGCGTACAGTTCGCTGCCCGTACGTCATTCGCACAGGTGCTAGGACTGGTCAGCCTTGTGGGACGCTTGGTCACACACAGTCCCGCTGCTTCGCTCGTCTGAGCGACGACTGGCGCACAGTGTTTGGCGACGAGGCTGAGCTCCCCACCTGGCTGGAGCTGCATGGACAGAGGGTAGATATCTTTGCGCTTGACTATGATGCTATTCTCACTGCCATGTATGCATTGCCTACTAGTGCTGATCGTGCCTGTTATCTGTGCGTACCGCCTGACCCTGGTGAGGCTGCTGCTCTAGGTGCTAGTGCGTCTCCTGCTCTAGGTGCTGGTGAGGCTGCTGCTCTCGGTGCTAGTACGTCTACTGCTCTAGGTACTGGTGAGGCCGTGGCTTCAGGTGCTGGTGAGTCTGCTCTCTCTGGTACTGCGCCAACTACGGTCTCGCACACCTTCACCCTTGACTCAGGAGCTTCTCGCTCCTTCTTTCGCGACTGCACCACACTCACGCCGCTTAGTCGGCCAGTTCCAGTCTCCCTGGCGGACCCCTCCGGGGGTCCAGTCCTTGCCCACTACTCCACGGTTCTGCCATGTCCGGCCGTCCCGTCCGGCTCGCTGTCAGGTCTTTACCTCCCCTCGTTCTCTACGAACTTGGTGAGTGGAGCTGACCTCCAGGATCGGGAGGTTGACCAGTTCACTCCTGCGAGTCAGCGAGTGACTCACTGTACGTGTGCTAGGACGGGCCGGCACTTGGCCACGTTCACCCGTGCACCTGGCTCGAGTCTGTACACACTGACCACTGAGTCCTTTCAGGTAGCTGCGTCTGCATCTACGTCTGGTCAGCTGGCGGCCCCCTGCGAGTGTCGCGCTTTGTCGCACGACACTCTCCTGTGGCACCACCGTCTTGGTCACCCCTCCTTGCCTCGCCTGCGTAGCATGCACTCTCGCTCCCTGGTCTCTGGTCTTCCCAGGTCTCTGCCTGCCCTCCCTCCCTCGCCTGCGCCGCCCTGCATTCCTTGCGTCGAGGGGCGGCAGCGCGCCGCTCCTCACTCCTCCTCGTTTCCTCCCACAGAGGCTCCCCTGCAGACGCTCCACCTGGACGTGTGGGGCCCAGCCCGCGTCCAGGGACAGGGCCGCGAGCGGTACTTCCTGCTGGTCGTCGACGACTACACGCGTTACACCACGGTCTTCCCCTTGCAGAGCAAGGGGGACGTCCCTGATGTTTTGATCCCTTGGATCCGCGCTGTTCGTCTCCAGCTCCGCGAGCGGTTCCGGCGGGATTTTCCTGTCCTGCGTCTGCACTCTGACAGAGGTGGTGAGTTCTCCTCTGACCTCTTGGCAGCCTACTGTGCGGAGCACGGCATCACCCAGTCGTTCACGCTTCCGGCCTCTCCACAGCAGAATGGGGTTGCTGAGCGTCGCATTGGCTTAGTCATGGAGGTCGCTCGTACCTCCATGATCCATGCGGCTGCCCCCCATTTCCTGTGGCCGTTTGCGGTCCGGTACGCCGCGCATCAGCTCAACCTCTGGCCCCGTGTCTCCTTGCCGGAGACTTCGCCCACACTGCTGTGGACGGGGAAGGTTGGTGATGCGTCGCGTTTCCGGGTCTGGGGTGCTCGTGCCTTTGTCCGCGATACCACCGCGGACAAGCTCTCCGCCCGCGCTGTTCCCTGTGTCTTCCTTGGCTTTGTCCCTGACGCGCCTGGTTGGCAGTTTTACCATCCCACCTCGCGCCGTGTCTTTGCGTCTCAGGACGTCACGTTCGACGAGTCGGTTCCCTTTTACCGTCTCTTCCCCTACCGCACTGCCCCACTCCCCCCCCCGCCGCTCTTCCTCGCTCCAGGTGCTCCCCAGGTAGACCCCCTCCCCACTCCTGGTCCTGCTCCTTCAGGTGTTTCTCAGGTAGACCCTCCTCCCTTGACTGCGCCGGTTGAGGTCACTGGTGACTCAGGTCCTACTGAGGGTGGTCCTTCTCGGGGTGCTACTTCTAGGGGTGCTGAGCCTGGGGGTGCGGAGCCTGGGGGTGCTGAGCCTGGGGGTGCTGAGAATGAGGGTGCGGAGCTTGAGGGTGTGGAGCCTGGTGGTGCTGAGCCTGAGTGTGAGGGGTCTGGGGGTGCTGAGTCTGGCGGTGCTGACGCTGGAGGTTCTGGAGCTACTGAGGGTGCTGGCGCTGGAGGTTCTGGAGCCGCTGGAGGTACAGGTGCTGAGGGTACTGACACCGGAGGTTCTGGAGCCGTTGGGGGTGCGGGCGCTGAGGGTTCTGAGTCTGCTGTTGCGCGGTCTCCTTGGAGTAGCCGCCTTCGTCCACGTGTGCCTCTCACCCCACAGCAGCTGCAGGACTGGTACGGTCGCCGTCAGCGTCGCGCTGCTGGAGCTAGGAGTGGTGCTGGACCTTTGTCTACTGGAGGTGCTGGAGTCGCTGGTTCTGGAGGTGCTCGTACTGGAGACACTGAGGTTGGAGACCCTGGGACTGGAGGTGCTGGCTCTGGGGGTGCTGCGAGTGGAGACACAAAGGGTGGAGACCTTGGGAGTGGAGGTGCTGGTTCTGGGGGTGCTGCTGCTGGAGACACAGAGGGTGGAGACCCTGGGACTGGAGGTGCTGGTTCTGGGGGTGCTGCTGCTGGAGACACTGAGGCTGGAGACCCTGGGACTGGAGGTGCTGGTTCTGGGGGTGCCGCTGCTGGAGACACAGAGGTTGGAGACCCTGGGGCTGGAGGTGTCGGCTCTGGGGCTGGAGCTTCTGGAGCTGCTGGAGGTACTGGAGCTGCTGGAGGCACTGGAGCTGCTGGAGCTGCCGCTCCTGGTGCAGCTGCGCCGACACGACGGTTCTTCGCTCCGCCGTCTCCGTCGTCTCTGCCGCCGTCTGACTCTGTTCTTCGTCAGGTTCTTACTCTCCCGTCGTCTACTGGTCTTCCGTTACAGCCTGGCTCACCGCTGCCTGCTCCTTCTCCTTACACTGAGCAGACTGGTAGTCCTGCTGAGCGTCGTGAGCCTGCGTCGCGTCCTGTTTCGCCTGTTCGTCCTAGTCGTACCGGTCGTCGTGTTCCTCGTTCGCGTCAGCCGGCTGTCCCCAGCGCACACCTCGTAGTCCGTCGTCCTTCCTCTGTTCCGCAGCCTGTTCCTCTGCCGTCTCCTCCTGCGTCCTCTTTGCCTGACGTTCCGGACCCTGCGTCTGACCGGTTTCGTGCTGAGCACCCTACTGTCACGCGTCTACTAGCCACAGTTGTCACTGACCCGTCGTTTGAGTCTTCTGCTGCGTCTGCTCTTGTCGCTGAGCTTGTTGACTTTGCTGCTGCCTGTCGTCTAGACTTCACTGCCAGTCTTGTTACTGAGTCTGAGTCTGTCTGTCCTCCGTCCGTCGGGGGTGAGTGTGCTCTTAGCACGGACGTCCTTGAGGACAGGCAGGAGGAGTTCCAGTGTCTTGCTGCTGCTTTACCTCATCTTGTGTCCTCACTACTTGCCCCTGAGGGAGACCCGGATGCACCAGACATCCCGACTCCGCGCTCTTACGTAGAGGCGATAGAGGGTCCCTACTCCTCTCAGTGGCAGGCAGCCATGGACGCAGAGATGGCTTCCTGGAAGTCCACAGGCACCTATGTCGACGAGGTTCCCCCACCTGGGGCGAACATCGTCAGTGGCATGTGGATTTTCAGGGTGAAGCGGCCGCCGGGTTCTCCGCCTGTCTTCAAGGCGCGTTACGTGGCTCGAGGCTTCAGTCAGCGAGAGGGAGTTGACTTCTTCCAGACCTTCTCCCCCACCCCGAAGATGACCACTCTTCGGGTGCTGCTGCATGTTGCTGCTCACCGTGACTACGAGCTTCACTCTCTTGACTTCAGCACAGCTTTCTTACAGGGCAGCCTGCACGAGGAGATCTGGCTGCGCCGCCCCCCGGGCTTCACTGGGTCGTTCCCTCCTGGCACCCAGTGGAGCCTCCGGTGGCCGGTCTACGGTCTCCGCCAGGCGCCACGTGAGTGGCACGACACACTGAGGACTACGCTTGCGGCTCTTGGGTTTGCGCCTTCTACTGCTGACCCGTCGCTGTTTCTGCGCACCGACACTTCACTGCCACCGTTCTACATCCTCGTGTACGTCGACGACTTGGTTTTTGCCACTGCTGACACTGAGGCTCTCGCCCACGTGAAGTCGGAGCTGCAGAAGAGACACACGTGCACAGACTTGGGTGAGCTGCGCAGCTACCTTGGCTTGCAGATCACCCGGGACAGAGCACGCCGCACCATCACCTTGACTCAGTCACACATGGTGCAGCAGCTCCTTCAGCGCTTCGGCTTCACCTGGTCTTCAGCACAGGCCACTCCTCTGGCTACAGGTCACACGCTCTCAGCTCCACCTTCGGACGAGTCCGTAGAGCCGAGTGGCCCTTACCCAGAGCTAGTCGGCTGCCTCATGTACCTGATGACTTGCACTCGACCTGACCTTGCGTACCCTCTTGGTCTTCTGGCTCGCTACGTGGCTCTTGGTCGGCACCGACCTGAGCACATGGCTGCTGCTAAGAGGGTACTGCGCTACTTGTGCAGCACATCAGGCATGGGGCTAGTGCTTGGAGGGACGAGCCCAGTTGTCCTCACTGGACACTCAGACGCTTCTTGGGTTGACGACCAGGCTACTCAGCGGTCGTCACAGGGTTACACCTTCAGCCTTGGCTCTGGTTCAGTTTCGTGGCGTTCTACACGCTCGTCTTCAGTTCTCAGTTCCAGTTGTGAGGCTGAGATCTACGCCACAGCCATGGCTGCACAGGAGTTACGCTGGCTCACCTACCTGCTGACTGACTTGGGAGAGCAGCCTCGTTCTCCTCCAGTACTGTACGTCGACAACAAGGCCGCCATTGCCTTGTGTGAGGAGCACAAACTGGAGCACAGAACGAAGCACATTGCTCTGCGTTACTTCCTGGCTCGAGAGTTGCAGCAGCGAGGCCAGCTTCGTCTTCGTCACGTGGCCACTCGGGCCAACACTGCTGATATATTCACCAAGGCACTTCCGTCTGGTGATCATCAGCGCTTTTGTACCCTGTTAGGCCTTGTGCCTACGTTTCCACACTTGCTGTAGTCTCTGCTTGTACTGTGATCTATATATATACATGCATGCCTGCTCTTGCTAGGTAGTCATCACTGTACTGTTATTGTTGCATATATATCTCTGCATGTGGACTGGCCTTGTGGCCCTTTGCTTGTGCTCAGAATGTGTGGTGACGTTGAGATCCACCCTGAGCTTGCTTTGCTTCTCTTGACTGGTCGTTTGACCCCTTGTTCTCCCCCACTTTGCCTATGGGGGTGTGTCAAACATATATGCTACATATTGTCTAGGCTGTAGTGGGGTAGCCCATATGGGGTACAGCCCAATTAGGGTTTACTACTTGTATTCCTGCATGCTGCTAATTCATCCCATTCCTGCTGCTAGATTCTAACAGGAGACACCCCCCTGGATTCGACGATGGTGCCTGAGAATGCGCTGGATCTGGTAGTCGGGCTCGTCGGTGTCAACAGCTACCGGCAGTGGAGTGCGATCACGGCCCGAGAAGGTGGAGTTGGGATCGGTGTATGGACGAAGGAGAGACACGTGGAATGACGGGTGCATGCGGAAATGAGCGGGAAGGCGAAGGCGGTATGCGACTGGACCAAGTGCGCGCTCAATGACAAATGGACCAATGAAACGTGGGCGAAGCTTGCCGTCCTGTGGCAGTCGGAGGTTGCGGCTGTCCAAAAGAACACGGTCGCCAACTGCGAACGACACCTCACGACGACTGCGGTTGGTGGTGCGTGCCATGCGTGCATTTGCAAGCTCAAGGTGCTTCCTCACGTGGTCGTGAATGAAAGTGAGGTGCTGGTGGAAGTTATCAGCACGTGGGACTGTGGGTGTGAGATCGACACGAGTGGGGACATTGGGGTGCTGACCGTACAGTGCGAAGAACGGTGACATGCCTGTGGCGGAGTGATGCGTGTTGTTGTATGCGAACTCTGCCATGCTCAGCTTCTTGTCCCATGCTGCTGCGTCGTGCATCGTGATGCTGCGAAGAATCTGCTCCAAAGTCTGGTTCACACGCTCGGTCTGTCCGTCTGTCTCTGGATGGTACGCAGACGACATGGCTAAGCGAGTCCCAAACAGTGCGAAAAGCTGCTTCCAGAACTTCGAGGTGAATCTAGGGTCGCGGTCGGAAATGATCGAATCTGGAACCCCGTGCAGTCGGACTACGTTATCTACGAACAGCGTCGCGGCTTCCTCTGCTGTGACCTGGCCGTGCGTGGGGATGAAGTGCGCTGCTCGAGAGAACTTGTCCACTACAACAAAGATGGCGTCGTGACCCCTAACTGTGCGCGGTAAAGCCATGATGAAATCCATGGTAACTACCTGCCAAGGGCGGTCGGGCGGTGGAATCGGCTGCAAGAGTCCTGCTTTGCGCTGTCGCGAGGACTTCGTACGCTGACACGTGTCGCACGAGCGAACGTAATCCTCTACGTCTGCTGCAAGCCCTGGCCAATAGTACGTGCGACTAAGGGTCTTAGCCGTCTTGTCTGCTCCAAAGTGACCTGCACTAACTACATCGTGCGCCTCTGAGAGAAGGAGCTGTCGAAGAGGGCGGTAGGCTGGAACCCAAATCCGTGCTGTACCCTTCCGTATGTAAACACTACCCTGCACCTCTGCTCCTGCGGGCGGCTGCGGTGTGAAGTCGGGATCTACTGTGTAACCGTGCTCGAAGAGTGCTGTGAGAAGTGGATGGCCTGCAGTGACTGTGAGACTAGCGAGCTGGCAACTAGGGCGAGTGAGCGGATCTGCTGGGTTGCGAACGCCTGGCTTGTACTCTATCCTGTAATGAAAGCTCCCCTCCATGAACTCCATCCATCTAGCCTGGCGACGACTCAGCTGCGGCTGCGACTTGAGGAAGCGAAGAGAGCAATGGTCCGTGCGTATAACACTATCTGCCCCCTCTAGGTAGCACCTCCACACCTTATACGCATGGATGATCGCGAGCGCCTCCTTGTCGTGTATGGGATAGTTCAACTCCGCTCCCCTCAGCTTACGCGACTCGTACGCGATCGGCTGCAACCCGCGTCCCTGGTCCTGAAGAAGGACTGCACCTATGGCCTGATCTGAAGCGTCGGTCACTACAACGTACGGGCGAGTGGGATCGGGGTACGACAGTGTCGGTGAAGACGTGAGCGACTGCTTCATCTGCTGCTGCGCTGGACCCCAAACGTACTCTACGCCTTTCCGAAGTAGGTCGGTGAGTGGACTAGCGATCGATGCGTAACCCTGAACGAAGCGACGGTAGTAATTCGCGAAACCGAGGAAGCTCTGCAACTCCTTGACCGATGTCGGTGCTATCCAATCCTGCACTGCTGCGATCTTCTTCGGGTCTGTCCTAACGCCACTAGCGGAAACGACGTGACCTAGAAACTCGACCTCGGGGAGGAAGAACTCGCACTTAGACTGCTTCGCGTACAGCTTCTCCCTCCGCAAGACCTCGAAGACCTTCTGCAAGTGCTGCACGTGCTCCTCTTTCGACTTGGAAAAGATGAGGATGTCGTCTAGGTAAACTACGACGAACGAACCTAGGAACTCGGAGAGGACTGTGTTCATGAGCGTCTGAAACGTCGCTGGGGCGTTGGTCAAACCGAAGGGTAGAGTCCTAAACTCGTACAACCCCTGCTTCGTACGAAACGCCGTCTTGTGCTGGTCCTCTGGAACTACGCGAATCTGATGATAGCCCGAACAAAGGTCGATTTTGGAGAAGACTCTAGCGCCCTGCACTGCATCTAGGAGATCCTCTAATCGTGGTACTGGGAACCTGTTCTTGACGGTGGCGGCGTTCAGTGCGCGGTAATCTATGCACATCCGTAACCCTCCGTCTTTCTTAGGCGCGAAAAGGATCGGTGCGGCCCAAGGCGATCTAGATGGCTGTATAAACCCGTGTGCGAGAAAGTGCCTAACCTGCTGCGTCATCTCCTCTGTCTCTGCTGGACTCAACCTCCACTGCGGCTTCGCTACTGGCCTGCTTCCCGGCTCCAACTCTATTCGATGGTCTACTGCTCGGCTGGGAGGTAACCCTGGGGGCAACTCGTCGGGGAAGACGTCTGCGAACTCCGCTAACAGTGCACTCACCTCAGCAGGAAGAGTCGCCTTCTCACTAACTGCTGCACTCCCTCCTTTCCCCTCCTCAGCTTCCACCTCCTCAAGGAAAACCGCGAAGATCCGTGCCGCACGCTTCACTAACTGTCGCACACGAACAGCATTAATGATAGCTGTGGATGATGTGGCCCCATCGCTCCACTGTGGCAGCTCCCGGAACTCCCCGTCTACCTTGACACTACAGCGCCCCTGAGCCCAATCGAACTGAGTACTAACCGTGCGTAGCCAATCTCTCCCGAAGATGAAATCGTATCCGTCCAGCGTCGCAGAGTCGAAGTCACGCCTAACTGTAATCGTTCCTAGCACCACGCGCAACTTGCGAATGACAGGTCCTATGCGAAGCGGCTCCCATCTACCATGCGAGCGTCCTTGAAGTTGACTGCCGTATCTGCTTCGAGATGGAGACGACTAACTAATGAAGACGAAACGAACGAGTGGCTAGCTCCGCTATCGACGAGAATCTTGACTGGAACTCCGCGAAGCTTCCCTAGAAGCACGACTGGTCGGTCAACAGTGTCTACCGAGTTCTCCGTAGATGACTGCTGCAAGGCCGTCTCCTCTACGTTGGTAGACGTGGCGGGTACGGGAACCTCCACACCAGCTAGCGACCCGCTATCTACTGGCGGTTTCCGTTTCCCTGCTGCTGCTCCTTGAACTGTGGGCAGTCCCGCTTCATGTGACCCGGCTTTTTGCAGTAGTAACAGTTCCCCCTAAATCCGTTGCGCTGTGAGCCGTCACTGTTAACTGCACCAATCTCCATGGGCGATGGTCCGTCCCTCGATCGAGTGTCGTTGATCGGTCTGCTGTATCCCCTATCGCGATCGTCACGACCCCGTCGGCTTCGTACTGCGTCGACGCGTTCTGCTGCTGCGACTACCGACTCGAAGGTGGACAACCCGTGAATCGCTATAACCTCCGCAATGTCCGCCTTCAACCCTTCGAGGTAGCGATCGCGCATCTCTGCTTCCGTGATGTCGTCTATTTCGTTGCAGATGCTCAAGAACCGTCGTGTGTACTCCTGGACGTTGCCTATCTGTCGGAAATGACGCAGACGCTTCCTAGCAGCTTCGGAGGCGTTCACCAAATCGAACCTACTTTTCAGCGCCGCTTCAAATCCTTCCCATGTGGTCGGAACCGTGGTAACACCCAAAGCTAGACTTCCTAAGCTCGATGTTGCAGCTGCATGCCCCACGTCCTGTTGATACCCGTCCGTCTGAGCCCTCCGTACAGCAGTCTGCGTAAGTTGGCGCCACCACTCCAAGGCCGGCCCCCTCAACAGCGTCACCGCGTACTCGATCCGCTGCTGCGCGTCCGCCTCTTGCACCCCGCTCGCGGCGAAGTAGTTGTTGAGCATGAAGAGCCACGTCCGCACGTTCGCGTCGCGTTGGCTCGGGTCGAACGACTCGGGCTTCTGCGGCTTGAGTGCGCTTCGACGTTCCGGCAGCGCTTCCGCGCCAGTCGACGTGGTGGGTGCAGGAGTTGGTGCGACATGGCCATGGGGGTTAGAAGCCAATTCACGAAGCTGTTGCATTTCAGCTCGTACCTGACGATTTTCCAACGTCAACTCTTGAAGTTGGCGCATAAGTTCAGCAAGCGTGTTGCCCATGTCGTGGGGGAGAGCGTGCATGGTTTCGTCCATGTTCGCTCGACGACTCCAAGTCTGCAAGTCGGCACCGCGGGACGATGACGTCGTAGTCTCGTCGTCGACGGCCGCTCGTTGGAAGTCGCTCCCCGCGAAGGCTCTGATACCATGTCAGAATCCCAGCCACTAACCACTGGGATAAAAGGGCTTGTTTATATAGCGGGTGAGTGCGCCCATAACCCCCCAGGCCGACGTGCCTGTAACCCTTCCCTAGGATCATCGGGGATCTCCAGTGGACCTCTGACACCACCCCGCACTGGGATGCACGAAGTGCACACACCGGGAATCGAACCCGAGACCTTCGCTCTGATACCATGTGTTAGGCCCGACGGCCTAAGTCCGCTAACGAATTAGCGGGGTCGACTAAGTCGAGGATGAAACGCGGCGGAAGACTTTGGCGAAAAAACTATTAGCGAAATAGGCGAAGAAGTTACTAAGTAATTGAGAAAGAGTTGGATGAGAATTGGTTGATAATGCCAAGTACAAGCAAGGTTTATATAGCATGCAAGAAACAAGGTTGGAAAGTGGATTGTGGGACCAAGAATTGGAGTGCAAGAAAAGTAGAGTGCCACGTGGCACTAGAGAATCTGAGAAGATAAGGATAAGGGTGACTTGGAATGTACTGTTCGGAATGAACAGTAAACACCCCTCTAACAACCCCAACAAAACAAGGGAAAATATGCCACAAGTAACGAACTTGGGACTCGATAACGTAAATGGTACAAAAAAAACGCGTACGGTCACTGTATCGGGTTTCCAGACGGGTTTGGTAAGTGGGGTCACGGATTCAGTCATTAACAACAGGTAAAAAATCACGCGAATGGTCACACATGTAACTCCCGCCAAAAAAACTTGAAACTCAACAAAATTCCCGCTCGCCCCCAACCAATCTGCGAACTTGTAAAAAAAAACTAAAACCCAATCGGAATCGGATGCGGTTCGGGAACGGATCAACCCTAAACACCTGGCTAGTTACGTGTTAGGGTTGATTCATCCGAAAATGCACCCAGATTCTTTTTGGGTTTCATTTTGTTTTGGCGGGAATTTCATCTGTGACCATTCGCGTTTTTTTTTACCTGTTGATTGTGACTGATTCCGTGAAACTCTTTATCAGTCGCGTGAAAACACCCTTTGCAGTGACCGTACCCTTTATTTTTTTACCAACTGTGTTATCGAGTCCCATGAAGGTTACGAATGGCATATTTTCCCACAAAACAATGTATATCCTAGAGAAGCGAAATGTCCCAGGGTGACGTGGACGGACAGCTGTCAGAGTCTCCAGAGCTATGACTGGTGGGGAGGTTCAAAACGAAAAATCCTGCCTATCCCTGCGCCTCCTCCACAACACCTATCCTGTCATTCCACCCAGATGTGAATTCCTAAATTTTGCAGAGCAGGATCACAAAGGAGGTTATTTGTGACAAGAAACTAGCCGATCGACGGAGCTGTTCGCAAGGAATGCGGGTTGGTATTTTTCACGCTACGCTGCTAAGTTATCGTCGATTAGCTTTGAAACGATTCTTCTGGTGTGCAGAATCGGAAGTGAACATGGACAGCCGGAATCAGCTGTTGTCGAAAAAAGCTTGACATATTTATGGTTGAAACGACGCGGTCAGACCCAACAATACCTATTCATAATATGTTCACTTCCGTTTCTACGGCCACTACTCCTCGGACTGAGAAGAGGGCACGTGGAGAAGAACCAGTCGGTTGCGAAGAAGATGCAGTGAATGACGACCCCAGGAGAAATGCAGACGCGTTAGAAGCTCCAGGCTCAACAACTTTCGTTGGTTCTGGGAAGAATCAGGCAAAGAAGCAACGGCCATCAGCAGAAGTGCCCGATCATCAACGGTTCCTAGGTGTGCGACGTCGGCGGGGAGGATGGGCACCAGTGCTTGACGGCGTGAATAGTCCTATTTGCATGTGGTTTGGAACCTTCGAGACGCCCGAAGACGCAGCGTTCGTCCATGACATCGCTTCTCTGGCCATTAACGGAGCAAGAGCCCAGTTGAACTTTGAATGGACCCGCAGATATGCGGTTCGAATGGCTAACATCGGAAATCGATGCGTTGGCACGCTTAACCGGGTCCTTAAAAACGCGATCCGTGAAGACATCATCTTTATTAGCTATAGCATAATGGCAGAACTCCCTAACCTTCCGATGTCGGAGCTTCATGCGAAAATGTCTAGTGCTGCTATACCTGCAGGACACGGCACCATCGCCATGCAGAAGTCGGCTGTGGTAGATGCTGCGAAAGGACCCAGACAAGCAGCAAAGGGTGCTTCGGCGATCCTAACGCAGTCGGTTCCTGTTGAGACTCGGCCATTGAAGGATCAAGTCAACAACTGCAAGGCTCCATTATCCGTGACAGCAATCAGTACCAAGCCACAGGTGTTCCATGGTTCCCGTCGTTTCAATATCTGTGAGTGCTCATGTCAAATTGTAGCTTTCATTTCTTGCATAAGTGAGAGAGCATTGCTTCTGACTCGCGTGACACAGCGCTAGGTTCAGGATGCAGCACCAAGGACTGCTCGGGAAAGTCCAGCCAAGGTCTTGGAAATTGTGGCAGAAGTTCAAAACGAGATGATCGTTTTGGCACGGGAATTGCATTACTTTCGCACGCTGCAACATCATTAGCCCCAGAAGCAACAGCGTCAGCAGCAGCAGAGAGTGGAAATGCACGTGCTGGCAGGGCAGGAGCAACAGTGGAGCCTTATCCATGCACAACCGTACCTGAAGAGACGCATCTGCCTGCATCTCCTCCTGTCAGGCATCACGTGGCTCGTCATCGAATCAGCATCACACATGCGTCATCCTCCACACTCCCATCATTCCCTCGTACTCACCCATCTTGCAATGCCGCAAATGCAGCTTCGTTCATACCTGCTGAGCTTCCAAAGTCTTCGCTGATTCCAGTCTCTGGTTCCACTGCTGGAGAAGCATTTGCTGGATGCACTTCGGCTAATGGCACATCTGCTGGAGGCACATCTGCTGACAGTATGTCTGCTCCAGCCATAGCTCCTTCCCTGGCTCCGTCACTCTCAGTGTCACTGCAGCCGCCTCCCCCAGCCAACATCTCAGCAGCCTTTTTCCCTGCAGCTTCACCTTCACTTCATTCCTCCCTGCTAATCCCATCCCCTCGTTCGCATGCTCCTGCTTCAGCTTCTGTGACATTCGCGCTCTCACCACATCCTCCTGGCTCCACTCCCTTGGCTCCTCTTCCTTCCTCCAATCCCCCGTACCCATGTCAGCGCTGTCGCCACTGTCAGCCCAGGAAGCAGCAGCAGCAGCAGCAGCAGCACCAACTGCAAATGGTACCGGCTACCCTCTGCGGGCCCACTCACCTGGCACCTCCATGAATGAGAACCAGAATTGCACAAGTCTCAAAAGTTGTGTTCTGACCTTCAAGGCTGCCAGGGTCAGTGGCAGCCACGCACCAGCTATTCCGCCAGCTCTACCTGCTATGGCACTTGATAGAGCCCCTGCCACCAGATCGCTAATCCCTGAACCCGCTATACAGTGTATTGGCCATCCTTTGGGCTCCCAGACCCAGGAGCAACCGCAGCAGCAGTCAAGGCAGTCACGTAAACCAATGGCCAGTCAGCTGCAGCAGCTGCCACTTCCTTCGTCTCTTCCCAAGAAGCACCAGGCACAGGGGTCAAGACAGCGAGCACCACTCCATTGCTTGCAACTGCAGCAGGGAAACCAGCGAAGGGAGAATGCATTGCTTTATTGAATGCGAGCAGCAGCACAAGCACCTATGGGCAGCAGAGACAATGCAGTGATCGCACCAGCAGTATCACCACCAAGGATACACCTCAGGTCCGCATCAGTATTGACACTTCTCACTAGTTATAGGGCTCCACTATTTGAAGGCTCAACATTAATTCACTGTTTGAACGACACTTCCTTGACAGCATTTCCAGCATTGTGGCCAGATATTCCCCTGAATAAAGTGCTAGTGAGCAAAGGAATGTTCACTGTGCTGCTTAATGTAGCTAGTCATGTTCTGGGCAGCTTGTGTAGGGAGATGGTGTAACCCTAAACTATGAATCACAATCTAACCTACTTATGCTCAGTTCGAAACTAATTTGAACAGTCCTGCTGCCCACTTTATTTTTATCGCGGTATTATGGGGAATGGTATTCTACAAATGTAGAAGATCTTAAAATAATGAATATTTCTGAAAATGCGATGTCCCAAAACTGACGCTGTATGTCCCAGCAGTGACGTGGACTGACTGCTGTCGGACTCTCCCCCAGCCCAGAAAGCCACGAGTGCCAGCGAGGCTCAAAATGATGCCATCCTCCCCTCCTCCACCACCACTGTCAGTCCCCCTCGACCTGACTCCCCCCCCATTCCCTGCTCCCTGAACAGATTTCCCATTTCCCATGTGAAATTCCATTTTCTGCACGAATGCCCAGATAGGAATCAGGAGATTTATGACTTCGCAGAGCAGGATCACTGAGAGGATTTTTATTCCAGCGAGCTAGACGGGTGCTGTCGACGGAGCTGTTCATTAGGAATGCAGGTAATTTTAGACGCTACGCTCCTAACTTATCGTTGACTACCATTGTAACGACACTTCTGGTTTGCAGGAACGAATGTGAAGCCCGAATCAGCTGTCGAAAAAGCTTGACATATTTGTGGTTAAAGCGACGCGGTTAGACCCAACAATACCTATTCATAATATGTCAGATACTGTCGTTACTACGGCCACTACTCCTCGGAATGAGAAGAGGACACGTGGACAAGATTCAGTCGGTTGCGAAGAAGATGCAGCGAATGACGGTCCCAGGAGAAATGCAGACGCGTTAGAAGCTCGATGCTCAACAGCTTTCGTTGGTTTGGCCAAGAATCAAGCAATGAAGCAACGGCGATCCGCAGAAGTACCCGATCATCAACGGTTCATAGGAGTGCGACGTCGGCAATGGGGATCATGGGCATCAGAGATTTGCGCCTTAAACTATACTTTTCGCATGTGGCTTGGAACCTTCAAGACGCCCGAATACGCAGCGTTCGTCCATGACATCGCTTCTCTGGCCATTAACGGAGCAAGAGCCCGACTGAACTTTATATGGACCCGCAGATATGCGGCCAGAACGGCTGACATCGAGAAGCGATGCGTTGGCACGTCTAGCCAGATTCATAAGGCTGCTATCCATGCAGAAATCATGCTCATATGCAAGACCATAATGGCAGAACTTCCTTGCCTTCCGATGTCAGCAATTCATGCCAAGATGTCTAATGCTGTTACATCTGCAGAACCTGTTGAAACTCGGCCATTGGTGGATCATTTCAACAACTGCGAAGCTGCATCATCCGTGACCTCTATAAATGTTGAGCCACAACTGTTCCAGGAGTCCCGTCGTCTCGACCTCTGTAAGTGCCCATAATGAATTCACCGTTAGTTGAATTTCAGCTTTTATTGCTTCACGTAGCACTGGCAAGAGAGCATTGCGTCTGACTCACGTGACACAGCGCTAGGTCCACCGGGATGCAACAACAAGGTCTGCTCGGAATTGTTTAGCCAAGGTCCCGAAAATGGTGGCAGTTGTTCCAAAAGAAACAGTCTTATTGACACGGGAATTGCATCACTTTTGCTCCTTGCCACATCATCAGGCCCAGCAGCAGCTGCAGCAGGAGCAGCAGCAAAGAGTGCACATGCTCGTGCTGACAGGGCAGGAGCAACAGTGCAGTCATATCCATGCACAACCGTACCTGAAGAGACGCATCTGCCTACACCCCCTCCTGTCAGCCATCACGTGGCTCGCCATCGTTTCAGCGTCACACATGCATCACCACCCTCCACGCTCCCATCATTCCCTCGTACTCACCCATATTGCAATGCCGCAAATGCAGCTTCGCCCTCGTTCATACCTGCTGAACTTCCGAAGTCTTCGTTGATTCCAGTCTCTGGTTCCACCGCTGGAGAAGCATTTGCTGAATGCACTTCGGCTAATGGCACATCTGCCGGAGACACATCTGCAGAAGGCATATCTGCTGGAAGTATGTCAGCTTCAGCCAGCGCTCCTTCCACGGCTTCGCCCCTCTCACTGTCGCTGCCGCCTCCTAGCCCAACCATCATCTCATCAGATTGTGCCCTTGGAACTCCAACCTCACTGCATTCCTCCCAGCTAATCCCATCTGCTCGTTCACATTCTCCTGCTTCAGCGTCTGTGCCATTTGCACTCCCACCTCCTCCTCTTGCCTCCACTCCCTTGGCGCCTCTTCCTTCCTCCAATCCCCCGTACCCATGTCAGTGCTGCTGCCACTGTCAGCCCAAGCAGCAGCAACGGCAGCAGCAGCAGCAGCAGCAGCGGCCGCAAATGGTACCGGCTATTCACTGCATGCCGACGCACCTGGCACCTGCATGAATGAGAATGGCACCAACTTCAACAGCTGCATTCTGACCTGCAATGCTGCCAGAGCCGATGGCAGCCGCACACCAGCTATTCCACCAGCCTTACCCGCTACGGCACCTGCTGGAGCTCCTGCCACCAAATCGCTGCCCAGTGAAGCTGCCACACAGCGCACTAGCCTTCCTACAGCACTGCTGCCAGCTCTGCTCACAACATTGCCATCCCGGTTCTCTGCTGGAGCCTGTATGAGTGCTGCCGGCGCTGTTCTTCCACAAACTGCAGATGGGGCACCTTTAGCTGCTGCCGCATCTTCAGCAGCTCGTCCTAAGGAAATCAACAGCTCTCCAGTGGTGAGCAGTGAGGGGAGCGTCTGGAGGCTCAAGCCAGGTAGCGTGACGCTCATCCAGCAGCCGCTTTTGGGTTCTCAGAACTATGAGCAACCAATGCAGTCAAGGCAACCAATGTCCCGTCAGCTGCAGCAGCTGCCACTGTCTTCTTCTCTTCCCATGAAGCACCATGCACAGGGTTCGAAGCAGCGAGCACCACTCCATTTCTTGAGACTGGAGCGAGGAAACCAGCAAGAAGGGAAGTGGCAGAAGGATGTGGTTGGCGGGGCAGCAGGAGCTGCCATTCTCGGCGGTGAGCCTTATCCCACCGCTCCTCATCTGCCTCCATCGCCCATCCTCCCACAGGCTCATACAACCCCTGGACAACCTTCGTTGCATGGTGGTTCATTTAATTTAGCAAGGCCACTACCAAAGCTGATGCCATTTCTCCTGTCAGTTGTTGCCAGTGGAAAGGCCAGGGTTCCTGCCGCATCCCTGACACCAGTCCCTCTCCATTGGCTGTTTCAGTTGGTTTGGCCGCAGCACCAGCAACTGTTCAACAGAAAGTGGCGTCACTACAACCACCTCCTCAGCACACACCTGGCTCCATTCCTCGATAAACAGGTCGATTTCTGTTAATGAAGGCAGCCGCGCTCTGCGAATGCCACACCACCAGCTTTTCACAAGCACACGTACACTGCAACATCTTTCTTCATAGCAGCCGCCCTGGCAAGCTTTGAAGTAGCACGTTCTAGTCGTTGCCGTTTAACTAGCCCTAGAAACAACAGCCCTAAAAATGCTGAACGTTGTCTCTTTATCTGCAGCTCGAAAATGCATTCAATTTTGCCCAGAGAAAATGCTGTATTGTGTAGTATGGAATTGAATAGTGTGTGTTTTGCTATAATTGCTGTCGTTTCTATTATTGAGGTGCTTCTGTAACATTGCCTGCCAACGTTCACGAATCTTGGCCGTGAATGCCGCGGAGCCGTACGGAAATAGCATCACATCAAGGCCAAGGATACTTGCTGTATCTGTCCGGTTTTCCTGGTGCAGAACATTATGTGGGTATTGGAAACCTTGATCAGTTGATGCTTTCGGTCTGGAAGGTCAGTTAAAGACCGCGCAGTCCATTGACGCTCGTGCCCGGGATTGTGACCCTGTTCACACGTAGATTGGTTTCCAGCGTTCCGTGAGTGACTGCATAGCCGGTTTGCGAGCGACGTTTGTCAGTTGCCGCAACCAATTGCAAACCTCTGCTCTGACTTCCTCAATCGCTGGCCGATCATGTTGCTAAACAAGCTTGTTTCTCCCGTCAGATATGTCAGACCTAACAGTAAGTTTCCCCCCATTCCCGTGAGTGACCCATGCGGCCATTTCAAGCTGGGCCGGGGGTCACAATTTTGCAGTCTCGTTTTAATTTCTCGTTTTCCGCATTTTTGTGGCTGCAACCCTTCTCAGTTATACAGTATTCCTCACCGAGTTCGTTCGGGGCTGACCGCAGGGTGACCAGAAGAATCGAGATTGAAGGTTCACAATCATCAACGAAATGTACGGAGTTTGCTCCGGGCCGCGGATTTCAAACCGCCCGTCAACACAATTCCCGCTTTGAAATTCTAATTCGCGCCACCCCGAGGCATTCAAATGTGGACGTTCGGGAATTTGGTCTTCACTCTCCTCCTATCCCCTCCACCCCTTGGTCGTCGTACAGTCTTCCCAACCATCCCCTCCTCTCAACCTGTACCCGCACGCTTTGCAAGGTCTCACCGCCTGTTGTTGATGTTCCGTTGGTCACTCTCTCTTCCTCCATTTGCTCGTGCTTGATCTCATCTTCTCAACGGAAGTCCCGGATATGTCATCGCCCACCATTGCTGATACTCGGACCCTTACATCTCGCAGCGCGCAATAACACTTCTTAGTATCTCCAACGCGTTAGCTCGTCTGAACGGCGAGACGCCATTGACGGTGTCCGCCGCCGTCATGCGCGCTCCCTAGCCTAGTCTCGAGCAGAACATGTATTCGACCACAGCCTCAAACACAGCACAGCCAATAGAACGGCCATTAGCACAGCCACTAACACACCCTCGAACACAGCCGCTAGTACAAGCAGAATCACAGAGACACGAACGAACCGCGGAATCGGAATGGAGACGGAAGACTCTTAGTGTCAACTGTAGCTCGCCCGACTCGGTTCTGCAGACTAGCTGCTTCGACCGCACCACGGGTTCTGACTCGGACGATAGCTTATCCTCCTCCGTTTTCGAGGCTCCGAAAAAGCACACCGGCGGTACTGACTCCAGCGACACCCCGTCACCCTCCATTTTCATTGAAGATCCTCCTATGAGGTCCGCTACGTGAACACATCTTTCCTTCATCAACATCGTCGCTGGCTTAACGTTTAGGCTTGTGATTCGTACTGTATGCGTTACACCTCTTGCCAACAACTGTTTTTTATAAGCCATAGCGTTCCCCTCATCTCAATATCTATGCCGCTCCATGATTCGTTCCCCTCCCCCTGCATTCCGTCGGCTGACTCATTCCTTCCCACCCTCTTCCGCTTTTCTCCCGCTCCCTCCCTTCCCGCTGTGCACACACGCGCACTCTCCATTTCCCGCAACCCATTCTTTCCCCGCTCCCCCCCCTGCAGCCGCCGGTATTCCCGAGGCGACTCCCCCGGCTCAGGGCCCACCACGCCTGGCAACAGCACCTCCAAAATCCACGCGCTTCTATCGACCAACCGATCAGGCTCGGGATCCAGCCGAACCTCAGGCTCGTTCCCGAAGCGCCACGTCAGCACGGGGGCTGCAGGTAACAGGAACGACGCGCCGCTTCAAGCCGCGGATGCCGGCGTCAACGCGGACGGCGTGCGCGTTCAGCTGTTCCCCGATGGAGACTGCGCGGGTGGGCGCGCGGAGGGTTGTGCGGGTGGGGGAGCGGAAGGTTGGGCGGACTTTTCTGCGTGGGAGAGTGGAAACGGGAGAGGGTTCAACGGAGAGGGGGCTAAGGAGAATGGAAGGGGGGTAAGCGCGGTCATGAAGCCGCCCTCCCCCCGCTTTCACGCGCAGCATTCTCCGCGCCCCCGGCCGCCTTCCCCCCGCTCCGCGTCTCCCCGCGCAGCGCAGCCAAACTCCCTGCAGATGGGCGTGCGCCGTCTTCCCTCCCCCGCCGTCGGTCCCCCCGCGCTCCGCGAGGATCCCCACGGGCGCGCGCGGAGCCTCGGTGTGGGTGCGGGTGGTGGCGGGGGTGGCGGAAACGGCGTAACCACCCTCTCGCCCCGTCCACGTGGCAGCAGCTTATTGGCTCCGCCGCTCGACGTGAGCACGCTCAAACCCGGTGGGTTTCATTCGAATGATCTGTCGTCACCGCGTCAAATTGACGGCAGCGGGTATGTAACGCCACCTCAGCATGACGTCATCGACTGGGACAGCGCGAGCGGCGGAAGTGGCGGGATTCCCTTCGGAGAGGAGAATCTGGTCGCGGCTGCGGCGGCGGCGGCGACGACAGTTGCGGCGGCCAATGCTGGTGATGACATTCCTTGTAACGCGTATTACGGTGCTAGAGGCGCCGCTACTGCGGCCAACGGATACGTACCCGCCCCCACGACGCTGCCGGCTCGAAGGCCTAGTTTCGGGGCAAGCCATAACGGATCATTCGGCGCGACAAAGCACCTCCAGCAACCGCAACAGCCCCAGCAGCAGCAGCAGCCTCACGAGACGCACGAGCACGCGCAACAGCAGCGAATACATCGGTCCATTTCGCTCGGCGCTGATGCGCTGGCAGCTGCTGATTGGCTGCGATCCCCCGCGGGGGCATCTCGGCGCGGAAGCGCCTCCCCTTCCGCCGTGCATCCGCTCCCCCCGCCCCGCACCACCACCATCGGCGCTACTGGCGCAAGCGCAGCAGCGGGAGACCAGCGCGCGGAAGCTTTGCGCGGAGGGGCGCGCGGGCAGGCGGCGGAGGATGGGTATGAAGAGGCGTTGGCGGAAGGGACGGCGGATGTTCTGCGGAGCCGCGTCCGTCGCGCTTATAACGCGGATGACAGCAACGACGGTGACGATGGCCCCGTTGTAATGACGTGCAGGCTGTTTCCCAGAAGGAGCACGTCGCGTACGTCTCTTAACGGAGGTGGCAGTAGCGGGGACAGCGTGAGCGGAGGGAGCGTGCGTGAAGGGAAAGACGACAAGCACAGTCGGAAACCGAAACGAAGCATCTCTTGGGGGGGATGGATGAAGGCAGGGGGAAGCGGAGGGGGAAGGGAAGCAGAGAAAGGGGGAGAAGTGGCAGCGAAAGCTGGAGTGGTTGGGACGTTTGGTGGGACAATCGACAAGGAGGGAGAAAAGAGTGCTTATAAGCCTGACTCTCAGCAGAAACCGGTCCTTAATGGGCGGAGTGAAGAGGTTCTTAACGCGTACAAGGCCCTTACTCAGCAATCCGCCGCGTGGAACCAGCTTAAGGCCGGGAATGACGTCACACCTGGTGCTGCTGACGTCACGGTGCCGCCCACCCCTGCACCTGGTCCTGCTGCTGCCGAGGCTGCTGCTCTCGCCGAGGCAAGCGCCCGAGCCTGCCGGCTAGCCTTGGCAGCGGAGTCCGAAGCAGCAGTGAGCTTCTCTCAAGCTGTAAGCTTTGCAGGCTCGGTAAGCACGTCGCAGCAGTGCGGGTCCCACACTCACTCTCACTCTCGCAAGCACTCTCCCACGGTTAACTTTGGCTGGCCTTTGAAGCATGATGAGGTGCGAAGAGAAAGCAAAAAGAAAATTCGAGCGAAGAAAGAGAGGGCAGGGGAAGGGCCGGGAGGGGAGAGGAGGGGCGAGGAAGGAAGAAAGGGAGAATCAGGAGGAAGAGAGAAGGGAGAGGAACGGAGAGCATCCCAAGGGAAGGAAGAAAGAGAGGTGTCTCAGGAAGAAGAAAGAGGGAAGCAAGAGAGGTGGCAGCAAAAGGAGCAGGAGGAAAGAAAGGTTGAGATAGAGGAGGAGGAAGAACGGAAGCAGGAGCAGAGGGAGCGAGGGCAGGGGGGGAATCAGCAGGAAGACGGACAGAGAGCAGCAGAAGCAGCGAAGGAGGCAGCAGAGGCAGCAAGGCGAGCAGCAACACGTTTTTCAGCAGCAGCAGCGGTGGCAGCAGCGAAGGGCGCGCGGTTGGAAGCGGTGGAGATCGCTGTGAGGGCAGCGAGAGCGGCAGTGGAGCAAGGGGCGTTGGAAGGAGCGAATGTGGCGACTCTGGTTGGGCATTACAATTCACTGCTGCGCCTGCAGGAGCAGATGGAACGACAAGAGAGGGGAGAAATGAAGGAGAGGATGGAAGAGGAGGAGGGTGTTGAAGCTATCGAGAGGCCACAGTTGCAGCAACTGCAGACTCTACAGGAGCAACTGGAGCATCAAGAGAAGAGTGATAGTAAGTCGGCAAGCCAACAGCAGCACCTGCACCAGGTGGAGCAGCAGCAGCAAGAGAGGCAGGAACAGCAGCAACAGCAGCAGCAGGGTCAGCTGAGCAAAGGATGGGTGCGCAGTGGTGAAGAGAGAAGGCATAGTGGCGAAGAGAGAGGAGGGAACAGGCAGGCCCTCCCTCGGCGGTCCCGCTCTCTCACTGTCGCCAACTCAGCATCTGCGTCGTTCAAGGGACGGCCGGGATCTTCCGCACATGCAGCAGAGCAGAACCCTCTTCGCTCTCTCCTCCATGCCAAGCCACCGTCGCCGACAGCAGCCGCACCGGGCCGCGCCATCCAGCACCGCATTCAACCCGGTTCAACCGCTGCATGGCCTGTGGCTGCAGGGGCGGCAGCAGCAGCAGCAGCAGCGGCACCAGCTGGCACCACAGCCGGCAGCGTCGGCGTCGGAGTTATCAGCTTCGGCAGTGTCTGCCTCTCTGGGTTCCCTTGCGTCTCTCGCTCCCCCCTCGCCCCGCTCCCGACACTCAACAAGCAAAGGAGGGAATAGTCATCTGCACCATAGACATCAGCATCAACAGCAACACCACCAGCACCACAACCAGCAGAAGAATGATGGTCACCACACACGCAGCGTGCTGGCTCGAGTGTCTCCCATTGGTTCCTCCTCCTCCTCTTTCTCCGCACCAGGCCGCGCTGCACTCACAGCTGCTCACGCTGCTGCTGCTGGGGCAAGAGGCCTCACCCCTACACACTCCTCTTCTGCTTCTGCTGCGGGTGCCACTGTTGTTGGTGCCACTGCCGCTGGTGCTGGCGTTGGTGCTGCTGCTCGTGCAGCTTCTGCTGTTGTGGGTGCAGCTGGTGGTGCTGCTGGTGCGGGTGTGCCTGCATGGAAAAGAGCAGTACTGAGGGAAGACACTTTGTCCCACACTCTTGGCAACAGCACAGCAGCACTCACAGCGCCATCAGCGGCAGCGGCAGAAGCAGGGGTTGGTGAGTATGGGGTGGTGAGGGATGGCGTTACAGACGGTGAGTGGTGCATGAGTGAATCGTCTCTCAGTGCCAGTCCCACTGCCAGTGCCACTGTCAGCCTGGCTTCGAGCCTGGCTTCGAGGTCAAGGGAGGGGAGTGAGTGTGATTGCTTGGGTTATGGTGGGGAGGGCAGGGGGAGCGAGTGTGCCTCTCATAGCTGCTCTGTCGGCTGTGGTGAGGCACAGGGCCGTGAGGGGCGTGAGTGTGATTGCCCGGGTTATGGTGGGGAGGGCAGTGGAGGTGAGGGGTGTGGAGAGGAGGTTTTGGGGGGGAGCTGGGCGGAGTCTAGGATGGGAGGTTTAAGAGAGTGTGAGAGAGTGAGGGAGGAGGAGGAGGAGGAGGAGGAGGAGGAGGAGGAGGGGAGGAGGAGGGAAGAGGAGCATGGGGTTATAGAAGAGGAAGGTGAGGAGGAGGAAGAGGAGGAGGTGCAGCATGACTATACTATGTCGTTAGACCAACACCACACGGAAGCCATTTCTGCTTTTGAGGCGCCTCAAAGGCAGCAGCAGCAGCACCACCCGCAGCAGCAGCATGACTATACTATGTCGTTAGACCAACACCACACAGAAGCCATTTCTCATATCGGCGCTGAGGGCTTGAGTGGAACAGCCCTGAGCCCGCTCACATATTCTGTGACAAACTTGCCCATTCAGCAGCAGCAGTTGCTGTGGCTGGAACAAATGCAGCAGCAGCAGCACCACCAGCAACAACAAGAGCAGGGAATGCTGCCTTTGCAACCAGGGGCACTAGACTACCCTATTCATCCCACCAATCCTTTCCTCGGGGCGATTGGAGCAGATGTGATTGAGGGGGTGAATAAATCGGATGGGTACGAGGGGTTTCAGGCGGGAAATGGTCGAAGCCCTTACTCCAGTGACGGCACGACGAGCAGGAGCAGCAATATCAACAACAGCAGCACCAGCAGTAGCAGCATGAGCAGTGGTGGTAGTACTAGTGGCAACAGTGGGAACCACGAGGAGCATCGGAGGAATAACAGCAACGCCAACTTGGAAAAGGGTGTTTATGATATCCATACGAAAGGATTTGATGCATCACGGGGCAACACTACAGATCGGCTCGGTGATATAGGAGGGGCTAATACTGGTAGAGCAGATGCCGGAGCACGACAGTCACAGGACGCCGAGAAGAGTTCGGTTGGTTCGACGAGACCTCGACGCGTGTCTTTTAACCGCTTGGTGCGTGTGAGAACCTTCACTCGTGTTACTACCACTTCCGACGCGTGTGATGACGCACAATAACCGTTTATCACTAATTTAGTGTGTCGTGCCATTATTATGTTTGCTTTTTTAACAAAGTACTATTTATTATAGCGTGAGGTTGAGCAGAGATGATCGGGAACTTTGAGTGATGTTGTGAACTATTACATAGTATGCTATTACCGCAATACTAGTCAAGAGAAGCTACAAGTTGCTGCCGTGGCGCTTCGTGAGTGGTGAAGCAGGAATCGCGCGCTTCCGTAGTTCCCACCTGGTGTAGGTTGAGAAACCACTTTCCCCTAACAATTTTGACTCGCGGTCTGATTGGCGGTAACGAATTGCATCCGCACTTCCCGGCGCCCACGATGCCCCTCCATCCTTCGTTGTTTTCGCGATTCGTAGAGATTGGACACCAGTAAATGCTGGTGACGTTTTGTTTCTCTCGATTTCGTAAGAATTTACCTAGTTATGGGTCTATATATAGGGCTAATCTCAAGTCTGTTGTTCAAATCGGAGATGATGGATGAATAAACATAACTCAGGCGCTTATACCCCAACGTACACACTAACCACTCATCTTGGGGAGAAAATAGTACTGTAACCTTGCCAAAATTTCGCTCAAGATTCGAGTCGCGCATGTGAATCTCTTTCCTCCCAGGCCGATGCTTCCATCCATCTCGTGCCTGGGCATCGGCCCCGACTCGGGCGCAACCACATCACACTTCCGCTGTAAAACCGAGAATTTCAGCAGCAGGCTTCACCTTCGACGCGTGCCAGCTGCTCTCTGTCTCCGGCATTCATCGAGGCAGTCTGTTCTGTTCCTATTAGCCTACGAGATTCGCCAGCTTGTCAACTCAACGCCTCCTTCACCTACCAGATTTTGCCTCCTCACTTTCTTGCGATGCTGAAGACTGCTGCGCAGGATAATAAATCCTTCACCTTGGTTTGTTTTTGCCACCCAGTCTTCGTTCAGAATAAGACGGTTTCGCGTGATTGACATCCACTAATCCGCACGTTGCTTCCGGGCGGCGTCTACGCCTTTGTGTAAAACCTACTAGCCTTCGACAGGAAAGACAGAAGAAAGGCAGCAAAGCTTTTGCATCGCAACCCCATGATAGACGAACGACAATGAGTGCACGCAGGCCACCTTTATCGCGAATACTGCATTCGAAAGGTCACATCTCCAAACTCCTTATAATCGCCGCGCTCTTTATCGCCACAGCCACAACAGTCACCAGTGCCGCACCGCCCGCAACGTCGCTTACTAGCGATGACGCGATCGTTACTCAGCGACGTTCCCTTTCAGTCATCCCAGTTGAAGAGAACGACGCGAACCGGAAGGGCGGGAAAATACAAAACGGCGAGTCAGGTCTCGGAGAGTCGCTGAGCGCCACGTGGCATCGCAACCGCCTGCACGCGCTGGATGCGCCCACGAATGGCGCCCCAACCGAGTTGGGATCCCCAGAGGAGACTTCACTTGATTCGTCAAGCCTTGACCAGCTTTACCCTGTTGACCATATGCAACCATCTACGGCCTATCAACTCGCAAGCGATGATTCGACGGCTGGGATAGCGTCTCGTGAGCTGACGCAAGGAAAGGTCGCCGGATCGAGTCCTGATGGCGCAAACTTGGTTGCAATGGAGGAGGAGGACGAGAGAATGGCGGTGGGGAAAACACAGGAGGAGGCCCTGTACCGACAGCAGCAGGAGCAGCAGCAGGAGGAGCGGGAGGGGGGGGGGGCGGGAAGTGAGCTGCTGCCTGTGCGGGACACGTGCGTGTTCGACGCCGCGCGGGGCCAGTTCGTGCTCGTCGAACAAGCGACGCGTACACCGTATGTAGCCGCGACGGGACGACCGAGAAAGCACCCACCGTTTCCAATTTCAGTGGCGCATAACCGTTTTTAATATTTGATAATACCTTTTTTGCCCCTACCTCCGCCCCCATCTCCGCTCCCATCTCCGTCCCCATCTCCGCCCCTTATCCGCCGAACCTCCCCAGGGGCTTCCGCTTCGCCGCTGCCGACGCGTGGCGCCCCGCAACGGGTATGCGGCGGAGAACTGGCGATTGTCGTTTTGCTGTCGACGACACATGCGCTATCGTACACGCAGGTAACACGACACACGCTTGATTAGACCCCTAACCGTTTTTTCCGTTACTTCGTCACCAGTAACACAGCACATGCACCACTTTTCCCCCGTCTCATCATTCTCACTTTCCCTCTCCTCCCGGCTCTTCTCTCCCCCTGCCCTCTTCACCCTTGCCGTTCTCTTCCCCAATAGGCGGTTGCGACGACGGGGACCCTCGCACGCGCGACGAGTGCGACTGGAACGGCGGGTCGTTCACCATCGCACGCGGCGGTGCGATTGAGGCCGAGATTGACGGGGCAACGGTGCAAGATCCCGTATGGCCCTGTGCGCCCTTCCCCCGCTGCCTGTTCTCCGCCGCCGCTTGCGCGCACACCGTGATCGCGGAAGACGTTGCGTCGCCGCAGCAGCACAGCCAAGCTGCGCCTCTCCACGTAGCCACGGCCGCTGTGGCTTCCGCCAGTGACGCCGCTTTTTCCTCCGCCGCCGCTAGTGCCGCCGAGAAGCGTGCGGCGGCGTTCAGAAAGAGCAGAGGGGAGTGGAGCACGAGCGGCGCTCTCCACGCGCGGTCCCTGGGGAGCTTCTTCCCCGGAGGTGAAGAGGCTGTGGGGGAAAATGGCGCAGCGGGAAGCGGAAGCGGAAGCGGAAGCGGAGGAGGGGCGGGAAGTGTGTTTTCTGGGGGTGGGCAGGCATGGGTTAAGCAGCACGAGGGCGTGGGGGGCGGAGAAGCGGGGAGTACGGGCAATGGCGGGAAAGGAGGAATGAAGAGCGCTGAGGGCGCAGGTGACGGGATGAAGGCGCGGGCGCAAGTGGGGAGCGGAATGGCGGGCATGGCTAAGGACGGGGAAGGGCAGTCGCAGGCGGACCAAAGCGGGGGGCCAGGGAGTGCGGCCAACGGGGGAGGTAGCGGGAGCGAGTTCAAGCGGACAATGGGCGGGTGGGGAGGCGGTGGGGGAAGCGGAGGCGGAGGGGCAAGAGCCGGGGACGCCTCGAGCGCGAAAGCAGAGCAGGGAACTTTCAAAAGCAGCTCGATCAACGCGGGGACGGCGGAACTGACGAGCGGAACAGGTTTCCCCAGCAACGGCCAAACGTCAGGATTCAAATCTGCAGGAAACGGCCAGACCAATCAACTAACGAGCGGCACTAATTTCCCCAGCAACGGCCAAACGCCGGGATTCAAATCCGCGGGGAGCACTAGCGGGAGCGGCCAGACCAATCAGCAGCAGCCAAGTCAGCAGTTGACCCACACCAGGCAGCAAGTTCCGGCGGGAGGCAACCAAATGAAAACTCGTCTGCCGGGCACGGGCGGCGGGAGCGGGGGCGGTGGCGGCGGCGGCAGCAGCGGAGGAGGATGGAGGCCCATTCCCGTGTACTCCGGACGCAACGGCTTTAAGGGCCGCGACGGAAAGCCGATCCCCGCGCCGCCAGCCCCGTCTTACGATCCCAGCGACCCGCTTACCCCTACCCCTAATCCTACTCCGAACCCCGACCCTTACCCCGATCCTGACCCCGGGCCTGACCCCGGACCTCTTCCGGAATATCCGGACGATCCCCAGCCGAACCCCGCGAGCCCCGGGTATTTCAGCGTGACGCGGTTCGGCGCGCAGACGAACGGATGGGGGGATTCCTCGTTGGCTTTCCGGCGCGCGTTCGCCGCGGCGTGCGGGTACGGCGCGCGGACGAGGCAGCGAGCCATGGTGCACGTGCCGGGTAACGCGGTGTTCCGGATATTCCCGATGGAGATCCAAGGGCCGTGCGGTGCGGGGCTGATTGTTCGGGTGAGTTCAGGAGCGCCTAGTTTTCCAACCCAACATCTGAACGAAATTACATGTCGTCTTATTTTCAGAAATGAAATTCCCTGCCACTTTTGGGGAAGAAACTAACAAATTTCTCACGCATTCCCACATCGGCGCAGATTGATGGGGCGATTCAGGCGTTTTTCAACACGGCGGCGTACCCGCGACCCGAGAGCAGCCATACGTGGGCGATGCTTGGATTCGACGGTATTGACAATCTCGTGGTCGCGGGGAGCGGTTATTTGGACGGCGCGGGGCGCGCGTGGTGGGGCCAGGGCAAGCGCCCCATGCTCATGCATTTCGCGGATTGCCGAAACTTGCTTATATCGGGGATCACTTACAGGTCAGTGTGTGCTTCTTCTGCTCATATTCTTTCTTGTCTCGCAGCGTGAGAATCGGTTTATTCATTAACTTCAGAATCCCCCAAGTCCCTTCTTCCTTCCCCAGCTCTCCCTTCACCAGAATAGCAACAATTCTATAATGTCAATTTTATGCATAGCATACAACACGCTTATCACGTGCATGGCGCATGCGCTGTATAAGTACCTCCATCACTGCATATCATTCAGTGTCCCTCTAAAGCACTGCCCATCTCTGCACCGTCAGCGAATGACAATCAGTGCATGTCCAGTGCAAGGCTCGGTGTCATTCTGAATGTGTTTCTGTGTTGTAATTATGCCTGTGGCTTACGCACAGATAAAGGTAGAATTGATGCAGTTGAGTGTATATGCATTGCTTGTCCATATTTCATGCACTCTGGTCTTATGTGCACATCTTGTGCACCTTTTCTCCTGGCTCAAACCTCATGAGCTGGTGTGTGTCTTTTCCTGTCCTTGCTTATGCTCTGTGATCGGTGCATATTTCAATGTTTAGTCGACTCAGAAGTCAGCTTGGTGCATATCTCATGCACTCTGTTTTTTTGTGCACATCTTGTGCACTCTTCCCCTAGCTCAAACCTCATGAGCTGGTGTGTGTGTGTGTCTTTCCCTGTCCTTCTGTTGCTCCTGTTTTTGTTGTGGTGTTCCTGGTGCTGCTGCCCTTTCTTCTTTGCTGCTGCTGCTGCTGCTGCTGCTGGCACTGTGGTGCTCTCGAAAGGGATGATGCGTGTGGTGCTATGGCGTATGATGGCATGATGACGTCATGGCACGATGGCACGATGGCATGATGGCATGATGACGTTATGGGATGTTGGCATTATTGGTATGATGGCATGATTGGTATGATGGCATGATTGCGTGATGGTGTGATGATTTAATGGCATGATGGTTGTCTACTGGATGCTGCATTGCATGCCTTGTTGCATCCATCTCTGTGCATGAACACGCATATGTATGGGCATTCGCATGTGCGTTGGGCATGGGAAAGCACTCGTATCCGCTCGCGTGCTTGCATGTGCCCGCCTGTACTCTCCCCCTGCTTCGCTACATGCATCCCCCTTTACAAGCACAGGAATCCCGGCAAGATCCACCTGAAGGTGAAGACGAGCATGGGAGTCATGATCCGGGGCGTGCGCACCCTGGCCCCCTGGAACAGCCCCAACACGGACAGCATCAGCATCAGCAGCTCCTCTAACGTGGTTGTGAAGGACTCACGACTGGAATCGGGTGAGTGTATGCACGGTGTGGGTGCCAGTAGGCAGCATGAGGAATGCGCGCACTGGCTCCCTGGAACAGCCCCCAACACGGACAGCATCAGCATCAGCAGCTCTTCTAATGTGGTTGTCAAAGATTCGAGACTAGAATCAGGTGATTATACGCACCATGCACATACCTGTAGGCAGCACGAGGAGTGCGCACACTGGCCATCACGTGCACACCGGCCCTCACTCCCCCCTCTCTCGTACCTCTCTTCTTCCCCCCTCTCCTCCTCCAACCTTGCTTCAGGCGATGATGGTGTGGCCATAGTGGGCATGACTCGCAACGTGCTTGTGGAGAATATCACATGCATCAACGGCCATGGCATCAGGTGAGGGCAATGGAAAGGTGCATGCATAAGAGATACATCGTAGGTGATATAACATTGTCCTCCAAACTTATCTCCGAATGCTTTTGTTTGTCACCCTTTTCTTGCGGGCCATATTTTTACTTGGATTCTCTCCTCAATCCTTCCAAATTGCATCCTTCCTTTCAGCATTGGAAGCTTGGGAGCAGAAGGGGCGTTGGGGTGCATCCAGGGCATTACAATCCGCGATGTGACGTTCCGGGGTTCCAACAACGGCCTGCGCATCAAGACGTACCAAGGCGGTGTGGGGATGGTGTCCAATGTCTCGTACGACAACGTGCAAATGACGGATGTTACGTATCCTATCGTCATTAACCAGGTGAGTAAGAGCAACAGCTGAAGAGTTATTGCTTGGAAGTGAATCGTGCTTTCATTACTATCTCAGCCCTTATCTGAGTCTCATTGGCTTGCTAACTCAACTGTTAATGATTCTTGATTTGCATCCCTCCCTTCCAACAGTTTTACTGTGATACCAAGAACGTAGACGCGTCAAAATGTGTGCCCCAAGAGAACGCGGTTGCCATTCAAGACATCTCCTACAACAATATCAGAGCCTCTTGTAATGGAACTGATGGTATCACCGTCGGCTGCAGCTCTACAGTGCCTTGCCGAGACATCACCCTCACTAATGTCCGAATCGTGCCGTCAGACCCCGGCAAAACCCTGACTCCGTCGTACTCCAACGCATATGGCAGTTCGGGGAATGTGCTGCCTCTACCGATGGGCCCATTGTACTCGTTAAAGGCAGGGTTTCCAGGTTCGGCTGGGAGGCTATCATTCTCTTCAATTGCTTCGCAGTGCCATTCTGGAGTTTGGACCAGATATGAGCAAGAACTGAAACAGCAGAGGTCTGTTCGAGTAGGGGGTGTTAGGAACTCTAGGGGACTAAGGCGAGACTAACAGTGGGTATTTCAGTAACAAAATTATAACAGATACAGCAGCCATGAATGCAGTAGTTGAAGCCATGTACCATGGTGGTGCATCGAGGAATGTGGAAGCTCGTCTGTTTCCCTACCAGAAGCGTGCAAGAAGTGCATCCTGAAAGGAAAATGGAATTTTATAAGAAAGACCAGCGTTGAGCAGCACAGTCGGCGACTACAAGGCAAGCTGGTTTGTTTGAAACGATTCTAGGAGGCGCACAATGTCAAATGCTATGAATTATGGAATGTCTTCGTGTTTTGTGAGAGGTTGAATAACACCTACCCAGTCAGCTCATGATAAGGATCAAATGGCGTACAGCGTGTAGAAACGCTCCTATCGCATGACGCATGTTGAAAACCGTACAAAAGCCATGGGAAGACTGTGTCGGGCTGGGCACGAGGATACAGTGGGGTGCAACGCGCGATGAAACTGGAGCTTGAGCTTCTGGTGTGACGGGTCGATGACGTGGATGTTGAAAAAGTATCCACTGGTGTTGGCATCTCGAAATCTCTGCCGTAGAATGCAATTCCAGCTGTGTGAATTGCGTCTCCCAGTTCTTGAAATCTGAGCGGGATGCATCCATCCAACGGGCCACATCTTCGTGATCAGATCGTCGTGTGCGCACTGCACAGATGTGACCGAGACTGTACGCGTGAACTGGGTGGCGGATTCGCTGTACGCTGCAATCAACTTTGCTTTGGGAAGGCAATTGTGCATGTCTGACCTGGACGATGCAGTTTGATGAAACGGCATCGTACGCGCAGCACACCGCCGATACAGTTTCACGAACAGCTGAAGATAAAAAAGGGCAATGGAAATTTTAGCGGTACATTGTCAACCCTGAATTACACGATTATTCTTACTTTTACAATGGCAATATGTTGTGGTTCTCAACGGGAAGGTGGAATTAACAATAGTTTTACTGCCCACCGTGTTCGATTGTATCGTACTAGCAGTATCCGATTGCCATCTAGCGCACAAAGAAGGTTCTCCGAGCTTCCGGTTACTGCCCACCAAGCAGCAGTACGTTATTGTCTTTGTTTTTTCGTTGCTTCGCTGTCCTCCGAAACGTCCTCCCATTTGTCCGACATAGCTTCGCGTGCGCTCAGCCGCCAAAGCGCCTCTCCGTCACCCAACCCAACTGTTCCATACCGTGCTGCCCCGCCCCAACCATCTCGAAAGTGGCCCCCACCAACCGCCTCTGTGCAACGAAAGGGCGAGAGGCCACAACGTTGTTCAAGCACGCTTTCCTCCCCTCGCCTTGAATTCCAACCCAGATTCATCCAGCGCCAATTGCACCCCCACATGCCTATCAACTCAGCGCATGCGCGCTCTTCTTCAGAGGATCATTTAACCAGTATGGATACCCAGCCTTTCTTTAATTGATTTACGTGTTTGGAGTCTATGAAGAGGAAACGACACATTTTTATTTTCAAATCTCAAAGGTGATATTAGCAGCTTACATGAGCTTTGGGACAGTTGCTTCGTAAAACTATATTTCAGGTGTATTCATACTACATGAGTAATCACTCAAAGTGCATTACATGACCAGCATCCTTTTTGCATTCAGCCCTTGCCATTCCCGAGCCTCCTTTTCCCTGAATTCCAGCCCACATCATGACGGATTAGATTGTTTCCCCTTTTCCCAGAATTGCGTATTTCTCTGACTGACTTCTGAAGGGGTTCGCCAGACTTCGAGCAACGTTCATTCTCGTCTCGACGATGGGCGAGAGTGAGTGTGGGTGTGGGTGTACGCCGCACGGAAGCCTGTCATCATCCCAGGACGAGTCATTCTGACCGCGGAATCGCGCTCTGCGACGGCGGCTGAAGCAGTCACTTGCAATTTATGCAAGCATCGCACAAACACCTCACTTTCCACCCCAGCACCAGAAATACGTCAGGAGCAAGAAGACGCCAGTCGGCAAAAAGACACTCCAATTACATTCTTCCTCACACCAGCGGCGGCCGTGACTCTCACTGAGGTGACCAGAGCCACTCACAGATCCTTCCACGTCTCGAAGGGTCACTGTGTCGCTCTTACAGGGCAGCACGGGAAATCCTCGTGAACACGACTCGAATATCGTTTATACACCCGTCGAGATCATCCCGCCATGGATGGTCACCTCCCAGCGGGGCAAATCGACATGAGCGAAGTAGCCGATCTGCTCCTAGGCGACGAGCCGCACGATCCGTCCACCGAAGGAGATCTCGAGGTGCAGGAGCTAGAGCAGCGCATGTGGAAGGACCGTCTCAAGCTGCGTCATATCAAGGACGCGACCACGGCGGCGGCGGCGGCGGGCGCGGCGGGCGCCGCGTCGTCGGGCGAGAACGGCGAGTTCGGGGGGCTGAAGTGCCGGCCGGATTGGGCGGAGGATGAGGATGAGGAGGATCAGCAGCCGCAGAAGCACAGGCCGACTCAATCGCAGGTGCGGGTCTTACGGCTTCGCTATTGTATGATCGGGCCGATTTGAGGCTGTCACACAGCCAGCGCCACTGAGTTCAGTTACCACGATTGCCGCGATTGCTTCTGAGTTCAGCTATACCGTTGCTGAGCTGTCAGACCACGATATCTCAGCAACGATTCGTTCTTATTTCCTATCTCACCCCGTCCCCCACCCACCCCTCTCCGCTGCGCTCCCCCTTTTTTCTCTTTCTGTATTTTCCAGCAAGATGCGGCGCGGAGGAAGAAGATGTCGCGCGCGCACGACGGCATTCTCAAGTACATGCTCAAGCTGATGGACGCGTGCAACGCGCAGGGCTTCGTGTACGGAATCATCCCGGAAAAGGGCAAGCCCGTGGGCGGCTCGTCAGACAATCTCCGCAGCTGGTGGAAGGACGAGGTGCAGTTCGATCGCAGCGGCCCGGCCGCGGTTGCGAAGTATAACGAAGAGCAGGCGGCGGCGCAGGCGGGGAGAATGATGGTGATGCAAATGGAAGCGGCTGCGGCTGCGGGGGGAGGGGTTGACGGGAGCGGTGCTGCGGGTGGGGTGGTTGTTGGGCCTGGCGGAGTGCCATTGGTTGGACCGGGTTCGATCTCTACACCGCGTACACTTCAAGATCTGCAGGATACAACTCTGGGTTCGCTTTTGTCCGCGTTAATGCAACACTGCGATCCGCCACAAAGACGGTTCCCGCTGGAAAAAGGTGTACCCCCGCCGTGGTGGCCTACGGGGAACGAAACCTGGTGGCCGCAGCTGGGCCTTCTGCGGGGCAGCGGTTCGCCTCCTTATAAGAAGCCTCACGATTTGAAGAAGGCGTGGAAGGTTGGTGTACTGACTTCGGTGCTTCGTCATATGGCTCCAAACATCGCCAAGCCTCGGAAGCTGGTTCGGCAAAGCAAGTGCCTGCAGGACAAGATGACGGCTCGGGAGACCAGCATATGGCACATGGTTCTCGATAACGAGGAGGCTTTATGCAAACAAGAGGCGGCTACTAACGGAACGTTGGCTATCGGGGCGGCGGCAAGTGATCCGGGCGGAAATTCCGCCGCCATTTCCGGACGGAACGGTCCGAGCTCTCTCCCGCACAGCAACAGCGTCAGCAGCGGCATGATCGCGCTCGCTGGCAACAGCGGCGCGGGTCTTAACGGCGCCGGCAGCGGCGCTAGCGGCTTGCCGTCATCTATCCAGCGCGGTAACGGCCTTAAAATCCTCCGCGCGTTCGCGCTCGAGAACTCCGCCAACGCTAACGGCGCCGGTGGCGCGCCTCTGCTCCGAGCCGGCAATTCTGACGGCCAGCAGGCGATGGACCGGCAGGCCGTCGATAGCGGCGTCACGAACATGGCTCCCTTCTCTCTCGCCGCATACGACGGCGGCAATCGCGGCGGCGTTGACGGAACCAGCAGCCCCCGCGGCAACGGCGCAGGGGGCGGAAGTTCCCTGTGCGGAGAGCTTAAGCGCGCATATTCTGCGGTTGGCTCTTATGGCGGAAATCTTAATCACTCCGCGTCGGCCGGTGGCATTGATGCGAGCGGAAACGAGGCTTCTCTTAACGAGGATGCGAGACTGCCATGGGGGAACGGGGATGGCGCCGCGGGAGACGCTGCGGCAGGGGGGAGAGATTTGGTTCCCGAGCACAGGATTTTCAAGTGCCCGTACGAGGGCTGCCCGCGGCGCGAGTGGAAGAACGCATTTGCGGACCGGAATCTGAGGAACATCCACCAATTGCGGTGCCCCTTCCGTCCTGGTGCTAAGGCGCAGCAGCAGCAACAGGAGCAAGAGCAACAACAGCAGCAGCAGCAGCAGGAGTGCGAAACGACCGCCTCCCCACCTCTCCCCGTCCATGCTTTCGCCAATCCTGGCGGTAATTCCGCTTCTGCTGCTCCTGGTAACTCAGGTGCCCCCTCAGGTGTTCCTTCAGGTGTTCCTTCCACTATGCCCTTCGGCGCCAATAACAATAGCCCCTCAGGTGCGCCCTCGGGAATTCCGCCCTGGGCTGTGGACCACTCCTCCCAGCCCTCCCTCTCCGTACCTCACATGACCCTAGGCTCGGGGCTAGGCTCGCCACCGCATGGCTCCGGACCTGCGGCTCCAAATTCGGTTCCCGGACCTGGCCCGATGGGTTGGATGCAGCAGTGGCCCATGCCTCACCACCAGCAGCACGGGCAATTCTCCATGCCGATGCAGCATCCTGGAACCTTCGCCCCTGCCACGTCATCATATGCTGGATACAACATGGGCATGGGGATGGGAATGGGAAGCTATCCCATGAACGTTCCGCCGTATCCCGGTCCGGGAACAGGTTCGGCAGCAGGCTCGGGAATGGGTGCTGCGGGTTTCAGCCAGCCCTTCAACCATACCTCTCCTGCACTGGGCGTCCATTCCTCTTCCTCCCCCTACGCTCCATCTCATCTTGCCACGTCAGCAGCAGGCGGCGGTGGTTACCCGTTCCTGCAGATGATGCCAAACAATGCCGGCCAGAAACAACAGCAACAGCAGCAACAACAAATGCTTCCGCCTTCCTTGTCCCTGGCCAGGGCGGGGTCAGTGAACAGTAGCGCGGAGGAGAGGGAGAGGGTGGCAGGGGTAGCAGCAGGAGGAGCAGGGGTGACGGACGCAGGAGGAGGAGGAGAAGGAGGAGGAGGAGGAGACTTGGCGGGACGGGCAGTGTATGGTGGTGGTTCTACTGGGTTTGGTCCGGAGCTACGAGTTTCCTGTGCTGTGGAGGGCAGCACCAGGAGTCATGCGAGTGCTGGCGGGCAGCTGAAATCTCTGCAGGGGGATGGGATGGATGGTTGCGGGCTGCCCGGAAAGGACGGCACGAGGCGAACCAACAGCAGTGGGTTGATCCTGAGCAATCAGGGGTGCATGGTGATGGGACAATCCCTAGGTGGTGCGGCGTACCAGAAATTTGGTGCTAAGACGAGGTGTGACTCTAAGGGGGATGACTCTAACGGGGAGGATTCCAGCAGCAAGAGCTGGTCTCAGGAAGGAGGAAAGGACAGCCCTGCGTTACAAGCACATGATCATGTGGAGGGTGGGAGGGGGTTGCTGATTGGTGGAGGGGGCGTTGGGGGATGTGAGGAGGATTTCAGGCACATTGATTTCGGTCATGACCCTCTCAAGGTGTTTGGGTATCTGGATGAGGATGGGCATGCACACATGCATTAGACGTGTCTGTCCGCGCATAAGGAGCGTGCAGATCCGGTGTTTCTAATCTTTGTTTGATTCAGCGCAGAACTGAAGAATCCATTCTAGGTGTTGCACATAGGCCTATTTTTTGCCCTGGTAACACTAGGGCTGCTATCAATTGTAATATGTTATTGAATATAGATGATGTTTCCTGCAAATTTCTGTATGCTTGCTTCGAATACCAGTAACTTGGGTTGAGGTAAGAGCACACTGTAGTGTCATCCAAAACTATTGAATTTCACTTACCAAACCAGATTAACTGTACATCACAAATTGTAGCTGCGGGTATATGCATCATACCTTTCCCCACGTTAATTACTTCCAGGCTCGGGCCATATCCCCGAGAAAGTTATCAAAATACCCTTCCGGCTCCGTAACAAACCTCGAAATAATATCGCGTAACGTAACCACGCCCTGCAGCCGGTCATGGTCGTCAGTGACATACACGCGGTGAATGCCCTTCCCTGCCAGCGTCTCTATCACCGACACAAGGCTGTCCGTGCGCCTGCAGGACACAGCTGGTCGCATCGACCCCACTAAACCATAACTGTCGCCGCTACCACTGTCACTGGCATTGCTGCCCGTCTTACCAATGGCGCCCAAGGCAGTGCTGGCAAGGGGTATGGTGGTGGTAATGCTGGTGCCGCTGACACCCACTGTGGCATCCGTAGGGGTGGGAGTGGTGCTGGTGGTGCTAGAGAGATCGGCTGCTGTGAGGGAGGAGGAAGCAGGTGGGACGTGCAGGTCTGCTGCTTGCAGGGCGAGGCAGCGATCAACAAAGTCACGCACGGTCAAGTGGCTAGTAGGGCATGCGGAGGAGGGAAGGGAGGCGGGAAAAGGGGAGGGGAGGAGAATGTCTCCAAAAGTTTGACTGCATGTGAGGGTGTGCAAGGCGAGGCAACGGTCAACAAAGCCACGCACGGTGAAGTGGCTGGGAGGGTATGTGGATGGGAGAGCATGAAGAGAAGTGATGACAGGAACAGTTCATGACAGAACGGAATGTGCAAGAACAAGCTCACTTCTCCCTTGACTTGCCTGTATCCACTTTCTTACCTTCAATGAAACATGTTGATGTGCAACAACAATGAAATACCCCTCACAAGAAGGGCGTTCTCACCTCCTAGAGTGGAACATGTCTGGGTGCAGCAGCAGAAGCCCCACGTCCCTTGCACTGATGTTGGCGTACAGGATGCGATCTGGACCGTCGGTTACCGGCACGCCCCCCACCCCTTTCTCTTTCATGAGAAGAAACGCCTCTAGCACCAACGCACCCGTATCCACTGACACCACCTGGTGACGCAAGGGTCGTGTTTCGTAAAAGTTTGCGTTTCACCTCTTTTTTTATCTATGCGCATTAATGTTATGATTTTGCTTGGTTTTCTCCTCAAGAGGAAACTCATGTCAACAAGCTTGGCGAGAAACGGAAACAACAAAGAAAAAAACAGAAACAGCCTCGGAACTAAGGAGTTCACATCGACTGGCTGGCAAGTCAGCAGAATAACAGGAGCTCACCTCCTCCTCCCCCACAAGCGGCAGGCCAAGAGTCATCAGAGGCTTGTCTGCAATCACATCAAACCAGTCAAATCCACGACACCTGCACGGGAGGGAGGGAGGGAGGGAGGAGGGTGAAAAATAACCAAAGAAGAAGTGCTGCCCCGTGGTCATATAGTGCTCTACTTCCAAACCCATTCACCTTGTTTGCTGGGTTGAACACAGGTGACAGCATAACGACGTGAAACGTGAAACCCAAAAAAATCAAAGAAAGACACTATTCCTTTTAAATTAATATGTCCAAATATGTTCCTGGCTGTACCTGGCAAGGCCACGAACCACGGCAGACTGTGTGATCAAGTTGTGCAGGCGAGGGGCCGGAGGGGCCAATCCGAGGGCAACAACTGGCACGGAGCGCATGCGGAAGCGCGAGAGCAGCAGCAGCAGCGTGAGCATTGAGTCGGTGGGCTGCAGCGGGAGGAATGGCGCCCAGCGGTAGCTGCGTGTGATGTCTGCCACCTGAGGGGGAAAGGGGGCAGAAGAGGGAGAAGGTGACTAAAAATACATGCGGGGAAGTTCAGGCCACAGGGGGAGGTATGGCGCCCAGCAGTAGCTGCACGTGATGTCTGCCACCTGAGCAAGGTGAGGAGCGGTTCGGTTTGATGGGAGAAAGGGGTTATTGGAGGAAGGGAAATGGGAGGAAGCTGGGGTGCTTGGGGTGCAGCGGGAGGAAGGGCGCCCAGCGGTAGCTGCGTGTGATGTCTGCAACCTGAGCAAGGTGGGAAACAGGGTTTTTTGATGGGATAAAGGGGATATTGGAGGAAGGGAGACGGGAGGAAGCTGGGGTGCTTGGGCTGCAGCGGGAGGAAGTGTGCCCAGTGGTGGTCCGAGGGGGACAGGTCAGGAAGGATATCAGTCACTTGAAAGGATGAGGAAGGGGTCAATGAGGCGCAAGAAGGAGAAAAAGAGTCTCCTTAGGACACGCCTGTGAGAGCGTCCATGTCTATTAGACTTGTGCTTGCTGTAAATGAGGACTTGTACTTACTGTAGCGGACTTGAACGGCTCGTTTTCAGTGATCATATGGAAAAAATCCACACCGAGAGAATCTGCAGCAGCAGCAGCGCCGCCCCCTCTCCCTCCTCCCAACTTCCTTCTCTCCCTCAACCCCCCTGCCACTGCTGCGCCCACCGCCGCTGCTGCCACGCCAGTCACAGCCAGCGGTGCACCTCCCACCCCCAGTGCTGCTGCTCCTAGCGCTCCCACCACTCCCACCCCGACACCTGTCAGCGTTGCGGTGCCTGCTGCCAGCGTGGCAGCTGCCAGGTCAGCCTGCTGCAACACCCACATCATGACACCTGCATAGTCCACCATTCCTAGGTACCGATCAGACCACGCCACTTCGGGTCCTAAACCTAGTCCTGCCCCACCTGCTCCTCCTCCTCCCGCTGCTCCTCCCTCTCTCGCCCCACCTGGCTCTGCCCCCCCTGCTGCTGTGCCTGTGAGCCTGGCGTTGCGGACAGGAGCAGAGAGAATGCGATGGACGGACAGGATGCGCACGGCTTCGAGAATGGAAGCGTCAGATGCGATCTCGACGACTGGAGGGGGTGTGAGGAAAGATGTTTGTTGCGGAGGAGAAAGGGAAAGGGGAGTAGGTAGGAGGGCAGAGTTGTAGGTTAGGGGATATATATATCAGTTGACGAAGAAACGTGCATTCTGACGTGTTTCGAAGTCGATGAGACGGAAATGATAGGATGGAATGAGGAAGGCGGAACGAGACGGGTATTTCAACGAGTTGACCTTGCATACTTTCTGGCCGGTATGTTTCTTTAGCTGGTTGCTAATACTTACTGCAATTAAATGTTTTCACTGTTTGTTAAGGCTCCGCATACCTTCTCCGCCAGGTGGAAGTGGGAAGGACGAGACTGGGATGGCAGAAAATGCCTCGTTCAACAGCTGCTGAACGCCACGTGGCACTCCCACACTGCCACTTCGACCAGCCGAAGAATCTCCGGAGGGGCCCCCGCCGCTAAGCTCCTTGAGTGCCGGAGCGCACCCGTCGTCCCTTCCCTGACAGTCTCCGCCATGCACGGCGCATTTCGCGCGGCTGAGCTCTTCGTCCCACATGCTTTGAATGCTCTCTCGCGCGCCAGGCTCGGGTGATTTGGCAGCATTGGCGCACGGGACGAGCCGCGCTGCTATGTCTGGAGAGGCAGCCTCCATCGCTGGCCAAAAGTAAGGCGACGATGCTTGTGTACGGTGAAGGAATATCTATCACCTAGCTAAACCGATAATAGAGGAGAAACAACGCCGATACAAAGTAACGGTGTAAGTAGAGTCTTACTACTAGCAGGCCTACTTGTCGGAATTTTTTAGAACTGCTTCGTGAGCTTATACCTTATGCGCTAGCGACCGACGACGGGAAAGCAGAGCAAGAAATTGATTATCATGGGCACAAAAATATAAAGCAGAGACACTTGAAATTGAAGTTCAATCTGCAGATCACAAAAATTGGTTGTAGAAGAAAGCAGGTATGGAGCAAACATTGAACGACAAAGAGAGTGGTTCAATGCGGTGAAAGTATATCCAGAGCAGTCCCAGCTGGTGCTCTGCAATATCTGTTTCGATGCTGTTGAGTGAGGAGACCCGTCACGCTGTGGCAGACGTGTCGTAGGGGAGCCTGGGCATTTCGCCGCGCACAAGAGTGCACCAGTGTCAGCGCGTGACGGGCCGACACGTCATTGCCGGGTTAGGCCAGCAATGCTCCAGCACAGGGGGGCTGCGTCAGCAAAGTAAAGGTACATTCTAGTCAGCAGGGAGAACACAAATGCAAAAAGTAAACATACGTCCAATCTATGCCATTTCCAGTGCAGGTGGGTGAAAAGAAAGAAAACAAGCAGGTGCTAAAAATTTACATGGTTGAGCACCACCTACCCCTTTCTCTGGCATCATCATCCTCATCAGCATGTGTCTTAGGGGCAGAATCCTCACGCTTCTGTTCTAAACTAGCCAAAACAAGAGCCGCAACTTCTGGCGACCCTTCATCCCGTTCTGGTGTGCCCTCCTCCATAATGGGTGACTGCTCCATGGGTTGCTCATGCACCAAGCTGCCAGGCTCAAGAGCTGACACGGAGAGCTCATCCTCAGGGGAACATGTGGACAAAGGGCTAGATGTAGGAATAGTTGGAGAGAGCGCAACTGAGGGTGCAGCAGGTAAAGGTGCAGCCACTTTCGCCTTGCCACCATGCTGCACCTTCACCTGCCAGTGCGTGGCAGCTTTCACCACCTCCTTCACTGATGAATCTGCACTCTGCACCCCTGCTTCTGACACCTGGCCATGGCCTCTCCCTGTTGATGCTGACACTGCTGCTGCTGCTGCTGCAGCAGCTGCTGCTGAAACTGCTGATGATGCTAAAGATGGCGATGCTGCTGCGGGAGATTGGAGAGATTTAGTAGATTTGGCAGGAAAGAGCACCCCATGTCCCCCAGGAGCAGCCGCCACATGGACAACATCCTCCATGCTCAGCAGCAGCGCCTTCAGCTTGGGATAGCCCAGCACAGTGTGATCCAGAGGGTATGCATACTTCTGCAGGAAAGCACCCTTGAGGAAAGCGAGCTGGTAACCTGTCTTGTGGACCCCTGGCTTTGAAAGCACCTCCTGCAGCAGTTGCCTCAGATCACTCCTCATTAGCTCGGCCTTGTGACTTGCTCTGGCCTTCCCCCCATCTGCTGCCCTGCCTTTTGCAGGCCCTGTTGCCTTGGCCGACCTGCTGCTCTCTGTAAGGTTACCCTTGCTGCTCTCCGTCACGTTTTCTGCAGCGATGGTTGCAAGTGGAAGCTCAAGGCACGGCGGTGGCACCGCCCTGCTCCGCAGCTTTGATACACCTGCATCTGACACAGACGATGGGGTTTCCAAGATGGATGACGGACCTGATGAATCAGAGGTGGAGGTGGAGGAGGGGGAGAACGAGGCTGGCTGCATGAAGGGTCCTGCTTCAGGGTGAACAGCTACAGATGCTTTCTGTTTCCGCTCCATCACCTCATCCCTCACCTCTCCTCGCACCTCCTCCACTTCCCTCACCTCACAAACTTCTCTCACTTCCCTCCACCTTCCCTCAGTGCGCCACCTGCTACCAGAAGGAGACCCCAACGCAGCACTTCCCTCCATCAACCCACCATCCACCGCCCCACCTTTGCCTTCGCCCCAACCCATACCCTCATCCCACAGCTGGTTCCCTCCCTTGCTCCCAAACGGCTCCTCTCCCAGCCCAGATGGCCTCCTCTGATGTGCGTTGAATACTCCGGGTGGTCGGGAAGATGGGGATGCATCGAGTGAACGAGGTGAGGGCAGGCCTGTGAAAGGGCTCAGGGGTGATGAGAATGACGGCCCCAGGGCACGCTCCTTTGCAAATTTACTCTCTGACGAGGGTGGCTCTCTGTAGCGAAGGGAAGAGGAGTGTGGAGAGGACCGTGGGGAGAACGGTGATGAGGATTCACCACCCCAGCTGGTGTCGAAGCGGCGATAGCCTTCAGGTCGAGGCTTGGGGACAGGAGGAGGTGAGGCACGTGGAGTAGTGGGAGTGGACGGGTGAAGAGCACTGCTGGGTGTGCTGCTACTAGATGCAACGGCAACAGGACCAGCAGCAGCAAGGGGTGGATGAGAGGAAAAGCCTGGAGTTGGAGAAGGAAGTGCAGACACAGGATCAGAAGAAGCAGCTGATCTGGCAGCAGAGGGTGACGCAGACACAGCCCTGGCAAGAGGCGACGAACAACCCTCTAAGTTCGTGCCTTTCAGCTCATCAGAGGCAAAGACCAGCACAAACCCTCCAGGGAACGCCTCCAGCCGTGCCAGATCCTTCATGCTCTCCAGCACGTCCCTCAGACTTGCAAATCCCAGCGCTTCAGAGTTGAATCCTCGTGGCATCTTCCGCGCACACTCCTTTTGCAGCTGATCCAACTGAATCCCATGCGGCTGGTTAAGCAGCACCCTGGCAGCGAAGTCACGGAACTCCTGCAGCTTCTGCCTGCGGCGCCAAGACATGGGGGAAGGAGAGCTGACAGGCGATTCAAGTACATCCGCTGCTGCTGCAGATGCTGCTGCTGACCTTGGGGTGCTTCTCCAGCTACCTCTGGGTCGTTCGTCCTCCCAGGTGGCTGTACCCTCCTCCCCTGCCAATCCTTCAGAAGGGGATGCAGGCACCTTGAGAACATCATCCCATGGCTTCACCAGCACCACTGGCACCTCCCGCTCACCCATGCCACTGGCTTCATGCCTCTGGTCCCACTGCTGCGCCCTCCCACGCTCCCTCCCCTGCTCCCATGCTCCTTGAAAGTCCGTTTCTTCCCCATGGTCTGTGCCTTGCCTGAGCCTTGGGCTTCCAGCATGAGGGCTCTCTGGCTTAACTTCAGCCAGCTCTCTTCCCAGCAAGTTTCGCAAGGGGAGGCCTGGCCTCGAAACGATGGCGGCAATTGCTGCCGGGCTCAGCCTTGTTGGTGAGGCAGACGCAACAGCACGGCCTGGATGAGCACTTGCTCCAGCACTGTAGCCTGAGGTCTTTGTTGAAGAGACTCGTGCCATTAAAAGTGATTTTCGCAACAGAAGGGCCCCTGGTTGCAGAAGAGGAGAAGGTTCGTGAACAGTCACTTGCACAGGAGTCCACTTGGTAGGGTGGGGTTTCAGCCAGCCTCGGAGGGTGACCGAGAGCTGCACCACATGGATCAGCTGCCCCATCACCAGCTGCCTTAGCTCCTGAGGACCCTCTATCTTCAAAGTCTCCGCTGCATGGTACCTGTAAAAGGTGAGAGAGAAAGCGAGGAAACATGAAAAATCAGCTAGTGGTGCTGGCAAGGAATTGAGTCCGCAAAAAGGACTGACACCATGAAAGGGGCTAAAACAGTGGGCAAACCGACGAGGGAGAGAGAAACAAGACCCGGGGGATTAAAATCGGTCAGAAGAAAGAAACAAAAGCTGGTTTACCTGCTTTTAGAAGATTCCATTGCCCAGCGTCCTTCAGCCAAAAGGTACTTCTGAAACGCCAGCCAGATGCTATCCTCGTACACGTTACAGGGGAACGAAGGGTCAATCCACGGCCAGCATATGTCCCTCCCCTTGGGCAGATAGACATCGTTACACTCTTCCGACATGACCTTGATTTCCCCAGCTGCAAGAGCCCTCTCGACGAATTTCCACGAGGACCACCCAGGGATGTCCTTAAGGCCTTGCTTGGCCATGACATAGCGGAGCCGAGCTTGGACGTTGAAGTTGCTGGGTAGGAGCTTGTCGTACTCTAGTGACTGCATCACGTATTGGAGCAATTTCCGTGGCGTCACGTCGATCAGAGGATGTTTTGACAGGCTGAGCTTGTCGGGCGACGAAAAGCCCGCGGAGACATATTCCCAGTCCACAGCTTCCACGTCCGGTAAATCTGCTGGATTGTGAGGTTTGGAACTGGATTTTTTAAGAGATTCAACACTGACGGCTGATGGGTAGGCGTGGATAACACGAAAACCCCGGTGCTGCAGGCCCATCAAAACGCGGGAAACGTCAGGCGTAAGAGCTGCTGCGAGAAGAACAGTCGCCGGTGGACGCGCATCTAGAGCCCAGAAGAGGATAGCCTCGTGAATTCTTGGTTCACCTGTCACACACGCACGAGGCACGAGAAGGGAGGAAGTTTAGTGCATAGGGTAAAGATCCGAAAGAATAAACGAAAATTTTACCAACCCGACCTGGAGGATACTGATGGAGCTTCACGTTAGGAACAAGGCTGCTCGCCAGATTCACACGGAAATCGCTGCCGAAGATGTTCATGCTCCAAGCCTCGTGAATTCCTTTCATCTCAAGGAATCTGTTGACGTTCTCAATGACGTCTTCTGGGGAAAGGTCCCTAGGGACGGGACAAGCGTCCACGTCCCACCATACAGAGACGGATCCAGTAGCCATATCGCTTGTAGTGGCCCGTGTATAGCCGTGCGTGAGAGCGTTATGTGGTAACTAGGCGAAATAGAGCAGACAGGTAAGGAGCAGTGGAGGCCGAATGACTGGTAAACAAGGTATAGCAGCACTGGTTCTTTCTGAGATGGTTTCCCGGTAAATACGTTAACACGGTGATTGAACCGAGGCGTAGACATGGTTCCCTTCCGCATTGTCTGCATCGAATCGCGTCGCCCCTCTCTCACAAAGCTGAGTGTGGATGAGACCTCCTAGAACAGCTTGCTACATGCAGCTGGCGAGATGACCAAAACTAGTCTGCATGGACGTAATTTCTGAATTGAGGAAATACCGAAGGCACCAGTCAGAAGAGATGAACAACTCAAGGGTGCAGCAGTATTACGGCGGATACAGAGGGTTGCGGAGGATTTATGAAGGGCGCAGAGGTGCAGAGAAGTTACCTGACAAGTGCCCCAAGCGACCCTTCCGAGGTTGGTTTGGTTGAGCTGTGATTGGACTAGGCATCTCGCGAGGGGCGGGCAGATTATGAGACGGGCTGTGTCGATTGCTGATTCGCGGAGCCACATGCAAGAGTGGCTGAAGGAGCTGCCCGTAATGTCGAACTTTTGTTACAGGGGGGCACATTTTCCATGTCCACCCACCCACCCACATCCATCCCCCTCCGTCCCGCCCACCTTCCCCATCAACAAATGCTTGATCAAGCCCAACCAAACCGAAGCCAAGCAAATCAGAAAGATCCGACCATAGTAAAGCAGCACTCCTCATTTTGATTGTGCATTTTCGCATCGTTTGTTTGCCATGAAGGATGCAGTTTCCATTCCCAGCTAGGTCGTGAATACACCTCATATCACTCCGTTTAAGCTACTTAGTAAACTTTACGAAGGATGTCAAGAGCAATCGCTGATGTCGAAGACCCGTTCGGATGTTCTGGGTTCGCTCGTTCGCCTACAGCCAATGATGGCTTTCCATTTTGGGCTTCAGCTCCATCTAGCTCCAGCGGCAGTTCCACTTCACGTGATTCAGATTCGTCCGAGACTGGTTGTAGTCCTTATGTGAGCATCATGAGAATGACGGAGGCAGCCATTGCTGAGCACGATCAGACTGTTGTGTTACCAGATGGAAAACGCCTTTCCAGCAGCAACTCGATGAGTCGTACTTCTGACACAAAATGCGCAATACTACATCCCGAACATGAAGGAGCTGAGAATATTCAGCATACACCATCAGATTCCGCAAGCAGCTCACGTTCAAGCAGCACATCCTGCTGTGCGACCTCCCTTACTCGTCGCTCTCTAAAAGAGCGAATTCTGAAGCCGTTTCCATCCATGAAGCTCATTCGTCAGCCCTCTCGCGCCTCTCGGGAATTTGACATGTTTGTATCTCGCATTCAATGGCTCTGTCTTGACCAATCAGGAACCTGGAGTTCCATATGTTCGTGGACTGCCTTCCTGGTATTTGGCGTCCTCATCCCCACAATATCTTTCGCAAGCGCTCGTTGCACTGATACATGTCCTGGCCACGACCATCATTCTTTCAAGCGACTAGTTACCTCCATTGATACTATCCTATGCTTTGCTTCGTTCGCCTTCCTGGCAAGGATGCACCGACGGCCAGGGCTGAGACAAGTATTACAGTTGGATTTCGTGTTTACATCAGACGCTGCAAATGTCCAGAGGAAGTATCCAATTGAGCTCCACGTAAGTATCACAACTTTCTTTCCAGCATTACTGCTGCTTAGATTTTCTCCAGAAATATGCTTCTTCAAATTGCATCACGCGTAGAGTTTATTATGTGCAGAAACTGGTGAAATCGTTGATGCTACTTATTCTACCTGCATTGCTTATCAAGACACTGAAGAATGTCATTTGGTTTGCCTCTGCTGAATCAGCATCTCCATTTGGTTCCAGCAACGGCGACGCAATAACAAACGCAGGCCTGGCCACAGCATGGATTGTTCTGCTGGAGTTCTCTTGGGCCTATCAGGCGCTTGTGTATTTGTTTGTTTGTGTTCTCTTTCGTCTTATGTGCTCAATGCAAGCCATCAGAATTCAGGTGAGTTATCTGGCGGTTTTCTACACTTCGTGCGAAAAATACTGACTTGAACGTCACTGCTGTTAATGGGTTTATGCACTGGCAGGCATACATTGAACGTCTTGAAGTCGAAGTTGATGTGGCTGCGATGTTGAGCCACCACATGCAGCTGAGAGACCACATGGCGACAATCAGCCACCAGTTCCGTAACTTCCTGTTAAAGGCTCTTCTCGTCGTGTGTGCATCACAATTTTCTGCATTGTTCTCATTCTTGCGGCTCCACGGGCCGACTCCAATTCCTCAAGCCACTGACCTCATGGTTGAAAAGCTCTTCTGCAACAAGATGCGTTTAATATGAATTTCTTGCAACTGACCAAGTTTCCTTGGTTGTGCAGGTTTGCACTTATGTACAGCTCGCGGGTGTGCTTCTCTGTCTGCATGGTGCTGCACGTATAACCCATCAAGGTCAAAAGATTGTCACAGTCGTCAGCCAGTGGCATGCAGCAGCCACTTGTCGGAACTTTGCTGGATCTCGCATGGAAATTTCACACACGTCAGGCAGCAATGAGCCAACAGTGCCATTTGGAGGCTCAGATATTTTTTCATCCATTGCTCCTGTGACGACCCCTCCTCGCGCTGCAGCCCAGCACTCGGCGTTACCCCTGCTATCTGGCGTCCACCGCGCAATGCGTGCTGGTAATTTTGCACAGCCACCTTCACCATTGTCACCCAAGGCATTGAACATGCAGCCTGGCCGATCTGCATATCCCAATGTACAAGCTGCATTGGCTTCCACGGCAGTGGATGGATGCCTGCTTTTTGGGAACAACGAACCTCGAATGCCTGCAGGAAACACTTTCGTGGGTAGTGATGGTGAAGGCCTGACATTCAAAACGGCATTGAATGGAGGAAGTGATGGCTTGACCCGTGCGCAACATGCCGAAGCTGAAGGGGAGGGGAAGAAATCATGTGTGGGCGAAGGTCTGATCAAGATGCTTCACCGAGTTGGATCGGGTGTGGCAACTCTGGTAGATATCACAGAGATTGGTAAAGAGCCCAAAAACTATGAAAGTGACGCCTTCCACAAGCGGGTTGCATTCGGTAAGTCTGTTGACACCGTGTTTTGAAGGGCCAAATACACACATCTCTGACAATTCTTCTGAGCATGGATGCAGTAACATATCTTCAGCATTGCCCATGCGGCATCACGCTGTATGGCTTTTCGATGGATCGGTCCTTCTTGTACGCTATCTTTGGGCTTGTTTTCTCTATGGCAACATTCATCATAGGCCGAGCAGCATCTGCAAATCTACCCAAGGAGAGTTCTGCTAGCCTCTGGATTGGTGTATAGGTTAGCTTAGCTGAACAAAGGATATTCATGGAGGCCAGTTGTTACATACATACAAGTACCTAGAGAAGTATGATGTTTTCCAACAAATCTTCAAGCAATTGAGATACGGTACAAAGCATTCTTGGCCACATTGCCATGCAATGGTGTTCCTAGAATGTTAATTCTGCAGAAGGAACAGCAGAAGATAATGCCTAGCAGTTGGATTATTGGATAGAAAGCTGGCACCATACCTAACCAACCCCAACTACGGTAAACTAAACTCCTCGTATTTCTCGTAGTCAATAAGAGACATATGTCAGAATATCACTCTGCTGCTGGTGTGCTTGCAGCCCCATCCGCATCAGTGGCACTGCTGCTCTCTTCACCAAATGCAAAATCATCTGGAATGTCGTCCTCTGCTGGAACTGAACCATCATCTGGCCGGGGTGTGAGTGGCTGATAAGATCGCACCGTGATGTCAGCAATCGGCTTCTTCTTGCCCTTACCCGCAGCATTGTCCAAAAACAGAACCACGACACTGATGTCATCATGCACCTGTCGCCTACGACCCGGTCCTAGCGTTTTCAGATCACCATAGGTCAGCTTCCGCTTCTTTGCCGCTCGAATCATGGCGAGCTTCACCAGGCGCCTTGCTATTCCCTGCACCGAAAAACGAGCCACCCAAGATAAGCTCATGAAGAAAGAGAACTACTTCTTGAGCAGGATGGAAGGACTAAAAACACTGACTGCGTGCAGTGGAGGTTATGTAAGAAACAGCAACCCAACTTTGTAAAAACGATTTATCGACCTCCATGCGGAGGAAAATTGCGGAATGCAATTGCAGCAAAACTTCTAAGTGCCAACGTTGGGTACCAACGAGTAATGGCAAGCTTTCAGAGTGCATGATGCATGCACTGCTAAGACCAAATACAACGACTGTGAGATAAATGCACCCACTGTATGCTGCGAAGGAAGTTCGATTGCCCCTTCACAACGAATTGCACCACCAAAAAGTGCACCAAGCAGAATAGCGTTGGAACAATACCCCTTACAGTCTTCCACTCTTGTTGTGTGGTTTACCTCCGATCGAGGATCGTACTTGCAGACAGGAGTGGATAGTGCCATTAGTGGATGCATAAACTCACCAGTCTTGGAAATTTTGATACGATTTCCACCGTCTCCTCATTCGAGACGTTTTCCCAAAGCCCATCTGAAGCGAAGACAACGAATCGATCCTTCTCAGTCAACGGCTTGACGAGTACTGATGGCTGGCAGATGAGGGCTGGGGTAGTAAGGGGATCCTTCAAGCGAAACCGAGTGTACAATGGATTGTTTTGAAACTCTTGATGCTTCAAGTAGAAATCTCCAATCGAACGGGTCACCTGCACATAAAATGGTACATGTTCAGGTTGCAGAACATGAAAGCACAAACAAAACATTCACATCGAGTGCAGGCTCACCTGGATAATCCCCTTCACTCGCCAAACACCACCTTTCTCGACAAGAATGTTGTCGTCCCCTTGAATCATGTCCTTGACCTGCTGCCTGGTCTTCTCACAGCTAGCACTGTGCTCTTCTGAAACCTCCTCTGCTCGTAGAGAAGTACCATCGCCATCGGGATCAACTGAGCCGACAACTGCTCTAGAGTCGCCCACTGAAGCAATGTAAAGAGTGGATGCGTTTATTAACCCAACAAGAGCACACGAGCCTGCTGCTGCAAAGATCGGCTTCATCTTCCAGTTTTCTCTGACTACTTCCAGAAATTGCGCTTCTGCATCTTCAAAAGCCTTTCTGAAAGTTTCTTCACTCGGCCCACCAGATTCCTCTGTGACTCCTGCAGGCAAAACGCAATAGACTACCTTGAGCAAGCAAACACGAAAGAGCTGCCTTGCCAAGGTCATACTGAACATGCTGGCATAGTCAGGCGTGAAGATATCTTACTATCCAATATGGAATACATGTTGTCATTGAGAAAGCTTGCAGCTTGGGCCCCGCCGTGTCCGTCAAAAACCCCAACGAATGTGCCGAAATTCCCGCTTTGGACAATGGAGAAATCTTCGAGTATCGCGTTCGCCTGACAGACCGCCATCGAAAAATCTCCTGAACAGACAACCAACCTCGGTTAGGTTGCATGCCTTAACAGCCCCACAGCGGCTAACAAAAGAAGTTTCCACGCTACCTGAGATGTGTCGGGCTCCAGGGCAGTTCCATATGGCTCTATCTTGAATACCAGCATATACTATCTGCTCTTCTGGTTCCTCGATAACTTCTGGTACTTCCTCCACTTTAGGCTCTGAAAGGGAACATCGAGAGTAGCGATAAAGCTGGTGAGAGAGTCAACAATGCAGAAACCAGGACCGCAATATCCCCGTTCGGAAGCCAACTTCCAGAACACGCTCGCATCATGTAGGGGGGAGAGAAAAAATCAGAAATATTTCCAGGACCAGCTTCGGATGACACACTGACAACAACGATCAGATATGTACTACTAAAACGTTACTACGAAAATGTTCGGAGGCTGAAGCGTTTTAACTCCTAGACTCCAGTCTCATTACTAGACTCTAGTCAGGTGTACCTTCAGCTTTAGCCGCAGGTTCTTTATTCGCAGAACTCCCAAAACAGAAGCAACCCATTCCGCGACCTTTGTCTGTAAGTGAACTTAATGGATGCGGAGCGTGCAAAGTCAGCATTGTGATCGGAGACACATGATGTTCCCCTGTGACTGTGGCCCACGCTATTTAATCGTTAGCTAGGTGATAATAAGGCTGCTGAAAGTTGACCATAAGGGACTGTGATGGCAAATGGCTGACCACAGTATAGCATAGCATTCCGACAAAGCGCTAAAGTACGGTCTGTGAGTGGATAAAACGGCAGAGAACGGTGCGGCTTTAACACATCTCCCCCACTTCACCACATCTCTCTGCTCCAACCTTTTTTTCCAACCCAACAAAAAGGGAAATTTCTGTCAGCCCAGCCAGCTGCAGTTGCAGTTGGGGGTGGGAGAGCGGGGGACAGCTCCCGTGCTTTTCAACAAAGGCAGCTGCACACGAGTGACCCCGTAACAAGAAGAATGGGGGAAAATGAGGACGAATGCGGGAAAGGTGAGAAACGTCTCCTTTTGGCAAGACTTTTGTGAAAAACCACCAGTGTCGTCAACAACTAGGCTGCCCGATCACATCCAAAATCGCGGAGGTGGATGCATCGACACGGTTGTTGGGAATGGACAAGGACACGCGAACACCCACACGTAACCAGTTCTTCGCAAGATTCGTCCGAATTATCCATGTTCCACTTCGTTAGAGCCCCTGGCGAAACTATTGTACGACATCCACGGAACGTCCGAGGCCCCTGCGACTCGCACGTCCCCAAGCCTCCCACACAAGCATCAGCAGCAAATCCGCGGTAAAGGAAACACACATTGACTTGTACAAAGCCCGTACATTCTGCCACTCAACTACTACACATGTACACTATTCCGCGCAAGCGCTACACATCCAGTTCGACCAAAAAGTCCCGACCAAGGCAGCTTCACCCACAACTTTCCTTAGCGCCTCGTCGATAGCTCCATATGTAGATACGTTCCCATGATCGTTGTTGGAAGCTTGCGGGAATGGGTTCGGCCTCTTCCAAGCACCGGGCTTTAGAGGACTGGGAGGACAAGGACGAGTCGTCTTTTCCCTGGCTCGAGCCTCGCGGTTTAAAAGTCGGCCATGCGACGGACGTGCGACGCGCTTATCGCCTGACGAGAGATGTCCTTGGGGAGGGTCGCACAAGCATCGTTTGGTGAGCTCCGGAAATATGCGCATGGCAGCGAAGACGAAACTGCTAGGTTCTCTTGGTCTAGGTGTTTCCTGTTTATTTTTCATAAGAACCCGTAGGTGTCGGACGCTGCTTGGTTTCGAAACCCAACGCAGCCTTGTCGCGAGCGACAGTGAAAAACCCCATTCGCACTGTTGTTCTGAATTCAATGGTGACTCTATCGCGTGCAGGGTGGGCGTGGACAGGTTGAGTGGGACCCACGTGGCAGTGAAGATGATATCTAAGCGGATTGTGACAGCAATGAAGGGAGAAGAGCATCGGGTGAGTGTGTTAGCATTGGGAGGTACCGACGCACGAAGCAAGAGCAGACGAAGGATGATGGACGCTGAGTGGAGAGCAGAAGGTGCAGCAGGGGTGAGAGGCAGGCGAAGGGCCAGCGCTTTACTTCGCTTCCATTTCCTCGATCTCGCCCGCCCTGCTGAAAGAACTATGGTTGTAGGTCAATGTGACACGTGTTCCTGCCAGCCTCATTTTCCACCTCTCCCCACCCCCTCTCCTCCCCTCTTTCACATGCTGGTGCCTACTGCCCAACCAGGCGTCTGAGATTGAGATCCTCCTTGCGGTAAGCCCTCTTTCCCACTATCTATGCGGCACGCTCATCCTGAATTCGGCATGCTTGGTTGGCCTGTGGTGCCCCATGGCACGTTGGGCATGGCTGGTTCGATTCGATGAGCCTCATTATGCATGCACACTCTGCAAAGTGTTGCTTCCATCCGTTGTGTACTTCGTGCGATTTCTGATTGAAAACTAGTCGCTTAGGTCAAACAGTAGCTTTCCAAACTTTCACGCCTCTTGTGCTTCTTGCTGTTGTGGACTCGTGTTGTGTGCCTCTGTCTGATGTGCTATTCCTCCTCGTTTTGATGCTTACAGCTGCAACGGAGTGAAGCAAGCAAGCAATCAGACGGGAACAGCGACAGCTGTGCTGCTGCCGCCACCACCCCTGCGAGCAGCAACGGCAGCATTAACACAACCAGCAGCACCACCGCTGCCGCCACTAATAGCGGCGCTACCAGTTCCACTGAAACAACAGGATCATTACCTTCATTTGCAGACCCTGCCTGTCCTGCTTCCTCTGGCAGTTCTGACACGGCTGCTGATGCACGTGATCCTGCCTCAGTCCCAGCCTGTCCCGGCGTTCTCCCAGTGCTGGGCACATTTGAGGATACCCGCTTTCTCTTCCTGGTCACTCCATTGGTGACTGGAGGGGACCTCCTCTCGCACATCGCATCCCGACCCAAGTTCTCAGAGCGCCATGCATCAGTCATTGGTGAGCAGCAGGGTGGCATCGGTCATTCCTGGCCAGCCTCTGTTGCCAACCTTTGATGGGGAACTCCCAAGGCATCTGTGAGCTAGTTGTGTGTTTTTCTGAAATTGGGCTTTTGATGAAGCTGTTTCTTTGCTGCTATGTTGGTTTGTGCTATCCTTCAGTGCGAAATCTGCTCAAGACTCTTGCACATCTACATTCTAAAGGGATCGCACACCTTGATGTTGTAAGTCAATTCTGAGGCGTGTGTGTTGGGATTATGAAACACGATGTGTGGGCTGTTTTTCCGGGTCGGGGTAGTGGCGAAGTAGGAGTCGACACCTTGCAGCTCGTGCCTCCGTTTCAACCCCTTGGGCTGCTCACCTTCTATCAACTCCACTCTGTTAACATCCTCTTTCCCTTCTTTTCAATCCCTATCCTTCACCAATTCCCCCTCTTCCTCATGTTCTCTCTTTCCCACATGTGCTCCTATTGTTTATTTCCCCAGTCATTTTGAGACTGCTCAAAGCCGCATGTGATCTGCTTGCATTGAAAAGGCCTGCTCACCCTCCTCGCCCCCCTTTCCCAAACAGAACCCGACTAACATTCTCTTCCCTGGTACATCATCCAAGCTTCTCCACTTGGTGGATTTCGGATCAGCCATGCGCATCCCTCCTGAAGGCGCTGCCTCGCCCTCTCCTGGCACCACACCCTTCTTTGCTGCCCCAGAAGTTTCCCAGAAACGTGTCTTTGCTCAGGCTGCAGACATGTGGAGTCTGGGTGCGGTGCTGTTCTTGATGGTAGGTGGGGTGCATCCCAGCGTGGCTGTGGGTAAGGTGGCAACATCTGCGGAGCAAGTTCATGGGAATGCCACGTGGCTAAGATTACAGGCTGGTGACGTGGAGGGTTTGCCAGATGATCCCTCGTCCGAGCTTCTGGAGTTTCTGACGAGATTGCTCACGCCGAATCGGTCGGAGCGGATGACAGCGATAGACGCACTGTCACATCCTTGGATAAGCTCGTCTGCATGCAAGCTGCGCCTGAGCCCCTTGCAGACGTCGGTGAGAAATTGCAAGGAGTACGTGTCGAGGCGCACTGCTGGGTGCATTGGCAGCGGTGTTGTGAGCTGTTCTACACCGAAACTTTACGAGCAGGATGCACGAAAAGGAGCAGGGACGGCAGCATTGGAAAGTATTAGCAAGAAAAACTCATTGGGGAGTGATGCTGGAATCGAAGGATTCAGTGGTCAAATGGGGAGGTTGGTGGTCGACACTACACTGGATCTCGAACCGATGAAGAAAAAGGAGCTCAAGTGGAAGAGTGTTGACAGTGTAATTACAGCAGACTTGAAGGAGTTTGCCCATTGTGAGGTAAAGAAGAAGGTTTATGTGGAAGTGTTGGAGTGCAATGACCCTAGGAGCAAATCTAGGCACAAATCTAAAACTTATACTCAGATCACTTGTCTTAGTGGACGTTGATTCAAACAACAATGATGAATCTGTCAGTGTCTGTCTGTTGCGAGAATACCTGCCAACAATTTTCCCGCGGTTTTCAGGCTGACCGTGAAAAGCTTTTGGCGGGAGACACACATGTCCCGCCAACAATATCTGACACTTGATCACATTGTCAGAATCCCAAGGGTGCTTTTCACAATTTTGAAAACGATCCAGCCTAAAAGTCACCTGTTCTGTTGGGGAGTGACCCACTTCATTTAAAAAGTTGTGGTCATGAATGTCGGAGAAACTGACAAGCGAGCCCCTACACGAACTAGCGCACCCACGTCCAGGCAGCTTCTGCGATATTCTTGCCGCACCTTGAACTTGTGGCGCACGACAAGTTGGGAGGTTGGTGGACGTGCGCCATTTTTACCCGTCCGTGATTGGTTTGGCTATGGAGCTTTGTTCGCTGGAACCAGCACGGAGACACGTGAGGCTAACCCTCGTATGTTCCACGTGCCAATAAACTATTGGCTACACGTCTGACTCGTGGTGGCGTCAAGGTGGCGGGAATGGTCGCCAGAACAAGCAGCACAACAGTCGATCTGACCTACTTGACAATCCCAGGGTTGTGGATTCCGCTGAAAGTCGTGGTGGATCGTTACACCCAGGTTGGGGCAGGGCTTGCACCTATTGAAGATTGGCAACAGAAATCGAGAGCTCGCGTGATCGTGCAACGATTGCGTGATTAGCGGATTCCACCGAAAGCCCCAGAAATTCTCGTTCCTGATTCGTCCGCACAGCCAGAGTTCGGTGGGAGCCTCACAGTGGAGCCCTTTTTGGCCCCGAGTCCCACAACCTCAGGAGACCGTGCGGAGCCAAACAGCCGCGATAAAAAGTTGCCTCCCAGTCAGCACACTTCCCTGCGATGCGATGCGACACTGTCGCAGCACCGTCGCAGGGGTGCCCCCGTGTGCTTGCACCGTTGTTGTCACGTGTGTAACCCCCGCGAAAATACAGTGATCAGTCTCCAGACTTCTAACAACCTCACGAGATGCTGCGAACGCTTGCGATCAACTACCGACATGTACGATGTCCACTCAAGAGCCAAGGGGGCTTACCCAAACTCCTCCCGAGGCCGACGGAAGGTTTGGAGCTGATCGCGACACGGTCTGACTGACGCGCCAACTGGGACAGCTCCCTCCCTCCCTACCTGGCCACGCGCAATCCCAAGGCTGTCACAGGGGCGCTGATTTTCGCTCCAAAATTCGCCCCTTGAAGTCTGCTTGTCTGCTTTCGTTCATTGCTGCCCTGCCCGCCCGGCCCCGTGGCGCTCGGAGTCCGTCACATCACATCGCAATCATCCGCAATCCCCAATCCCTTCGATAATTGCCTTTTTTTACTTGCCCACGCGGAGTTCTCCCCGTCGCAGCTGCACCGAGTCTTGTCGTGCCCGCCGCCAGCCCCACCTTCCATTCTGCCGCGCCCCACCCTCCGCATACGCAATCCGCCGCACATCGTCGGCTTGCCCCGCACGCATCTTCCACGGCTCCTGATGAGTTTTTTTTGCGCCATCCCACTTTCTGCCCCTCGGCAAAATTTCCAACCCCAATGTCCGCCATTCTGGAAAGCGCCAGCACAGACGCGATCGGTGCGCCCAGCCACTCCCATTTCCTTCGGTTTCGCGCACAGCGCCACCAACGCACCCACCATCCATCCGTCACCCTTCCCAGGCGCCCCAACCACACAGCTCACAGCACATATTTCTACATCCTGAACTCCGGATTCCACATTCTCGCGCCCTTTCAAGTTCTTCAATTCTTTAGTGAAATCTGCAAGCAACTCTCAAGGTAGCCATCTGCGCCAAAAAAATAGCTAGAACTGCGCCGTTTCTGTTTATGTACTTCCAGTCCATCCCCTTCCTGCTCAGGTTGTCTTGACGCAGCTTTGATTGACAATAAAGCAATTTTACAGCCTACGATGGCCAAGCCTACTTCATCTGACAAGAGCGGACAAAAAAAACCTACCGCGGTACGCTTGCACGAAGGCACGCGGATTCGCGTCGTGTGGCCGCGCGACAACCGCTGGCACGCAGGATTTGTAAAAAAGTACGACGCGAAGAAGGCGCTTCACACGATCGTGAGCGACCACGGCGACAGCAAGCGACTGGACCTGCGAACCACGCGGTGGGAATTTGAGGACCCCAACGCCGACCCGGCCAAGTTTCTCCGCCCGAGAGGCACCCGAGGGAGGAAAAAGGCGTCAGCGTCCGTTGCGGCGGGCACCGGTGCGGCAATCCCGTCGGCTCTGCCTCGGCTGTTCCCAGTCGGCGGTTCCCGCTACGCGTCGTCGAACGCGGCTGCGAGCTCTGATTCGGGCGACTCGTCGGACCCAAGCTTCGGTCATGTTGACAGCCGGGCTTACGGCGCGGCGCATCCCGCCGAGGCGCACGCTGCAGAGTCGTACGAGGAGGGAGAGTTCGTTCATCGGGGCCTGAGGACCCGGAAGAACCGCCAGTACGTGGTCAGCGACGACGAGTCCGGCGACGGTGATGACGTGGCAGATGATGCTGACGAGGACACAGAGATTGAGGAGAGTGACTATGAAGACGACGAGGGCTTGGGTTCCGACTCCGAGTGTGATTTTACCGGGGGAGCGGCGGATTCGGCGGCGGGACGTAAGAGGCGGTTGAGTGAAGGGCACGCCTCTGGGGCCGAGTCGGCGGAGACGAAGCGATGCAAAAAGGAAGGGTCGTTCTTCACTCTCACCGAGGTCGCGTGGCAACAGCAACAGTCGCAGAAACCGTCGCAGCCGTCGCCAGCGTCGCAACCGTCGCAGAATGCTGTGAAGGCGAAGAGGCCCGTGGGTCGTCCTCGAAAAGTGGTGCCGTCCGGTTTGGCCCAAGCCGCCGAGCCTGCTACGGACGAGGATACCACCATGGACGAGATGATGCTCATTATGGCGGTAGCGCGTCGGCTTGTAAAGGATAAGTGCTGCGTGCCAGCCGCCTGCGACTCGCTCAAGCCTTCCCCGGTTGCCGCGAAGCTCAGGGACAGCAGCGCGTCGGGCGCCGCGGCTAAGGATATTAAGGAGGCCGGATGCACGCGCTTTAACGGTGTCAAGGCGGCGCTGGGAAGCGCGGAAGGCGGTATGGTGGAGGTGGAAGTGACGCAGCAGGGGCAGCTTCAGGTGAAGGGGGAAGTGCAGCGCGCCGCTGTGAAGGTGGACGTTCAGGGGCACATGGAGGACTCGATCAAGGACCTGAGGGCGGTTCATGTCCTCCCCGTTACATCTTCCGGTCCAGGTGCTGCTGCTAGCGGATTTCGGTTTATGTCGGGGATGGAGTCGTGTGCGCGTGCAATGTGGCCGTGCAGCCAGGGTCGTGTGGTGGTGAGGGCAGCAGCGTCGTCTGTGGTCCCTGCTCCAGGTGGTGCTATCCGAGCGTAGGCATGCCGCCGCCGTTCTGCTTCGTCAAAGTTATATTTTAACTACATCAGCTTGGTAGTATTTTTTATTATTTCTGGTTCATGGTTGTCACCGTATACACCAGGTTGGTTGCCTCCGCGGCTTCCTCCTCCTCATACTTTAGCGCTAGTTGTTTCAGTTTAATTGTTTCAGTTTAATTAATTACTGCTAAGGAAGTCTTTGTTCCCAGCAACAGAAATTAGCCAGGAGTGGCTGATCATACTAAACTGTCCGAAAATTTAAGTTACATTTTCTATATGTAACAGCCTGTAGGATTGGGTACTGTAGTTATAGCCTTTCTAGTTGGTGGTGCACCATTCTTGCTTTTGCTTGCCTATTTGTACTGTTTGCTCTATAGTGAACCACCTCTTTTGTTGGTCTAAGTCTCTCTCGCTACTCTCGCTTTGGTCAAACCCTAGCCATGACGCCTAAGTTTAATCTACTATCTTAACATGGTATCGAGCTAGTTTTCGATCAATGGGCCCACCAATTTTCGACCCTGTCATGGCGGCCCTCCCTCCCAACGATTTCCTGCTGCGATCGTGCCGTCAATGCGACCGTCGCGTTAAAATCCGCGACGGTCTTGATCGTGAGCGCGATCGACGGGGCGAAGGCGGCGCTCTGCTCGTCGCGTTGCCTCGTCGCCTCGTCGTTCGCGGCCACGCTGCCCCGTCGTCGCTTCGTCACGCCTCCGTTACGGCCCTCTGTCCCGCTCGTTGCGCCCGAGCAATTGTCCACGCCCACCCTCCCGCCGGTCCCGCTGCAGCTGTCGCACTTGCTGCTGCCGTGCGCGCTCCTGCTGTGGGAGGGGGTCGTGGGCGTGGCGGACAGTGGGGGAGGTTGTGTGACGGGGTGGCCGTTGTGAGCCGCCAGCAGCACCTGCCGTTGCCTTTTCTCGCCCCATACGCGATTGTCGCTGGAGGGGGGAGGGTGAGGGCGTGGCGGGAGGGTACCCGCGGGAACCGGACGACGCCCTCCTCTCTTCTCTCTCTCTCTCCCTGCAGCGCCCGACGCTGTGGGGGATGGGGGGGAGTGTGAGGGAGTGGTCAGAGAGATTTTGCCGTGCCAACAGCCGTTCCCCCTCCTCTCTCTCTCACTGCTGCGCTTGCAGCTGTGGGGGGGGAGGGTGAGAGAGGGTGGCGGAAGTGAGCCAGGCATCTGCTGCTGCCGCCTGCTGCTTTCGTGACACCTCCAGCTGCCGCCCCTTCCGCCACCTGCCCTTGCTTCTGCTGCCTGCTGCTGTGGCCTGCAGGTGCTGCCGTCGAGCCGCTGCTGTCCTGCTGCTTGTTGCAGCCACAGAGCTGTCAGAATCTAGCAGCAGGAATGGATGAACTAACAGGATGCAGGAGTACAAGTAGTAAACCCTAATTGGGTTGTACCCCATGTCAACAAGACTAGGCAAGAATGGTGCATTGAATGAAACAGTTGGGTACAAGTAGCAAACCCTAGTTGGGGTTGTACCCCATATTGGCTACCCCACTATAGCCTACCAACATGTAAGACATTACAATTTAACACACCCCCATAG